CGTGAGAGGTTTTCTGGCACCGCAGGATCGTATCGCCTGGTGAAGGTTGTGTCAAGATCGCCCCGGCCTCTGCAGAAAGTACGGATGTATGACCAAAACGCGGCCGGGGATAACCCCCCACAGCCATTGCTGGCTCTCCCACTCACGTTCACGGCGTTTATGCCGTGGCGTCTCGTTCCTCGCCAGGAGGCAGGCAAACGATGGTCCTTGCGCCGCCAGGTCAAGCGCGGATGCAAGTGACTGGTCCCGGACGACGGCTGCGATGTGCGCCGCCGTGGTCCGAAGCGGAAGTCGGGAAGACCCCCCGGGCTTGTTGCATGACCGCCGGTAGGCCGACGGCCTCAACCTCCTCGACGACAAGCGGTAGTGGACCAACGCCAACGGGTCAAAGAGAGACAGGCTGATGGTTCCATTCTGCACGCCAGATACGGGGCAGTATTACGGGGTGCAGTGCTGCATGTCCTGCGCCCGGCACTTTGCAGATGGCTTTGCGACACGAATTTTACGCGCAGGGCGCACCGCCTTTTCTGTATCTGTTGGGCGCCGACAAAGGGTGTTTTGGGGTTGCGTATGCTTTGTCTGTGACAACGTGGTGCCGTTGAAACGGGGTGAAACGATGACGAGCACCTCGCCGGGCTCATCATCAGCGGCGCTCACGCATCCGCCGCAGGTCAACAGGCCCCGACGGCATCATCACCGCGTTCGGTCCTGCAGCCGGGCGTGGGGCCAGGGCGGTTCGGACTTGTCGCCCTTGCGCGGAAGATTGACGCCACGGCGGCGCGTCGGCGCAGCGATCATCATTACACGGAACAGGGACCTCTTGCGACAGCTGCATGTCAAGTCGGACCATTTCAGAGCCGCCGCTCTGTCGTGCATGGAGCGGAGGAACGCCTCATCATCGGAGTGACACGTCTCATCGGCGCTCCACGCAGCACAGCTCACTGCAGCGCCATGAATCTTACATGCCGTGCAGCGCAATGCAATGCGAAGGAGGCAAAAACGGATTGGAATCACAGCAAGGCTGTCGGCAGCAGGGTCGCCGTTCGGTGCTGACGGTCACGGGAACTCGGGGCGCACGAATGGTCGCCACGAACAAGGTCAACAAGGGTCAGGCTGCCTTACGACGTGCCGTCTCCGACCGCTCTCCGTATATGCATATCGCATACCTTGCTTCGTGCATTCATCTCATAACTAAGCAACCGGTATGCACTGTCATGCATGCAAGTGTCGTATGACGAAAAGGCTTTCGACGTGTGCGGTGCTGTACTTACGAGCTCAGCCTCAGACCAGCTCGCCAGATGCCTGTCCATAGCATGCCTTGCCTACATTTCACGACTCGCCGGCATTGTACTACTGGTACAGATGCGCTGCACGGAGGAACCTACATCATCAGGGTCGGGGCGAGACCGACCGGGGAACGAAATGGGTGAACCAGGGCTGGCGACTCGTCTCGTGGCCTGGCCCAGACGCCTGGAACCGAGCGATGGATGGCTCCGCCCCCATGCACATTAGATGCCCATCCATTTCACAGAGCCGATGCCCGGAAAGGGTGGCCAGCCACGTTGCGGTCCCGCCGTCGTTGGGTCCCTCCCTTCTGGGTCCGGCCCGGACCCTCACGTGGCCCCCGAGATCTCTGCTCGCCGTCTGGTTCCAGCCCGCTACCGGACAAGCGTCAATGCCTCGGCCAGGTTGGTTGCGGTTCACTGCTGCTTGGAGCCCAGCTGAGGTGCAGCAGTGCCCTGTCACAGCGTCGAGCGTGCTGTCCGCCCGAGGAAGCCGTCAGCGGCGCGTGAGCTGAAGATTGCACTGAGGATGTGTTGATGTAAACACGAAACGCCGCTGCATCCGGGCCCCCGTCGATGTTGCAGCCCCAAGGTCAGCAAAGATCCGAGTCCTTGCGTCCAAGGCCATTGCGTCACCGTCAGCGGCGAAACTGCAGGGCAGGGCAGGGCGAGCGGCAGCAGCAGCAGCAGCAGCAGCAGCCCGGACGTCGCACGGCGAGCCCAGAGCATGTCACAGGTGCATTCGAGAAGCCAGCACCGTCCCGGGGGTCCCGCCGCGCCGATGATGCATCTTCCACTTCCGCCGTGGCGGGCTTGACGTCGACGAGGGGAGAGCGAGCTGGCGGAGGGGCGGGCGGGTGCCGACCGGCGGGCGACCACGATGACATCGACCACGACGACCATGACGGAACCACCATGCGACGGGCCTGGCATCGTCGCACTGCATTGCGCGCTCCACGAGATGCGTTCCATCGCGGCTCTCGTCGTGCCACTACGCAGGCGGTCGCGCCAAAAAGACGCACAACTCCAGCTGACACTCTGACACCTCGCACGCTTCCGGCGGCAAAAAGGCACTGCGAGTACGCTTTGCAGTCGCAATGCAGCACCGACAAGCGAGGTCTCCAGCTGGGCGGCCCCATGTCCCCAGCCCCATTGTCACCGTCTCGTGTCGTGTCGTGGCCGCTGGGCCGCTGGGTCACAGGGCTCCGCCGCTTCCTCCACGGCACCAAGCCAAGCCCGGCCGCCGCTGCAACCCTCTTCGGCGGTTGTTCTGGAAGCCAGAGCGTGCCCGCCCGACCCTACCGTGCTACCGGTGGGCTGGATTTTTTCGTCTGCCCAAAAAAGTCCAAAATGGATGCCCGGCCCTCCATCATCGGCCAAGCCTGGCGCGGATATGGCTGCCCATTTCGGGAATCTGGCTGATGGGCGCGCCGACGACTCGCCAAATGTACCGGTACTTGCGCCGCACACCCCTAATAATTTAAATCCTGTCGCCCAAGCAGTTTGCCGACGCTCAGTCTTTTTTTGGGCTGTCGCTATCACATGCGGCATGTTACAGCCTGATGGATGCGGGCGAGTTGGTTTGGGACTTGGTTTGGCTCTTTTGGGAAATAAGGAGAGAGGTTTCTCTTCCAGGTCCTTCTCCCCCGAAAGCCCTGTTTGCCATGGTTTGCCATTTCGAGACGGCCTGTTGCCTCCTCGGCCAAGCCTGGAGGCAGACGAGAGCCATCTGGGGAAACCCTCGTGGCGCAATGCCCGCCCTTGCCGGTTTCGGCGAAAGCGACGGCTGGCTTTTCTGAGGCTTTCAGCGTGCCACACCCTCGTGGGAGTCAAATCGCTAGTAATGAGGCGCAACAATGTGGATATGACGCGGGATTGCCATCGAGGCTGGGCTGCCGGGGAAAGGACTCGCAAGGCTATGGCGGTTGCCGGATGTACATGTGATTTGAGTTGCTGGCGGCCCCCGGGTGTCGCCACAACTGCCGATGGAGTGCATGAGGCATGAGCAGATTTTGGCATGATATTGCTATCCATGATGGCATTTGCTCGAACGCCAGAGATAGACACGTAGGGGAGACGAAGGTCTGGTGGCCGAGCAGCTATCGACATGGGATGGCGCATCGAATGGGCGATGGGACGATGCTCATGATTTTTATATAGGGTATCCTGAAACCTTTGATGGCCACGTCATGCTTACATGATTTCTGTGTCCTCCATTGCCGCCAGCAGTCAACGCATGCGGGTAGATGATTAGTGTATTGACGCCCTACTTGCAATGGCTCCTTGCTCATTGTGCGGCGAGGACACGCCGTCCTGTGGATGAGCATTCTCGGACGTCCGGCCAGGAGCTAATCCATGCCCGCCGGCAGCTCCCGGCACTCTTGCTTGCTTGATAGGCCACATCGCACTTCCGCCATTTCAGTGCCTGGTATATAGTTTGCTGCCGCATCCCTCGGCGTACAGGAGGGCGCAAGTACCGAGCGGCGTCCCTGCAGATGCAGGACAATCGGGTGGCTCGGCGCCGGCGGACCATTTGCACAAACCAGACAGCCTACGTCATCGGAATAGTTTTCCATGATGATGAATTTCACGCCAACGCCTGAAACTCCAAGCTCGTAGGCTTTAGGTGTGCATTCCGTCGATACTCGTTTTGATCGTCGTCGTCGTCGTCTGCGTCCGTGTATCTAGATCAAGAGGGAGACCTGGCGGGCGACGCGCGTCAGTCTCTGAGCGCACATTTCTCAAGGCACGAGAGGGTGGTTGCAGAAGAGGGGGTTTCGCGAGGGGGCGGGGGAGGAGGAGAGGAGAGGAGAGGTCGCGCGTACCGCCATGAGGACGCAGCAGATGCTGATGTACGGGCTTAGGCGTTCACCTATCCTGGCGCATTTCCAAAAGATACCCATCACTCTGGATTTGCGAGCGCGCGGGCGCCTCCAAGTCAGCTTCGGGGGTTCCTGTCTGGCTTGCTGCTTGCTCATGCCGCACATGTGGGGGACACCGTCTTACCCATTCTTGTTCCGGTCCATGATGCCCGGGGCGAAGTGGTGGACGTATGTGCTCGTGCATATCAGGAGGAGGATGACTTGGAGCAGGGACTGGAAGTTGAAGAGGGCCGTCTGCGGAGGCGCGCGGGGAAACGGCGAGTTAGCTGGGGGAACGTCACGAATGGGAAACTCTGGTGGGGGTCGGTCGTCTATACCATGTTGAAGCTTGCTTAAAAGAGAGCGATATTGTATGTGTGATGGTCGATGCGGGAGCAAGCGTGTGGGAAGAGCGAGATGTGGTTCGCGGCAGCAGCACGGCGCTGTGGTTCGAGGTGATTGAATGGTGGCCTCTCAGCCTCGCGCGTCTGATGCGCCGCGCCAGGGGAGCTTTATTACCTGGCAGGTAAGCTGTGGGGAAGCGAGGATTTGCCGACGCGAGGCCGCTGCAGTGGACAGCTCCACCAGCCGTTGCTCGTGGGGGCACCGTCGACACTTCATCTTCATCAACTCGACGACGAACAATTAGCCACGTCCATCATCTGCCGCTTTCGCGAGGCTGGACCTTGCCTCGTACTTTTCTTCAAGCACCGGGCTTTTTTCCAACTGTTTCGAGGCTACGCCATACCAGATCCGCCCAAGTTGCGACGTGCGCATCGTCGCCTCCAACGCTCAGCCACCATCGTTTATCGCATTTGCACCCGTCGCTCCCGGCCGGGGCCTACAGCTCGTCACCATGGAGCCTCGCGCGCGAGCCGGCAAAAATGTCGGCAAGATGAATTTCTCGCACATCGAGCGTACGTTGCCCCCCTTACGCACCCGTCGGGCTGCTGCGCTGCCCGCCCTTCCCCGCGACGCCCTTTTTGCTAACCTCGCTCACCCACCACGCAGTGGCGCAGCTGCTCTACGCGCACGGCGACGTCAAGAACCCGCTCCCGGAGACGATCCGGGTGCTGGACGAGATCCTGACCGACTTCATGCAGTCCATCGCCTTCGAGGCGACGCGGGCGGCGCACTACTCGGGCCGGCAGAAGATCAAGTACGAGGACTTTGAGTTTGCGTTCCGCAAGAACCCGGCCTTCCTGGGCAAGGTGCAGGAGGTGTTTGAGAAGCAGCGCGAGATCAAGAAGGCGCGCGAGATTCTGCGCGACAACGACGACGACATCATGAAGGAGGCGGCCGAGGAGGAGAAGAGGCGCGAGAAGGACGGCGGCGGCGGCGGCGGCGGCGGTGACAAGGCGGGGGGCGGCGCGGGTGGTGGAGCTGGTGGGAGGGCAACGGCGGTGACGGCGGCGGCGGCGGCGGCTGCGCGTGCGGAGGAGGAGTTGGGCGAGGCGGATGATGATGCGGAGGCGGAGGCGGATGCGTTGGGGAAGAAGCGATGAGATGGCGTTGCGTTGCGTTGCGTCGCGTCAAAACGGCTTCCGTTGTTGAGCCGCCATGGGCGTTGTCATTTGGCGTTTTGGGCATGAGGCATGGGGCATTGTGGCTGATGGGCTCTCTTGGACGTTGACAGCCGAGAGTTTCACGGACAGGTAGCGCGGCGTTTTCGGTACAAGCTTTATCGCGGCAAAAGAATGTTTTGGTATTGTGTTGAGCTCCGTCAGAGACTGAGCCCGCAGCTCCAGCAAGTGGCCCGGCGCAACACGGCGTTGTCGTGCACGGGTATAGTAAACTGTAGTTGCTCGGCCAGCACAAGGGGAAATGCTAGCACTTTGTACGACTTCTCCCGCGACTGGCTCTTCTTCCCTGTCGGCAGGGCCGTGCGCGTACTGATGGCCTTGGCCGAGGAGGAACGCGGCGTGAGGGACGCATCGGTGGTGGAAGATCGGTGATGCCCACCAATGCCGGTTTATATGCCTCCAGTGCCGACAAGGCTCGCTGGACGTATCCAACACTACCAACTTAACTATACGTCGTATATGTTTTTTCACCAGCAGGGTATGAATTGGTCTTGCTACGGCTCGTCAACGTGTTGGAAATCAATCGACGGCGGCTATTGCCCCCCAACATCAAAACAGCCGGGCCGCCCAAAAGAGATCGACCGGCTAACTGCGCCGAACCCCCGCGTCGGCGGCGGCGGCAATCGGCAAGGGATCCATTCCTCTTCGCTGCTTACCCCCGGAGTGGGAGCCCCGCCACCCGTCCTCCTCCTCCTCCTCCTCCTCCGCCGATACCGCCCTCGATGCGATATCGGGAACCACGGACGGACTGCCGCCCGCCCGCGCACGCACGCAAGCCAAGCACTTGGGCTGTCTCTTATACACATCTAGATGTGTATCCCCCAATCCCCAATCCCCGTCCATCCTGCTTACATCCGCCCCCGCAGAGGGCGCCGCCGCCGCTCGGGCTCGTCTTCGATCCAACTGCCTGATTTGCTGTTGCTCATCCTACACTTTGCCTGACCGGCCCGCGCAAAGTGCAGAGTGTGTGCAAAATGGCCTGGCTTGAGATGGATTGTGTTTCCATGCGTAGTCGCCACCGCTCCGACTAGCTGCGGGCCCGAGGGAAAGCTGGTCCACCACCACCACCACCACCTCTCGTTCCCTTGGCTCCCCCCCTGCTCGCCAACTGCAGCCCGCAAGCATCCCTCCATCCAAAGAGGTTGGCGGGCGGGCCGGCGAGCGGGCATCGTGCTTCTTTTAGGCTGTTCATTAGTAAAGCAACAGGGCATCGGTTGCTGTTCTGTTCCTTTAGCTTTTTCTCTCGCTGGGAGGGGAGGGCTCCCGCGCTGCGCATTGTTTTCCCTTGCACCTTTCTTCATTGGAAAGTCTGTTCTGTGTTTCTGTGGTCGTCTTCAACCTTGTGCACAGCCAGCAGCAGCAGCAGCAGCAGCCCTTCGATGAGGAACAGGCCTCTCTGCTCTCACTGCGTTTGTTGTTTATGGCGCAGTTCTGTCTGCTCTTGTTGTCCTTAGTTTTGGCCGAGGCCCAATCGTCGTCAGCGTAAATAACATCTCTCACTGCAACTTTTGCTTTGACTGCGAGACGCAAAATCATGGAGGAGCCTGAGCCCAACGGCGGTCGGCCGCCTTCCGGTGCGGAGATGCGGCCGGCTCGTCAGTCACCCAAAGCTTCCCGCCCCGAAAATGACGACGACAACGCAAGAGAGACGCAACAACAACATCCGTTCCATCACCGTGACCTGTCCCCGGATGTGCGTGGACGGGACGACAAGGCCTTACATCCGACCGCCGCAGAGCACTTCCGTCACTTATCACTGAGTCCGGCCCCGAGCGGCAGACTCTCCCCGGCACCGCATGGCTCATACAACCCAGCCCACGGGCAACCCTTCCAGCCCTACAAGCAATCATCATGGGCCCGCTTCTGGGACCGCAACAAGCCCGCCATCCTCGTGGCGCTGTCCCAGCTGTTCGGCGCCTCCATGAACCTCAGCGCGCGCCTGCTCGAGCTCGAGGGCGAGGGCATGCACCCGGTCCAGGTCCTCCTCCTGCGGCAGAGCCTGACGTCGATATGCTGCCTGACCTACATGTGGTGGATGCAGGTGCCCGACTTCCCCATCGGCAAGCGCGAGATCCGGTGGCTGCTCGTCGCCCGAGGCTTCACGGGCTTCTTTGGCATCTTCGGCATGTGGTACTCCATGATGTACCTGCCGCTGGCCGACGCCACCGTCATAACGTTCCTGGCGCCGGGCGTCGCCGGCTTCGTGTGCTGGTTCCTGCTGCGCGAGCCGTTCACGCGCATCGAGCAGCTGGCGACCGTCGTGGCGCTCCTCGGCGTCGTCTTGATAGCGCAGCCGGCGGCCCTCTTCTCCGGCGGCACGTCATCGTCCACCGGCGGCGACGACCACTCGACGACGGAGCCGCCCGAGCAGGGCCTGCCGGGGGCGGACCACCAGACGACGGCGCAGGAGCGGCTCGTGGCCGTGGGCGTGGCCCTGCTGGGCGTGCTGGGCGCGGCCGGGGCCTTCACGACGCTGCGCTCCATCGGCAAGCGCGCGCACCCCCTCATCTCGGTCAACTTCTTCGGCATGACGTGCACCGTCATCTGCGTCGTGACGCTGTGCGCTGCGCCGCAGCTCGACGTCGGCCAGCCGGCGCTGCGGTGGATCACGCCCACGTCGCCCAAGCAGTGGTTCCTGCTGCTCGCGCTGGGCGCCCTGGGCTTCGTGATGCAGTACCTCCTCACGGCGGGGCTGGCCGCCGACAAGTCCAACCGCGCCAACGCCATGGTCTACACGCACATGCTCTTCGCCGTGGCGTTTGACCGCTGGGTGTTTGGGCACCGCATGGGCGTCATGAGCTTCCTCGGCTGCGCGCTGATCCTGGGCAGCGCCATCGGCGTCGTCTTCATGAAGAAGCCGCCCTCGCCGCCGAAAGTGGAGGACGTCGAGAGGCAGAACAACGTGAGCGGCGAGGCGGAGGGTTCGCCGATGCTCATGGGCGTTGGCGGCAACGCGGAGAGTGTACACTTGGAAAGGATGAGGTAGTAGTCACGTAGTGTTACGGAACGAGACTGCATTGCTGCAGTGTGACCTTGCTTAGGAAATCGTCTCCGAGCTTGCATGATACAACGTGCGTGACCACGATGATCCATAGAAGCATGGGGGTCATCATTTTGACCAACAGTGGCGTGTGGTGTAAATTGTAAGTTTGAGCTGCGGCACTTGCATGAGTTGTTGCTATGAGTGCACTTGTCACCAGGGCCGGCTGCCGTCGACGATGGAGTTGTTAAACAACTACGATTCAGCCACTGTCCAAAAAGCCACGGTGGCTAAGCCTCATTGAAAGAGAACAGGCCCAGCAAGTTACAAACTAGGAAGGCCCTCAAATCGACTTCAGAAAGCAGTGGACGGATTGCCACCGTCAGTCCTGCTCTCCAGGGCGAAGAAGCGGACTTGATATAGGGTAGCCAAGATTTGTGAGCAGCGTGATCGCAGTCGCGCGTTCGCGCTATCACGTGACTCAAAGTGGGCCGCCGTTCTGGCCCCCCCAGCCAGCCGCGCAAGGGCGAGCGCCTGCACTGCAAGGCTGGGGTCCAATGGTAAAACCTCGAGATCTCGAACCCTCGCCCGTCCGTCGCCAGCCTCATCGCCTCTCCACGAAACTCGCAACAGCCCTGACGGGGAGCACATAGCAGCAGACGGCATCCGAGAGAACTGCCCCCTCCAACCGCACAGAAAGCCAGGCTTGGATTCGACGTCCGGCAGCGTCACTGCCGAAACCGCCAACATGGTCCAGATCAGCGAGGTCAAGGGCAACAAGCGCGACAACCGGACGGCTGCGCATACGCACATCAAAGGCCTCGGCCTCAGGTCCGATGGACGCGCAGAGACACAGGCCGGCGGCTTCGTGGGCCAGGCGTCCGCGAGAGAGGTACGGGCTTCCCCAATCGCGTGTCGCGCTGTGAGGCTAGGCAACTGACGATATTCTAGTCATGTGGCGTTGTCGTCGACCTGATTCGAGCTCATAAGATGGCTGGTAGGGGAGTACTGCTGGCAGGCGGCCCGGGCACCGGCAAGACTGCCCTCGCGCTGGCCATCAGCCAGGAGCTCGGCACCAAGATCCCCTTCTGCCCCATCGTCGGCAGCGAAATCTACTCGACCGAGGTCAAGAAGACGGAGATGCTCATGGAGAACTTCCGAAGGGCCATTGGCCTCAAGGTCCGCGAGACGAAGGAGGTGTACGAGGGCGAGGTCACAGAACTCACCCCGGAGGAGGCCGAGAACCCGCTGGGAGGATACGGCAAGACCATCAGCACGCTGCTCATCGGGCTCAAGAGCGCCAAGGGCCAGAAGAAGCTGCGACTGGACCCCAGCATCTACGAGGCGATCCAGAAGGAGAGAGTCACCGTCGGAGATGTCATCTATATCGAGGCCAACACGGGCGCCTGCAAGCGCGTCGGCCGGTCGGACGCGTACGCCACCGAGTTCGACCTCGAGGCCGAGGAGTACGTGCCCATCCCCAAGGGCGAGGTGCACAAGAAGAAGGAGATTGTGCAGGACGTCACGCTGCACGACCTCGACGTCGCCAACGCGCGGCCCCAGGGCGGCCAGGACATCATGAGCATGATGGGCCAGCTCATGAAGCCCAAGATGACTGAGATCACGGAGAAGCTGCGCGCCGAGATCAACAAGGTCGTGAGCAAGTACATCGACCAGGGCGTGGCCGAGCTGGTTCCGGGCGTTTTGTTCATCGACGAGGTATGTTTTTTGCCTGTCTTCTCTTGCATGTCGAGAAGGCTGCTTTCGACCCGTGTTTGTTTCACCCGCAAGGCCGCTGACTCGCATGGGTTCACCAGGCACACATGCTCGATGTGGAGTGCTTCACCTACCTTAACCGAGCACTGGAATCGCCCATCTCCCCCATTGTGGTGCTGGCGTCGAACCGCGGAATGTGCACAATAAGAGGCACCGACGACATTGTTGCGGCCCACGGCATTCCTACCGACTTCCTGGCCCGTCTGCTCATCATTCCCACGGCGCCCTACCAGGCCGACGAGATTAAGAAGATTGTACGGATACGGGCGTCGACGGAAGGCGTGTCCATCAGCGACGCTGCCATTGACAAGATTTCGGACCACGGCGTCCGCATCAGCCTGCGGTACTGCCTGCAGCTGCTGACCCCTGCCAGGTAAGTTTCAGAATGCGCCGGAGACGATGAAACGAGGAACGATGGCCACGAGTCCTTGTGCCGTTCCGATTCCGGAACGTCGTTTCCATCGTCTGGTCCCCCGCTTGGATGACAACCGCTTACTGACATGGTTTGGCAGCATTCTCGCAAAGGCCAACGGCCGTTCCCAGATCGACATCGCCGACGTGGCTGAGTGCGAGGACCTCTTCCTCGACGCCCGGCGCAGCGCGGCGCTGCTGAGCACCGAAGCTGGACGGGGGTACCTTTCGTAAGCAGGCGGAGCCGACGGCCGCGTCGACGACGACAAAACGGGAAGAGAAAGTGTACCCCTTAGACTTGAAGCGTAACTTCGCGAGACGGGGAGGGGGCCCCAAGGTTTTCTACGGGATTTTGCTTTTGGCGGATGGTCCGGCGCCGGGAGAGTATGCCACTTCACGGTTTTTTTCATCTTTTTTACTCGCTTTACCAGGCCAAAGGGGGGGAGAGAGGGAGAGGAGGGGGAGGCGCAACGCCTTGTGGGAATAGTAGCAAAAAGTGTCGATATTGCCTGTAACGGGCGGCCCCCATGGGCGAAACACCGAAACGGGGGAAGGGGCCTTGCCATTGGGTTTTCTGGCGTCCTTCCAAGCTTTTCGGGGGAATTAAAAAGTGACAGGACGACGCCTCGCCCATCTCGTGCCGCCCGCCCCTCCTACCCACCCATCCATCTCATCCCAGAAGCGGCCTGAAGTGTCAAAGGTGTGAAGGCGCGGCGCCTGCGAGTGAGAGGTGCGTATCGTCGTGAGCGTCGCCCCCGGCCGAGACATCCAGGAACCTGGAAAGCCAACCAGCAGAGACAGGCGGCCCAAGACAAAACCAGAAGCCTGCTGGGGGCCGTACGCGCGCCATCATGACAGGCTGGCGACGGTCGTGGTGGGCGCAGAGCGATGGGACGCACGCACGCAAGTCACGCATGCGGAGCACACCACGATCGCAGGTTGGGCTCCCGCTCACCCTCACCGATTGACCGATTCCAAGCATCACGTGCGGAACGAGCCTTTAAACCGCGTTCGGGCTGGCGCCAGCCATTCGTCCTTTGTCTCAGGCGGGCGCAGCATTCCAGGCCGACGCCGCTTCGCATTCCTGTGGCCCGTCGACAATGTCGCCCGCCCCCGGGGACAGCGAGGTTGGGCCCCAGCCAGCCTGCAGGAGCGGAGAGACGCGGGCAAAGGACGAATAGGCGCGGTGCAGCGGTAGAAATGTTGGGTGTCATGCGGTTTTGCCTCGAGGCTGGGCGTTGAAGAGGGACCCGCGCCGGTATATCACTGCCGGGATGCCAGGGGGCCAAGGAGGGGGAGGGAGATCGATTCCCGTCCGGCGTGCCCCCCTCCCTCTCGCAAAAAACGTTCCGAAGAGCACGAAGCGGCCCCGGAGAAAAAAAGGATAAACGCTCGCGCCCCCAAAGACAAAGGCAACAAGCTCACGCTTTGTCCGCCGGCCAGAAACCTTCGCTGGACCGCGGGTGAACGCCAGTCGACGCCCCCCCGGTGGACTCCCGAGACATGTAGGGGGATTCTTACTGGCCCCTGTGCACACTGAAGGCAGCAGCGCAGCAGTCAGAGAGAAGGGCCGGCGAGGTCAGGCCTGTTGAGCGAGCTTGTCCGGAGCCGGGTGTGCTATTGTCCACTGAGCGGAGGTTGAGTGAATGGCCAAATGCCAGCGTCCTCTCACAAAGGAAAGGACCCGGGCACTCGGGCAACGGCTCGCTCCATCTTCATTCTTGGCATCTTTCCTGCCACCGTTGCTTATCTCGTCCTTCTTCGAGCTCCAGTCCCCGTCTTATACTCCCATTGTTCTCGTCGTCGTCTCGTCGTGTTGCCGTCTCGAAGCCCTGACGCCGAGAACGCCCTTGCCGGCTGGGCCCAGGTGTAAGTGCAGACCGTCTCGCGGCTCACCGGTAGCCCCTTCACGTCGTCCTTGCGTCCGTCAACGATGACACAAGTGCTCGCACTGGCTGCCCGACACATGGAAGCCATCGGAGCTCCTGTTCGCCGTCACGTGGACCTGGGGCAGCAGTACAAGCAGCCAGCGGGCATCGCCGCCGCGGCTGATGGGGGCCACTCTCCCTCACCTCTCCGGTCCGCGTCATCAAGAAAGCGGGCTTCCACCATACACGCCGTGGATGCCGACCGCGGCATGCAGGAGTCCCCCAGCGCCAGCAGCGCAGGCACCCAGAGGCAGGATGGAGCCAGGGATCTCATCTGCCTCTGCACGCCAGCCCCCAAGATTCCAAGGCCACGAAACGGTGAGTGAAGACGTTGCCTTGCGCAACCCCCGGGCGGTGGAACTCCACGTCGATGCAGTGATGGGGCCTGGAGAGTCCAACGAGTTCCCAAGCGGGCGTTCAAACTCATCGCTTTCCCCGAGCTAAGACCAGCGGCTGACAAACGCTTCGTTGGCCAGCATTTATCCTGTACCGCCAGCATCATCAGGCGCAGGTAACAGCAGATAATCCCAAGCTGTCCAACCCGGACATTTCCAAGATCATCGGAGAGAAGTGGAAGAATGAAGATGAAGATGTGAAGCAGACGTGGAAGAACCTCGCCGAGGAGGAGAAGCAGCGCCACCAGACACAGTACCCAAACTACCGCTACCAGCCGCGCCGCGGCAACAAGCCGCAGGCTGGATGGGGGACCACGTCGCCGACCGAGGAGCCAGGCCGGTGCCCAAAGTGCCATGGACGAGCCGCTGCCACGCCACAGACACCATCGACCCCCTTTGCAACGTCTCCCGCCGCCAAGGTAGGGGCTGGATCTCAAGGCAGGCCCAGCCTCCAACGGGCAGATACGGACAGGTCTCGTCGATCGAGCTTCGAGCAGTCGCCCACAAGCGCACTAGCATTTCCGACCAAGCTGCCTTCCGTGAGGGATGTGGAGAGTGGGGAGCCGACCTCGCCAGGCATGAAGAGACGTCGGGCCAATGATGCCGGTGGATACCATCCCATCAACGGATCTCTCAGCGGCTATGTGAGCAGGAAGCCAGGAGAACCAGCTGTTGCACGGACGGATGGGCCGCCACAAACTCCTGCTCATGCATTTGTTCGAACGCCCCTACCCGAACTTGGGGGTTTGCCGAGATCTCAGAGCGGCCCGATGCCCCCACCGTTTCGACCCTCGCCTTCGACATCCTGGCTGGAGAAAGACTCGTCGAACCGGAGGCACAGTGGCTTTGACGAGTCTCTTCGATTGCCGCCCCTGCAGTCGTCGGTACCACCATCGCCGTCCCGCATGCCGTCCTTGGACACTCGTCGAGTCAGCTTGCCCATGGGTGGCCTCATGGAGTCACCTCCTCGAGAGCCTCGCGGCCTGAGCACCTCATCCATGGAAGACAGCATCATGGCGATTCCATTCAGTCGCAAGCTGTCCGTTCTTGCGAGCATCTGTCGGACCGCTCCGCCCTTGGCAAGGGATGCCGACCCGGGGGGTACGAGAGGCGCTTTCATTGCAGTGGAAGGTTCTGACGCGAGGTTGCTTCGAGAGGTGGGGACCGTCATCGAGAAGACGCTGGTGGCGTGCGGCGACATTGACTTGAAGGTGTGGAAGGACGAGTCGCCCGAGATGGACTCGTTGGTACAAGCATCGTCCTTGAGTCGTGCTGGTAGCAAATTCGGCGATTCCTTCGAGCCGTATTTCGACGTCGTATCCTCGTGGCAGAAGAAATCAAAGCAGATTGGCCGCCACATTACCGGCAAGACGGCCCTCATCCCGAGTGCCGAGGATCAAAGAGCAGACGGGGAGCGGGTGGTGGCCCAAGCCCGTTCAACCGAAGCCTGCACGCCGCCGGAAGACGACAGAGGACCAGGCTCGACCGTCAGGATGCCGGTGGCACTAGCCAGAGACGGGTTCAGCTTGACGGTGTCGGACAGGTACGCTTGCACGATGCCAATCCAGGACACTTACTCGCCACTCGATCATTGGCAGTGGATGGCGTCGCTTTGGCGTGGCACTGTCTGTCCGGATCTCGTGGTCCACGTCATGCCGGCTGAAGACGAGGAGACAGGTAGCCGCAGGGTTGTCGAACTCTCGCGGCGCCTGGGCTCGATCCTCGTCAAATTGCCCTCGGGCAAGGAAATCGATGAGGGCACAGAGAGGAGGATTGCCTTTGAGGTGATGGAGTGGATGAGAGAGGGATCGTTCCGCGAGGCGCTGCCTCAAGGATGGAGGTCAGATGCTCTATGAGCGCAGAACCGATTGGATTGCCGCCGCCATACCTCCTCACGTCGACGGAAACGACCGCGGCGTCTTGGGCCGTGCGCTGAGGCAGACAGGCCGACGAGCATGTTGTGAGGGCATTGTTGCATGTTCAGTGCCATGGGCGTAACGAGACCAAATAATGACAGTCGAAGTGTGCACAACTGCTGGGTGGTATTTGCCTGCTAATGTGAAGTCGAAAACGGCCTGGTGTCTTTCGAGATGCGAAGTGCGAACCCAAATTACTTTCCATTACCACCGCCTACCATTTCATACGTACCTGTACCTTGGACCAAGGCCTTGGAGTTACCGGTAACGACCCATGGTTATGTTAACGGCTTCCTGCATCGCTCCTGCATGGAAGGAGTCGCCTCTCGGGCACATATGGGTACGGGAAGGAGCTGTCGTTGTACGTCACTACGTACCTGCTTCAGACGCGGATGGTCGGTGCTCTGCTTCAGGGGCCGAGAAGTGGGGCCCGTGGTTGATTACTGGGCCGGTACCGCACGGGGATGGGGCGCGTCCACCAACACGCGTGTTTGTCTTGGTTAGGGGGGCCGCATCCACCCAAGCTCCATCCCATCATCCCCTGGCGCAGCCTCATTGTCAACAACGGCCTGGCATCGTCACCAACCAACTACGCCAACGACCTGCAACTTCACACCGTCCTGACCCGGCACGATGCGCCCCCGTCCCCTCAACCGCCTCCCATAATGCCCGACTTCAAATCGGGCCAGACGGTCCAGCTCAGCGATGGCCGCAAGGGCATCGTCCGCTTCGCTGGCCAAACCCACTTCCAGGTGGGAGAATGGGTCGGCGTCGAGCTCGAGGACAAGACCGGCAAGAACGACGGCAGCGTCCAAGGCGAGCGCTATTTCGACTGTCCCATGGGATATGGCATGTTCGTCAAGCCCATGATGGTGACCATCCTCGCCCAGCCGCCGGCCGCAAAGCCAGCCGCGGCCCGGAAGCCTGCACGGCCGAGCAGCCTCAACCCGGTGTCCGGCAGGACATCGGCCGCTGGCGGGGACGTGGCCTTGACGAAGCGCCGGAGCATGAACGCGCCAAGTCCGAGCCCTGGGCCTAAGATGTCCCGTCCGACGAGCGCTATCAGGGTGAGCATCCCGACCATGGCCGCGTCCATGATTCTAACGCGAAATCAAGTCCCCTGCAAAGTCTCCCACCAAGCAACTGAGCGGCCCGCCCAGCTCTTCAGCGTCACGGACCGGCACGCCCTCGAACACGCGCGTTTCGTCCGTCGGAAGTAAGCCTCGCACTTCGATAAGCGGATCGCGAACCTCAATGGGTCCACCTGCCCTCCCCTCTACCCGAACCGCGAGACAGTCCTCCATATCGTCTGTGGCTTCGAGAGCCAGCACCGTGACTGCGCGAGCGTCAACTGGACGAGCGCTGCCAGGAGGTGTCCGCCCACTGTCCCAACACAACTTCGCCCGCCGCCCATCTGCCGATTCCCAAGCAGGACGAGATAGCAGCTCGGCCGACGATACGACACCGGTGTCTCCTGTGAGGGGCAATGCACCCATAATTGCACCACAGCCAACCAGCCCGGCACGGGGGAGGGCAAATGCTCTCGAGAAGATGGCCGCCGCAACGTCGCCCGGGACATCCTCTACACCGCCCCTGAAGAGGGCGACAGCCGCAGCAGCCGCATCGCGAACCCCGGGCACCACCGCAGCAAGCCGCGAGATAGAAGATTTGAAGGCAAAGCTTAGGGTGCTAGAGCGAAAACGAATCGAAGATCGTGACAAGCTCCAGCAGCTTGACAAGGTTCAGGGCGAACGCGACAAGTTTGAGACCATCATCCAGAAGCTCCAGCAAAAATACCAGCCGCAGCAGCAGGAGAATGCCGAACTGAGGAAACAGCTAAAGGAGGCAGAGGCCCGTTTCGAGTCCGTGGAGGCCATGCAGGCCGAGCATGATTCTGCCCTGGAGCTCGCTGCCCTGGACAGGGAAATGGCCGAAGAGACGGCAGAAGTCCTGAAGATGGAGCTCGAGACGCTGAAGCAAAAGACCGAGGAGCTTGAGCTGGAGGTCGAGATTCTTCGAGAGGAGAACACCGAGTACAGCAAAGGCATGACGCCCGAAGAACGCGCGAGCACCGGTTGGCTGCAGATGGAACGGACGAATGAGCGACTGCGCGATGCCTTGCTGAGGCTCCGAGACATTACCCAGGAGCAAGAAGAGGGATTGCGAGACCAAATCACCGGACTCGAGGAAGAGTTGAAGCAGTTCAATGCCGTCAAGGCTGAAAATGCAAAGACGAAGGAGAAGCTGGACAAGTCCGAAGCCGCAGTTGATGACCTTCGCCAGCAGCTCGACAACGCTCTCGGGGCCGAAGACATGATTGAGGACCTCACGGATCGCAACATGAGCATGTCGGAGCAGATCGAGGAGCTCAAGGCCGTCATCGACGACCTCGAGAACCTGAAAGAGATCAATGACGAGCTGGAAGCCAACCATGTCCAGAACGAAAAGGAGATGCAGGAGGATCTCGACTTCAAGGACAGCGTCATTGCAGAACAGGCACGCCGGGCCGCCCAACAAGAAGAGTCGTTTGAAGACATGGAGTACACCCTTTCCAGGTTCCGCGAGCTCGTCACCAGCTTGCAGAGCGACTTGGAGGACATGCGGGCCTCACAGGCCGTGACCGAGGGCGAATCCGAGAAACTGAACGACCGTTCAAGAGCCATGATGGATCTCAACATGAAGCTTCAGCTTTCCGCTGCCAAGGCACAAGTCAAGACGATCGATCTAGAGCTTCGCCGACTGGAGGCAGAGGAAGCAGGCAAGCATCTCGAGATTGTCAGACTTTTCTTGCCCGATACCTACCTGGAAGACCAAGACTCGGTCCTTGCGCTGTTGCGATTCCGCAGGCTTGCGTTCAAGGCCAACCTTTTGAATGGCTTCATCCGGGAGCGCGTCAGCGGCCAGCCTCACCCTGGCCACGAGGACGATGTCTTTGCGGGCTGCGATGCGGTTGACAACCTGGTATGGGTGTCCGCCATGTGCGACCGCTTCGTCAACGACATTAGCCACTGTTCGATGGAGCGGTTCTCAAAGTACCAGAATGCCCTGCACGAGCTCGAGCCCGTGGAGCGGGCGCTCAATGCCTGGATCGATGGACTGCGACGGGACGACCTGAAGGAAAAGAACTGCGCAGACGAATTGCATCGCACCGTGTCTCTCATGTCACACCTCGCCGAGGTCCACATCTCCGCCGGGCTGTCCAGCTTTGCCGACGAGGTCCACATGCGGTCGCTGGTGGTCCAGAGTCACCTTGAGTCCGCGGCTGTTGCGTTCAACACGACGAAGCTCATGGTGCAGCGTGTGCTACCGGCAGAGGGTCAAGAGGGCGAAGACGACGAGCTGGGCCATCACTTCGCCAAGAAGTTCGACTTGATCATCACGCAGACCAGGAGCACCAAGGTCATTGCTGGCAAAGCCGTGCGGGCCTTGGAAGACCTCAAGACGCGATCACTGTCGCTTTCGCCAGACACGAGAGAGGCATTTGAACAATGCGAGAGTGGCAGTCTGGACCTGGCAACCCTGGCCCGCAAGATTGGCAACAGCGTCCACAAGCTCTTTACGCAGGACGAAGGTCGCAACGAGCCCTTCACACACGAGGAGGTCCAGGATGTCGTTCAAGCCGCCGCTACGGAGATTGGCGCGGCCATGGAGACGGATTCGATATCGCACTACTTGTCCAAGCTTCGCGCGGTCAACAGTCAGATCACTGACCTGGCCGGGCTGGCCACGGATCTGGAGCAGACGCAAGAGTTTGACATGAGCCCTGCTCCCTGGCGCCTCCGATCTCAGGAGCTCAAGGCGCTCAAGACGGTGCCCGTGGACGCAGAGGAAGAACTGCGCCGGCTCAGGGAGGAGCACAACGAGGCCCGCCGCACGATTGCGCAGCGCGATGAGCACCTCAGCACTGCTGTGCTCAAGATAGAGACCTTGGAGTCCCGCATGCGGGATGCACAAGCTAATGTCGAACGCATCACAAACCTGCAGAAGCAGCTCGAAGCGTCGGGCGAGCAGGTCACAAGTCTGAAGGAAGACATCGAGAAACAGGACCGGGAGCTCAAGAATCTCGAGTCGGAGCGCGACAAGTGGAAGAAGATTGCCAGCGACAGCCGGGCGTATGCCGACGGCGCCGACGCTGCGGGCATGAAGGCCGGACAGGAGCGTGCGGTGGCAACGGCCCGGGAGATGGATGCCTTGAAGAAGGACATCGAGAGCTTGCAATCGGCCGTACGGTATCTGCGCGAGGACAACCGCCGTGCTCGCACCAAGGAACAGCAGGGCTACGACTGGTTGGCCGAGCCGTTGACGAAGCCAACAGGCCTCGCGGAGCAGCGGAAGAAGTTGCTCCAGACCGAGGGCAAGGACGTCCTCGGCGAGCTGATCAAGGTGGCGACGTCGGCGACGCTCTTTGACTTCTCCGCCTTGCCCAAGGACAAGCTCGCCTGGCGCCCGGCCAAGACGACGCCGCAGTACCACACCGCAAAGCAAATGGAAGACTACGCCGCCCTGTCTTCGTGGCAGGACGCCGTGGTCAAGAAGTCTGCCATGCTTCGCGCTGGCATGGACGACGGCTCGGGGCGGCTCATCCGCAACCCCGCGGCGCAGCTGCAGATCAGGCTGCCCCGCGGCGACGGCAAGGCGATGATGGCCGGGACGGGCATCGGCGCGGGCGGCGTGCAGGTGGTGGGATCGCGTGAGTGGGAGGCGCTGCAGGGGAGCAGGGGCAGGATGGCTGCTGTATGAAGGAATGGCTGCGACAGGGCTGCTGCTGGTGCTGCTGCCCGTGACGAAGTCAGGATCAGGATTGATACCCACTGGACCGAGAGGTCCTGTAGACAGACTCGAGGCGTACATGAGTTTTGTGTTTTATATACACTTCGTATTGCCATCTGTCCGGATGCTGTACAGTTTTCGAGGCCGCAAGGGATATGGGCATTTTCAAGGATAAATAGACCTCTGTGTCATGTGCTCGTTTGGTATATTTTGTTTTCCTGTCTGCAGGAATTGCAGAGGCCCAACTTTGCTCTCATGCAGAGGCGGATGAATGCATCTCCTGTAGCGAACAATGACCCATCAAAGCCAGCCCATCCGGACATGTCCAGGCTCTTTGCTGTACCGCTCTCATCCCGCACATGCGCCCATCATCAAGCCCTCCCCTTGCCCTTCTTGTCCTTCTTCTTCTTGCTTCCACCGCCGCCCGCACCGCCCTCGTCCCCAAAGCCTCCTGCGCCAGCACCAGCAGCACCAGCCTGCTGGCTCGCCATGAGCGCCGCCATGGGGTCCCCGCCGCCCTGCATCTCCTTCATCATGTCCTTGAAGAGGTTCTCGGACACGCCGCCGCCCGTCATGGCGGCGCTCAGGTAGGGCAGCAGCTCGCCCATCTTCCAGCCGCGCGGGACGGCGGGCCGCGGGTAGGGCTTCCCCTCGGGGGGCTGGAGCTGGCCGCCGACGCGGAGACGCAGGCCGGCGCTGGCCTCCGTGGTGGGGTTCTCGACGAGGTGGCGCGCGACGAGCGTGTAGAGGTGGTGCTTGTTCTTGACCGCGGTGGTGCCCGGGGCGGATTTCTTGAGGCCGACCTTGACGCGGCCCGGGTTGGCCCAGTCCTTGGGGTGCGTCTTCTCGGGCTCGAGGAGCGTCTGCAGGCGCAGGCGGGAGCACGCGTTGGCGATGTCGCGCGCGAGGGGGTTGCGCACGGCGAGGTGGGCGGGCACGCGGCGGCCCTCGGCGCGGGAGCGCGTCGCGTCGAAGTAGACGGGGTACAGCGTCTGGAAGCCCTTGTACGCGGCGTGCTCGTCGGCGGAGAGCCCGCCGCCGCCGGGGCCTGCTCGCAGAGGGTTGAGGTCCGCCGGGTCGAGGATGTGCGACTGCGCGGCCGCGCGCTGTTGTTGCTGTGACTGCTGTGACTGGGTTTGCGCTTGTGATCGGGGGTCGGCCACCCGCCGGATAATGTCCGTGTCGACAAAGTCGTCAATGTCGCCCTCGTCCGGGTCCGAGAAGGCGTCTGGGTCGCTGTCCGAGACCTCTTCCACGCGGGGGTGTGACATGGCGGGCTAGCTGCTCCGTCCGTTTGTCTGTCCGATGACGATTTCGCCCTCCTTCTTCCCGTTCCTTCGTCTCAGTCGGCGAAGGCGATGCGGGCAGGCAAAGGCCAGAGAAGATTTCAGGCCGGGCGCCGCGAATGCCCAAGATGCCGACGATTCAATGCGGTAGGGGGGCGCAGCTCGCGGTCGTAAACGGGGGGCGTGGGCGGGTTCGATTGGGAGGCGGGGGGAGATGGTGGGATTCGCCTGGTCGGTGGTGGTGCGTCTTTGACGAGGTGAGGTTGAAACTGGCCACAGCTGCTGGGTGGTGGCACATGGATTTTGACGAATGGTGGGGTTGGCCGCCTGTGGGTTTCTGGTGGGGACGCTTGGGGGGGCCTTCATGTCCAAAGTCTCGCGGGGCAAGTGGCCGACCGGGCCGGCAAACCAGACCAGACGACTCAATATCCCTCTCGACGTCCTCTGGTCCAAAACCCAAAGAAGCCACAAAAAACGTGATAAATGCTCGCTTCTGGCATCCGACCTTGTCAACTTACAAGGTCATGTCATCCTGCGCCCCTGGCGTTCCTCTGAAGTGAAGAAGAAATTGTGCGCGGGAGCTTGAGCCGACTCGAGGACCTGGCAGCCAGGCTGAATGAGAAAAGGATAAAAATCCCTAGTTTCAGTACTTGACCATTATATAACGAGATGCCCTCGCTCTGTATATCTATATGCCTTGTTCTGTGTCATGTCGTTTGTGCGTGACATCCGCAAAGCGAGACCCAAGCCCCTTTCCCGAGTCCCACCTGAGCCATCCTCATGTCGGCGGCCTCCTGATATATACGTACTCTAGTTGTTGGCTCGGATATGCGAGTTCCTATACTTTGTGCCGGGAGGATGCGCGTCCTCGGCAAACTTGCAAAATGGGTGGCAGCAGACGCCATCCTTCATGCTCGGGCACTGTCGGCCAGTCATTAGCATCGCCCGCAAATTAGAAACACGTCGCCCACTCACATGATGTCCGTAGATGCAGTCCTTCAGCTCGCAGTCCTGGCCGCTGGTGCAGGGATTCTGCCGCGCGAGCACGGCGATGGCGTTGATCTCGTCCGCCGTGGGCTTGTAGTTGTGGACAAACATGCACGAGTCGCCCTTGGTGCAGGGTCCGCGCAGGAAGTGGTTGTTGCACAGCTTGTCGTGGTCTTTGCGCTTCTTGATGTTCTCGAGCGCCGTCACACTGACCGTGATGGGCTCGTCCAGGCCCCGGGCGCCAGGATTCCAGTCCGGCTGCTGCGGCGGGATCTGCTGATACTGCACCTTGGGGCGCGTCACGGCGCTAAACGGCCTGGGCGCAATAGCCACGTTGATCTGGGGCGGCGGGCTGCCGCTGGACGTGACGTTGGCGTAGGACATGATGCTGCTGCCGGGCGTGAGGTTGCTCGAGCCGACACTCGTGGCCGGGCTCGCCGTGCGAGGGCCGCCGTTCGCCCAGGCTGAATACGCGCTGCCGTTGGGGGTCTCACATCGGAAGAGGTTCTTTCCAAGATCCATGACCTTGACCTCTGTCGAGGCCAATTCGTGGGCCACGGGAACTCCCTCGATGACGGTGATGCATTCGCGTGTAGTCTCGTCCTCGAGGATCTCGCTTACAAACGGAGCATATGACGGGTCGTGCGATATTCCCAGCAAAATGTGCTTGCAGTTTTGATTTTGCAAATGCCAGCGCGTGTTATCTGCAGGAGGACGATAACGAAACGTATCAGCACAAAGGGCGAACTCTCGACGTTCAGCAATGGCCGCGAGCATACCTTTCAGCTTGGAGCTCGCGGCACCTGGGGTGGTGCCCACATCGACAAAATCAAACGAGGCGTACGCGTTCGTGAAGCCGGCGGCAAAGTCCCTGATATCAGCACAGCTTTCCAGGCCGCCAGCGCGGGACAGCGTCTTGCCGAGGCCGGCCCTGTTTGCCACGACCTTGCACACAATTTCGATGTCGTCTGCACGCTCACCGCACTGCTCAGCGATGGCTTCTCGGAGCGCCTGTGCAGCCTTCTTGCCGCCTTCGAAGCCCTGACGCGTCCATTGCTCCCGGAACTTATTGACGTTAGGACGGTTCGAGTGAGCAAAGGGGTGAGACGTACAATTAAGCCGTCGCCATCAATCATCACCAAAATGTATGAATTGCGATCCTGACATGAGCTGCTCAGCGTCCGAATTTTCAAGGGGCTGCCCAATGCTCGTCGTCGCCGCCTACCTTCAAATTCTTATTCTCTTCTATCAGCCAGGTGGTCTGCGTCTCCTGCGTCTGCAGCTGGTGCAGGAGGTCTCGTCTCGAGTTCGTGCTGTCGGTGAGATTGAACTTGCACGCCTGCAACTCGTCCGAGAGCTTCTTGTTTTGCAGACGCAGACTGCTTTCGACCCGATCGCAGTACAAGAGGAGATCCTTCAAGAACCGAGGCGTGAGCTATTACTGTACATATTGCTTGGAACCTGGTGGAAGGAAGAATGGCTTGGAGCTCGCCATAGTCCCCCCGGCCAACAGAGAGATGGGGATGTGGGGTGGTGCGTGTACGGACCCGAATAAGCGTGTCGCTGGTATCGTGTTGGAGTTGCAGCTTATGGAATCGTTGCACAAAATCAACGACGCTCTGTCCGAGGGCGGCCATGTTTTACCGAGTTTTGTCGTTGGGATTCGTTCGATCGCGCTGGCGTGTTTTGCGAGAGACAAGAAGATGGAGTGAGTGCGAGCTGGTCTTTGTTGTAGATGATGTTGCTGTTGTTGTGTGGCACAGTATTAGTTAGATGGAAGGAGGGATGCTGCTGCTGCTGCTCAATGAACCCCTGCTTTCTGGGGAAATGAGATCTCGCGTGCAGACGTCTCGGAGAGAAGAGATGACGGGGAAAGGCTCCAACATAACAAAAAAGGTAGGTAACGCAGCATGTGCCGGGCCTTGCAGCGGCTGCAATAATGTTAAATAACGTAATTCACTGGTCGGCGGGCGAGTTGCTTTTCTCTTAGTCGGTCGGCCGGCTGCATGGCGCGTCCCGGGGCGTGGCTCGTGCCAGCCAGCTGCTGGTGCTTTGCCGCCGCCGCTGCTGCTGGTGCTGGTGCTACTCTGTCTGTTGGCGGTGGTGGTGGTGGTGGTGCTGCTGCTGCTCGTCCCCCCCCCCCCCAATGGCAGGATCCACGATCCATCCGCAGCTGCTGCTGCTCCCGCCCCGAACCGTGGATACGTATGTACGCTGATGAACCCGTGTTTCGCAGATCCCTCGAGGGCCTGTATCCCGAGTCCCCACGGCGCACCCAACTCGCAAAACTAATAATAAGGCGTCGTGTCACGACGCAATCAACGGGGCGGCCGTGAGTGCGCTGAGCAAACACAAACAAATGCAGCCACGCACAGTCCAATCACGCGGATCCCGGCAAGCGCGCGCCTCTTCCCGCCCACCTCCTTGAATCATCAACGGTTTCATCTCATTGCAGGAGCCCGCGGCCGATTGCCCCAGCTCGCTGGTGCCTCGTCATGCCCGCTCTCGCTTACGTATATTCACGCCTCCTGTGACTGAAACTGGTTGAGAATCTGCCATACCGTGTCCTCGCCAAAGTCGCCTTCGAATTGCCACGGCAAGACGCCGCCCGTGCCCAGCGACGCGTCGTCTCCGTCCATGGGCACCGCCATCATCCCCTGCTGCGGGATGCCCGTGAGGTCGTTGTAGATGAGGTCTGACGTCGGAAACAGAGGAGCGATCGCCGCCAGGTTGTCTACCGGCGGCAGGGACCAGTCGGCCGCCGCCATCATCGCCGTCGAGTACCCTACGTCCTGGACCGGTGCCCCCGGCCCGGCCGCGACGTGGCCCGTTTCAACTGCCGGTTTGCTCGGTGGGCTCACCGACGTTGCGCTCGTCTGTCCGAGGCTTGTGGCGCCAGGGGTCTGTGTGCTGCTCCCCCCGGTGGTTGACGCCGTCTGCCCACCCACCGCTCTCGTCAGTTTCGCCAGGATGGCGCGCAACACGCCCTGCGCAGACTTGGCCAAGGGGTTGCGATCTTGCATTGCCGCGAACCGCTCAATCGCCCAGTACACTTTCTGCGTCGCGCTGTCCCGAAGCTCAGGGTGGTCGTGTGGGAACAGTATATAAATGGCCGCGATGACGACAATCGCGTCAAAGCTTCCAAAGAACAACAGGAAGCTGCGTCGTGTCAGCCTCAAGGACCAGGTGTCTGTGCATGCATGTGTGCGGGCTTACCTCCTCCATGCCCTGGGTGGAAGGCTCTCGAAAAACTGCCGTTGTAGCTCCAACAAATCCAGGCTGGCACGCAACGCGTGTATGCGGCTCTCTTTTCGATGAAATATGTACGGCCGATGCAACGCCATGAGACTGAACTCGTGCAGCTGTGCCACGTAGAGCCGAGTTGGTTGAATCCAATGCGTGTCGACATCATTGTCCCACCTCGTGTCTGGGTTTTCCAGTCGGAATGCAGCCGGCTTCCTGTCGTTCAGCTCCATGATTGCCTGATGAAGCCTGTCAACCTTGGTAAAGTCTCTCGGGTACGGCCCTTCCCGCTCGAGATCGAGAATGTCTCGGAGCGGGAACATGAGTTCATGGAGCCATAGCGCCCGCGTGAGGGGCGTCGGTGGGTCATTGTCCTTGTCCCGCTGTATCAGCGCTGTTTTCGACTGAAAGGTCGACGCCGGTACGTCGATGGGGATGGACGGCAGGCCGTGTCTTGCATCCACGGCTCCTGGCCGGCCCAACATGACACACATGTTGATATCCCTGTCACTTGTCAGCGCAGGCGCCCAGGCCGTGAGCGTCGGCTGGGTGAGGTGACAAACCATATTACCAACATCATATACATTTTACGCCGTCTCTGGACAAGCCACTGGTTTTCTAGAATGGCTTCTGGAGTGTCATCCTTGGGCTTCGGGTCGAGACTGTCGCGATGCATGCCAAGCTCTTGCGCGTCCCTGACAGCAACCCCAATCGTGTGCCACTGATGTTGCGTTAGCAAACTTCTCCAAAAGCCTGAGGGCTTTACCGACCGATTCTGTGACGTTGGCAGTAAACTTCAGAAACGAAGCTCTCAGAAACTCGGCTTGCACAGTCGTGAGTGACAAGCCCTTCTTGCCAAAGAGGTTGACAATCGCAGCACCGGATTCACTATACTCGGAGGCCAAGTCTTCAAAAGTCATGGTCCCTGCGTATTTCAGGCCCTGGAAGTCGGAGGGCTCGTCCTCGGATATGAGCAGCAGGGCCGTCGCGATGATTTGAAACAGCACAGCGGGAAACGCCCTCAGGTCTGGCGAGAGTGCCTCGGGCCCCTCGTTGGACAGCACGTTGAACGGAATGCTGTGCCACTCCTCAAGTTGCTTGAAGAAGAGGCCCGGGTCGACGTACGAGTACTGGTAGTTGAACTCGTGCAGGAACAGGCGGATGAGCTTGTCGACGTAGGTCCTCGCAGGAAGTTGCCTGATGAGGCCCTTGTACTTTTCCCGAATGGCAAAGCTCTGCTGCTTGGAGCCCCAGGATGGAGCCGCCATGGGTCCATCGACATAGTCCGCGTCCGCCATCTCAATCTTTTTGAGGAAGCCGATTGTCGAGGTGCCAGTCTGGCCATATCCCCAGGTGGCGGCCATGGACGACAGCGGCTCATCTCTCTTGAGGTCGCCTTGGTCGTCATGACGGCCCGGTGAGGGCTTGCGCATCTCATAGTCCCGGGCCGTGGGTGCCCCGGGGTCATAGCTGCAGGCCGACTCCCGATTCCTGGACCGGCAGTTGGAGCAGGGCAGCTCGCGGTCACACTGTGCGACACTTGGTCAGAATGGCGTGTCCGTCGTCATCTGCAGCAACGATCAAACAAACAAACCTTTTGCTTACGTCTGTGGCACTCGCCGCATGAGATGACGATGCGCCGTCTCTTCCTGGGCGGCCCTCGCTCAGAGGGCGGGTTGCCGTCTACCGAGGGGTCGTCCATTGCGCCGCCCGGGCCAGCTGGCAGACCACCTACCCACTGCGCCCGCAAGCCCAGGGCGTCAATGTCGAGATGGCGGCAAAAGATGCTGCTGCTGTCGGCTGCGTCTTTGTGTCGCGAGAGGCGCTTGAGAGAGGGAAATGAGGCTCGCCCACCCAACAAGGCCGAAAAAGAGCTGCAAGGCTATGCGCAAAGTAACGTGCTTTGCTGGTCGAAGTCGCGGAAGGAGCTGCCCTGTCTTGGGTCTCGAGTCTACGTCTACGTTAGGAACCGGGGTGGGGCCGGCTGCGACGCCTGCTCCTGCTTGGCTCGCTCGCCTGACATGACGATTGACGCTCCTGTCAAAACGTGGACTAAACTCCGTGCCGCGGGGATTTAACCCCGTGCGTGGCAGCCCGGCCGTCGGTGGGGTCCCAGTCCAGGTCCAGCAGCCTCTCCAGCCCTGCCGATTCGGGGTTCCGCAGCCTCGGGCCGTGACTCGCAGGCGACTCGGTGGTTTCAGCTCACCATCTTCTGCCCGGAGCAGCACCAAGGTAGCACCGTGAGCAATTCAGGCGCAGGCGCAGAGACAATGCAGCACTGTCTTGCTATTATAGATTCGTCATTACCCGAAACGGTCCACGTATTTACGGCTGGCCTCTCCCTAGATAGTGCCATGGTCTCCCCAACATCTGCATCTTTCAAGCATCAACCAAGCCCAATTCATTGGCTTTTACACCCCAAATACCTGCGCCCTGTATTGCACACATACACACAGCCGGCCCTCAACGCACCCTCTCCGTGTACGCCTTCCACGCTGCTGACCGGTACCGCTCCGCCTCCTCCTCGGGATCACCGGCCCGCAGGATGCCGCGTCCGACAATGGCAATGTCTGCGCCACACACGCCGATGATCTTTTGCGGCGTGTTGTACTGCTGTCCCTTGCCGTCGCCCTGGACCGTCCCGTTCTGGTCCTCGTCCTCTGGCGGCAGTTGGCAGCCGGGCGTCATGTGGATGAACTGGTCCTCCGGCTCCGAGTTGAGGCTCTCCTGCGACACGAAGCCCATGACAAAGTCCTTGTGCTCTCGCGCGGCCTCGACGCAGGCCTGCGTGTACTCCTTGTTCATGAAGTTGCCCTGGCTCGACATTTGCGCCAGGATCAAGAGACCTCTGGTCATCGGGGCCTCGTCGATGCCGGCGAACAGAACCTCGTCGCCGCCGGCCATGCTCTTGGTCAGGCGCGGCGAGTTGGCAGGCTCATACTGCTGCGTGACGGTGGTGACGGAAACGATGCTGCCCTTGCGCCCGTCGTCGGCCCGCGTCTTGCCCTCCTCCTTGTCTGCCTTTCCCTCCTGACTTGAGCCTGTGTCCACGTCCTCGAACTGTTCCGCGGTGGGCGTGCCGACGGTGACGGAAGTCTTGACCTCGTACGGATACCGCTCGAACCATCGCGTGGCGGCGTTGGCGAGCGAGGCGACAGACGCCTTGCCCGGGACCATGTTGACGTTGACAATGTGGGCCCACTCGATGATGCGGGCCGAGCCCCCAATGTACTGCATCTCGACCGTGTTGCCGATGTCGCCGAACTTGCGGTCCTCAAAAATGAGGAAGCCATGCTTGCGGGCGAGAGAGGCGAGCTTGGCGCCCGTACCGGTCTGGGGGTGAAAGTCCCAGCCCGACACCATGTCGTAGTGAGTCTTGAGCACCACGATGGACGGCCCAATTTTGTCGGCAAAGTAGAGCAGCTCACGTGCCGTGGTGACGTCGGCACTCAGACAGAGGTTGGAGGCCTTGAGCTCCATCAACCGGAAGAGGTACGAGGTGAGAGGATGAGTGGCCGTCTCAGCCCTCGAGGCGCACGTCGCCTTGAGCGTCGGGTGCGGTGCCATTGCGGTTAAGTGCCGGCAGGATTCGCCCGATTTTGGTGATGAGAGGTCGACTGTCGCGGGTGCCGCGTCGTCAGCGTCGTCTGAGGGGAAGACGAGCTGCAGCCTTGCACCGGCGGGTTGACTCGAAGACTGACACGTTCAGTCAAAGGTGCGCTGGCGTCTCACACGTTTTTAGGCACACAGGCGTTCTGACTCGCGGCGGCCGTCAAGCGTGTATGAGCAGATAGGAGGGGCAACGGCAGGTGGCACGGAGGCGCCGTTATGAGACGGCGAGACCGGATCTAAATGAAGAGTGCCGGGCAGGGAGGGCGAGCCACTGGCGCGAGCTGTCTCGAGCTGTTGGTCAACCGAGAGAATTGGGACGAGTCGATTCGGTTCCTTGCAAGGCCGACAGGTTCTCGATCCAGGAGGGATCGGAGGGCGACGCAACAGGGGGGAAGGTCTGTTGGGGGAACCCGGCGGCGGCAACGTCGAAGCAAGCAAGCAAGCACTCGACGGTTCGATGTGGAGTGATGGTGATGGTAGTGGTGGGATGAGGGTAAGATCAAGCGGGAGCAGCAACACCGGGTCGGGCGCAGTCGCATGCAGGAGCCGGTGGTCGCCGCACCGGCTTTGCAAGAGGACGCGGGGGGGCGAAATGAGAGGCAGTGGTCACATCAACAACCACAGGGGGGGCGGCGAGAAGAAGCAATCGGGGTCCGATGATAAAATTGGTCGAAGGATTTTTGTTAGATGCGCCCACTTTGTGGCGGCGGGACAAAGGCGAAGAATTTTTGAGGTGCGGTGCGGCACCTGCAGGCAGGTTCTGGCTGGCGCTCGCCGGCACCAGCAGACGCAGCAACCTGGCAAGGTATTCACGGCAAAGCGCCTGAGTCGCCGCCAGTAGCGAGCGGGCTGGACTGGCTGGACTGGGACGGGGACCCTGCAAATGGAAAGCGGGCGGGTGGTTTGGCTACCTTTGCCGGGGGAGGAGGAGAGGTGGGGTGGGGGACCTGAGGGAAGCGTGACGTGTGGTGGCGCACTGTAGGGACCTTGCCAAGCTTGCTTGGGGAACCACATGCCCTCTTCATGAGCGAGCGTGAGGTGGTGGAAGAATGGACCCTGCTCAAGCCCATCTTGGTACTATCACAAGTTTGGCCGACTGAACAAGTGCAGCCCTCCCGGCTCAGCAACGAGGTGAGCACCGCCATCGGGGTTCGAGCATCATTGTCTGTCCAGACTCAGCTTTCGGGGTGGGCTGTTGCTTCAACCCGGCGTGGAGGGGCAACAAGCCTTGGGGCAGTCAGTGGAGGGCAGCACCTCGGGGGCACGGCACCTCCAGTGGAGGCCAGGGAGGTTGTCACCGGGTGGGCCCCCGCGGCGCGGATGCACTGTGATGGCCGCCGAGATCCACTACCGCCGCCGCCGCCGAACAGGGGACCTAGCTGGCTGGAGCTGCTGGGCTCCCTGCCACCAGGGCAGCTTGCTTGCACGGCGGCGAACGGCACTCCGGGAGCATCCATGCCCATCGTCCCTCCATCCATCCACCTGGGCCTCAACAGCTGCTTGCTTGCCTGCTGCTACAACGTAGCCGCAGCCACATAACCCCCCTGCCGGCCCAATGCCGTGGACAGCCAACCGTGGACCTTACCGTACCCTGGCCCCCCCTGCTCTGCGCCGCCGAGGCTGCTGTGCCACGGCCAATCGAGCCCGTTTGTCCACGAGAAGAGGGCAATCGGCGCGCAACAAGGCAAGCTCGTGGTCGTCTGACGCGGCTGGGCCCTTGTCGTCGAGGTGGTCACAGGTCAGGGGCCCCCTTGGCGGTGGCGGCTGAAGTGCCAATTCGCTGGGGACCGGAGGGGTGACGATGCAACGACGCAGCGGCTCGCTGCTGCGTCTCCACGATGAGGAACCCCGGTCTAGCCTGGATGGGGAGGACTCGTATACGATGCCTATAGTCCTCAGCCTTACTGTGTACGAAGCTTGGTACGAGTAGATACTGCGCTAGGCGGCATGAGTAAGGCCGCAATCGATGGCAATGGACCGGACGGCGGTACCAGGCGAAATCGCCCATTGATGGCGAGATGGTGGCATCATGGTCGTCGATGCCGGCGGCAGGCAGTTGCGCTTGCAACGACTTAATGTGCTCCGGCGGCTGCAGCGTTACCCGCGCTGCAGCGACCCCCACTGCTCGTCAAACTACCTTGCCTCGACTGTGCGAGTGTAGTGTCCATTGAGGTATGGAAAGGGCCGTGGTAGCGTGCAGTACCTTAATCAGGGCTCGCCACCCGTCACCTTGCCTCGTCCGCCGTTGACACCGAGGATCTGTCCGTGGCGTGCCTACCGGGCTGCCCGCCGACCTGGCGCACGCTACGTGGTCCCTCTGCTGCAACGCAGGTCAACTACTGCACGCCGTCCCTTCGGGGCTAGCACGTCTTCAACCCATATGCACGGTTTGGCGATCACCCGGCCCTGAGAGGCCGATCCGTGGCCCGGGGTCCCTCGCTGGTGGATGGGTGGAGGGGACACGCAAGACAGGACGGGCAGGACGGGCAGGCCATCACGGACCCTTCCGGGCGAGATGCGCTGATGAGGGTTGTCTTGGCTCTCCATCCCGCGCAATGCCTCCCCCGCTGCACGTAACAGCTGCATCGCTCCGATGGGCGGGGGGTTGCATCGAGAGCTGCCACGAAGCATAAGGGCCGCCTAACAAGAGGAGGATCGCGTCTGGCATACGGAGCAGAGACTGGGGTGACTACAGTACTACGATACGGTATCCCTGCCGCAGCTCGTTCGAGACCGACGTCTTGACGGCTCCCGACTAATGCCTGGCTAACGTCGCACCGTACGTAGGCTGCAGGTGCGCCGTCCTGCCGTGCTGGGGCAAGGAGCATCGCAAACAATCACCCTGCAGGCTGCATGTAAGTGGTGTTGGAGGCCCTGCAGACCAAGAGCCGGCCGTCACCCGTGTGGACGAAGGCCAGCTGCCTTTACATCGCCCATTGACTGCTCTCCCCGGCCCTCTTCAGAAATAGCAACGAGGGGAGAGGGACTCATCAGGCTATTCTCAGCGACGAGACTGGTCCATGACGCACAAAGGAGGGACCCCATGCCGGCAACTCCCAGCGAGCCGCCTGATCTGGACGCGCGATGCGGAGAAGTTGGGACCTCGCAGGAAGCGTTTCAGCACCGCCATCCCTGACTGCCGTCCATAACGGGCATGGTAGCTGCAGTATTAGGCTTGTGCTCGCATGCCTCGCTCGCTCTGCAGTTAAAAAAGGTCCCCTGCCGCCTCTGGCAACCGATCATCCAGCCGGATGGCGAACCGTCTGGGAAACCGTTGGCCCGTTTCGCAAACCCCGGACAGACGTTGGCTGACAGCTGGCGGCTTCGCAATCGCGAACCCGCGGTTGGGGCCCTCGTCACGATGTCTATAAACGGCCGCCCGGCGGTTCCGCGCGTGTTGGCATCGACCGCCGGGTGCTCCACCATCGGTTCGTCGGCAATTGGCATGAGCCTTGAGGTACGTATGTGACAGCACCTCTTCCTGTGACGCCTTTGAACGGAACGTGACAGCGAGAGCGTTTGCGGGTATCGGGCAGAATGAGACAGCGGGTTGTCGTTGGCGGTGGCGTGGTTTTCGCTGGAGCCCGCAGAGTCGGCCCCCTGCCTTGCCGGCCATTTTGATGCAGGGTCCTCTGGTCGGAGCATGGCCTGTCGGCCAGTCTCAGGGAGTTTGTCTCTCGAGCCCGCAACCGCCGTGTTGACTCTGTTTCTTTCGCATCCGACACGGCAAACCGACCGCTGCTGACAAGACAATCGTCCTCCAGCTGAGCTGCCCTGTCGCAGCCATGGCGGGCACTCGCTGGCTTATCAGCAGCTCCAGCTGCCACCTTCGCGAAAGGCACGGGAGGCCCACAGAAAGCTGCTGGGCGACTGGGCGACCCTCGAGCCAATCACAGCACATAGCGCGCTCAAAGCTCCCCGTTCTGGCCAGCACCGAGCGCGCAGCTCATTAGCCAAGCTGCCCTCCAGGGCTTCCATAAGGTAAGGCCCTTGAGCTACGTCAGCAGCGCGCCTTGGGTCGCAAACATTACCCACGAAATTGTAGCTGGCTGGCTGGCGCGCGATAGGGGACCTCAAGCCGCGCTGGAGCTGCTGCAGGCCGCCCGGGCACCGGTGGAACGCGACGCTAACTTACCCGTGGACCTCCCAGGTTACCTTGCCAGCGCCGGGCCAGCCGGCCGGCCGCTGTGTCCGCGCCCGTGGAGCTTGGCGTCTGGAGAAACCTAAAATCCACCGGACCTTGGCCCAAATTGCCTCGACGCTCTCCTGATCATCATCGCCTCAGCCTTCCTTGGTCCCATTTTCCTCAACCGTCAACCTTCACTTCGCATCCGCTCCTTCGCACACAGCTGCCACCGTCACATCACCGTTCTCACCGGCGCGAGTCCGCTCTCCCGCACGTTTCGCGCTCGCATCGCATCGACCGCGCGCGATTCGATCCGCCCGGCAGCTTTTCCTCGGCTTTCGCGCCACGCGCTTGTGCAAGCCATCGTCGAACGACCGCCCGCCTGCCCCCTGCCCTCGGTCACGCTTCCGCCGTTGCATCGCCGGCCACGACCCGCGCGGGCACACTTGCGGCACATCGATAGCGAAGAAGTTTTTTGACGCGAGACTGGACACAGCTTCGCAGCAACCATGCCTGCCCGGCAGACTCGAAGGAAGACGGCGGCGGCGGCGGCGGCGGCCAAGGCCCGCGATACGCCGTCATCATCAGACGAGGACGTGCGCGCGTCCCCCATGAACGGCAGCGCCGTCGTCCACAGCGCGTCGTCGGAGAAGTCGGACGCGGAGCCCAAGGAGAACATCTTCCTCTTCTGGCCCAATGTCATCGGTACGTCGATATCCGCCGCATCCGCGCGCGAATCCTTCCCGCCAAGTCCGCTCAAGTCCGCCGCCCTGCTAACGTCGCGGCCACCGCAGGCTACTGGCGAATCGTCCTCGCCATCGCCTCCCTATACTACATGCCGCTGCACCCGCGGACGTGCTCGCTGCTGTACAGCATCTCGTGCCTGCTGGACGCGCTCGACGGCTATGCGGCCCGCATCTTCGAGCAGTCGACCCGCTTCGGCGCGGTGCTCGACATGGTCACCGACCGCTGCACCACCTCGTGCCTCCTCGTCTTCCTGTCGTCGGCCTTCCCCCGGTGGGCCATCATTTTCCAGAGCCTCATCGCCCTCGACTTTTCCAGCCACTACATGCACATGTATGCCACGCTCGTCGTGGGCGGCGCCGACTCGAGCCACAAGAACATTGATAAGAGCCAGAGCCGGCTGCTGAACCTGTACTACTCGAACAAGGTTGGTGACACTGAGCTGCTACTCAGGAGTGATGGAATTGTAAGCTAACGGCTGTGCGCTCTAGAATGTCTTGTTCGTCTTCTGCGCCCTCAACGAGCTCTTCTTCATCGCCCTCTACCTCTTGTCCTTCTCGTCGCCTCTTCTGTCGCCCCACCTCATCAAGAGCGTTGAGGAATCGAGCGGCGGCTTCATTCAGCCCGGTGCGCCGGTCAACGCATCGCTCTTGAGGCAGCTGTTCCCGGACCCCTTCAGCGCGGCCGCCCTTGAGATTGCCCGGGCCAACAAGATGGACTCGAACATCCCTTGGGCTCTTGCCGGACTCAGCTTCCCCGTCATGGCCATGAAGCAGTTCATCAACGTCGTACAGCTCGTCAAGGCGAGCAAGTCGCTCGCCGAAGTGGACATTAAGTCGCGAAAGGCGAAGGGCCTCCCCAGGAAGGTCAAGGCTGGGTAAGCCCATCGACGTGGACATGGCACGACCCGAGGGCTCTCACTCCAGCGACGGCGTGCTTCGGAGCCTCTGTGGGACGTGCACTGGCTGTGTCGTGCAGTACTTTCTGCCAGTGGTGCGGCGGACGACGCGGCGCGATGTAAGACGTGCTAGGCGGCCGACGACAATCTATTTTACTAAACTTAGCGGGTGCTCTCCTCTGCAAGGACCGGGGCTTGAGGAGAGGCCAACACCCGACACTTTAATGCAGGGCCGACCCACGGCGAGTGGTGTCAGGAACCAGGGATGTTGCGTGCATAGTTTCGGCGCAAAGGGGGAACCCCCGACGGAGGGGGTCCAGGGGAGGGCCGGTTGGCGGTGACGGTGTATGAACTCTCGACGTCTGAATCTCCCATGCCAGAGATCGAGGCGGCCCCCCCTCACGCAAAAGGTGAGGCGAGGGCAGATGAGAGAAAGAAAGAAAGCTGGTGGCTCTCCGAGGAATTTTGAGATTTTTTTGATCGGATTTAACCAGCGGTCATCATGTTCTCTGATCTCATCTTTTTTTTTCCGAACTCTCGCTTTGTATAGATATGTTGTTACTTGGTGGGGATTTCTTCTGCGCGCTCTTATACCTGTCTCTTATACACATCTAGATGTGTATAAGAGTTCAGTGTGAAAGGCTGTTCTCTGCTCTGACGGTATGAGCATGAGTGGCGGCACTGGAGGGGTGAATATGTGGCTGCCGGACGGACAGGACACGGGCGCGGTGCGTGCCTTGTCATAGAAAGAAAGGGCCACTCTCGAGCGGGATATCATATAGTAGTAACTAAGGTAATTAGTGACATGCTGGGGTTCTACAATGCTTGGGCCTGGATTTCATCCACGTCGTGTTTCCGCCCACTTCAGTTCAAGGTCCTCTACTACTTCTGGCTGTATGCTGCGGAACGAACAACCACCGCCATTCTACCTCATGCATCTGCTCGCTACCAACGGAACGTTTAACAATCCGACTTTCGTCAAGACGTTGCTCGGTGGCCGCCGCCGCCACCACCGGACACGGCCGTGACGAGGGCTTCGTCTCCATGAGCGTTGGGAGCGTTGGCGTTCCCGGCATCGACATCGCTCGAGTCGCTGACGATGCGGGCCACCTCGGGGGGCACCTCGTCGGCGGGCTGGACGAAGCCGTACCAGGCGACGACGCAGACGCCGAGGATGCCGGCGATGCAGCTGAAGACGAGGGCGACGATGCCGCGGGTAGTGAAGCTAGATAAGGGGGGAATCAAGTAATGTCAGCTCTGCGCTCAACCTTACAGGATGGGGATGGAGGGAACAGGGGGGGCGAAGTATGCGTACCCGGCAGGCAGGGGGGTGGGCGGCTCGTTCTGGCCGCTGAGGTCGAGGAGGTCGGCCGTGTTCCCGGCGGCGTTGCCGGCCGTGGGCTGGCCGGCCGACTTGCACACGGCGAGGTGGTCCTCGGGGATGGTGATTTGCTTCTGCAGCTCGGTGGGGGCCTCGATGAAGGTGGCCATCAGGCCGGAGACGACGTGCCACTCGATGTGGCAGTGGAACAGCCAGACGCCTATAGTCTGTGTGAGCGCTCGCGTTATGCCGTATGGCTGGATGAGCCGCAAATGGACATACCTGGGTTGTCGGCCCGGAAGCGCAAGACAATGTTGCCCGTCGGGTAAATGACAAGCGTATCGCGACGCATCGGCGCCTTGGCAAACGTCTGGTTCTGATCCCCGCCCTGGTCCTCATACGTGCCGGCATCCTCCTCCGAGCGGTGGATAGCCTGGAAGGCATGCCCGTGGAGGTGAAACGGGTGGCGGCCCGTGTCGAGGTTATTGACGACAATCTGCACAATCTCGCCCTTCTTGAGGACGAACGGGTGCGTGAACTCGCCGTAGATGGCGGCGTTGGTGGCCAAGTCGCCGGCGGAGAGCACGCTGTAGAGCGAGGGCACCTTGGGGGCCTTGTAGGTGATGTTGTTGAAGAAGGCGTAGTTGGCGCCGTCGCCGAGGTTGTCCATGATGACGTCGAGCTGCACGACCTGGTCCGGCTCCGGGAGGAGCGGCATCTCGTCGTGGGGAACGAGCGTCATGTCGTCGAAGGGGTCGAACTCGTCGACGAGGGCGGCGTCGGGCTTGGGCTTGGCGTCGTCGTACGTGAGCCAGCCGGTGCTGTTGTAGTTGAGCTCCGGGGGCAGCTGGTCGAACAGCGTCTGTACTTGCATGTCAGCGACGCTGCCGCAGGGTACAGCCGTCATTCATCTCTAATAAAGAGAAGAAGAAGGCATTCGTCATGAGCGCAAGGCCACGCTACTCACCGTGTCCATGCTCGCCACAATGGGAAAGTTGGCGCCCGTGTCGTTCTTGGTGGTGAGGAGGAAGCTGACGCGCTGGGCGGCGGAAATGTACACGCTGTCGGCCTCGGCCTGCTGGGTGTACACGCCGTCGACCTCGACGATGCGCATCTTGTGGCCCTCGATCCACAGGTACTGGCCGGCAAAGGCGCCGATGTTGATGACGCGGAAGAGGTACGTCTTGCCGGGCTCGACGGGGACCGTCAGGTTCTGCGTCTCGTTCATGAGGGCGGCGTTGGGGACGGGCTCGGCGCCCGTGGGGTTCTTCTTGCTCATGAAGGCGGGGATGAGGTCCTGCATCTGGTCGTGGTACCAGTCTGAGAGGGTCAGGACCATCTCGTGGTCGACCTCCTTCTTGTAGGGGAAGTCCTTGTCATGGATGATGAGGGGTCCGCGAAGGCCGTCGGGGTACTGGGCGTGCGTGTGGGAGTGATACCAGTACGTGCCGGGTTGGTCGATCTGCCTCTGGTTAGACGAATCTTTGCTGAATGAAGGCATTGCCATCGCAGAACTCACTGTAAAGTTGTATGTCATGGACTGCCCCGGAGGGATAGCGCATTGAGTCACGCCATCAGGTCCGTCCATGTGGTTCGTGCCGTTCATGAACAGGCCGTGAAAGTGCAGCGACGTGGTCTGGTTGCCCAGCTGGTTGTTGACCTTGACGACGATGCGGTCGCCAATGTCGGCCTCGATCTTGGGGATGGGCCATTGGCCGTTGACGCCGACGACGGGGCGCGGGAACGCACCGTCAGGGTTGGCCGTCACCCAGGTGATGTTGAAGTCGTAGTTGACCGTGGCCGCGGCAGCGACGCCGGCGACGGCGGCCAGAGCTGCCACCTTGGTGAAGACGGCCATGCTCGTCGTGTGTGTGTGACAGCAGCGGCGACTTCAGTTGGAAGGGCGGGCGAGTGAGTGTCTCGGGACGGGGGGGGGTAAGTCGCGGGGGAGACAAGCGATGCCCTTTGTCCTCGATGATCTCACCGACCTCGACAACAAACCGACGGCGGCGAGACGGCCTTGTGTCCGAAGCGAATACGGATTTTTTATCCGAGGCTAGGCGTACGGTACCGGGGGGCCGGCCAACTCGATGGAGTCTGTCTGCCTATGCGCGATTATCTCGGGATCGTGGGCTCGTGGGCGCGGCCGGGAGTTGGTCCGGCGGTATGACCTGAGCCGACGACGGCGGCGCGGCGGCTATGGGGATAATTGGCACGATGCGTCGGTAGACGAGGGAAATGGGGAATTATGGAAAGTGGCGAGTTTTGGATCTGAGGCTTACGCTCTTCCCCCCCACACGCATGGCGTTGATCACTTACACGAGTGACTCGATTTCACAGCTGCGCGCGAGCAAGCGAGCGAGCAAGCGAGCAACCAGGGCGGGACCGACACGGGCTGGGGGGCTTTCAGCAACGAAGAATGGGGGGGTGAAGAAGTATAGCCGAGCCAGGCATGGGCAAGAAGAATTGGAGCTGGAAGGATTTATGATTGGGCCACCGACCGGGCTCTGGGATAGGCATGAGTAGGCGAGACGAGTTCCATGCTCCTCTATTCTCACCTGACGACAAATTTTCGTCGTACGGACAAGAGTAAAGACGGACATGGCATGGCATGGCATGGCACGGGGGGCACGGATGGGAAGGGGGCGCCATGCATGGACGGACCCGCGGGGCGGCCAACCCCCGGCTGATTGATAAACTGCCAACTAGAAGGGTCAGGGCCCAACCACGGAGCATCTAGGCCCATCTGATAAGCCGACGAGCTGGCGCCACATACGAGTTAAAGGGCGGCTACGGTGCTGTGTGCTGGGATGGAAGCGGGCGTGTGAGCGGGGTCCGAAGCCACTGGACGAGGGAGGGAACGATGGGCGGGCGTTGGCACGGGCGGGCGGGAGAAAAAAAAGTTTTCCAACACGAGGCTTGCGATCCCGGACGCCTCTGGCGGCGGTGGCACATGATGGTGGATGGCTGGATGGTGGTGGCCGATGAGGGAAAGGAAAGGAAAGGAAAGGTGGTGGTGTTGGGCGGTAGGTGTGGAGCTGGAGCTGGACCTGGACCTGCTGGCCGGGTTGTACTGTAATAATACAGTAAAGAAAGGATGGAAGTCGAACGACACCCGGCGGAACTTTGTCTACCGTCCCACAGTGGGAAGAGGGAAAGCGGGCACACAGCATGGAACTCGCCGCGGCTGTTACCGTTGCTGCTGTAGGTCCCTGGCTCGATTCTGCAACGTGCGTCGGTCGGTGGTGCTTCGTTCGTCCTCGGCCCTGCAGTATCTGCAGCAGAGGGGATCGTCGCTGCTGTTCCGTTGCTGTTGCTTTGCTGGTCCCCCGCCCGCGGGAGCGCGGATGTCGGTGGCATTGCAGACTGCCATTTCCGACGTCCGGTGGACTGATTTTTGCCCTTCCCCCCCGTCGCGTTGGGCATGTGGACAGTATCATGACTGTGTGTTAGTTGTGCGTTGGGTCCATCCATTTCTTAGTTGAGCCAGTCCAGCCGCCTGCGCGCGCCCGCGGCGCCAACCTCCTGTTTTGGCCGAGGCCCCTGCCGGGACGACTTCGACGACGGAGACGGAGACGACGAGGGATAAAACAAAAAAAAGCCAAACCTTGATTCATCGGAAGCATAGACCCCCCCGCCCCTCTTTCTGACTCTCCACCAAAGTCGGAAGGTAATAGTAGGTCTCCTTTGTGCGCCCGCGCCCGCGCCCTCTGCCGCTGCGCGCAACGGCGGCTGAACTCGAACAGGGCACGGCACAGCACAGCAGGTCGAACAAGTCGGCCAGTCTTCCCACGCAGCAAAGCGAGTGATGAAGTTCGTCCGGCTAGGAGATGCCGATGGCTTGCCGCACTAACGGCTCCAGCTGGGCCCTGTGCCAAGCACAGATTGGCGGGAGCTTCCAGCGCCATGCTGCATTGGGCAGCACCTCGACGTCTGGAGCTCTTCAGTGCGTGGGCTTTGGAGGGGAGCAATTGACCTTGGCGATCAATCCAGGGCACCCCTGCATGCTGGCTGGACTGCTGCACCCTAGGTGGCCTGGCCTGGGTCGCTGGACCCCCGCTGGGCGAGTGTCGTCGAGTGGGGTGGTGAATGGATGGACGCAGTGGGGCGCCATGCTGAGGTTGCCAACCGCCCGCCCTCCTGCACCCGCTACCACCACATGCCCGCCACCGTCGCCGCCGCCGGCGGTCCACTGGCGGACGGCGTAGGGACCCCCATCCATCATCACCTCCAGCGACCAGCCGGTGAGCGCGCGAGGGAACAACAAGGGTGCTCAGGTCCCTCACTCCGATGCTCATCTCGTCCAGGTCGGCGCCGCCATCATCCAGGGATGGCTGTGGGGGTGCTTCGGCAAAGGTGGTGGTGGCATGATCCATTGCAAGCGCGGTTTAAGTGCGAAAGCCACACTTTGCCATGATGATGATGGTGATGGAGCTGATGATGGCCCGTGGAGCCCGTCAGCCCTGGAACCCAGCAGCCACGGGGGGGGGGGCACAGTGGTCTGTGGGCGTCCGCGCGCGTGCCCCGAAATTTTATCTGATCCGAGGCCGCTCCCCCTTCCCCTCCTGCTTGACTGACTGACTGACTGACTGACTGATTGATTGATTGATTGATTGACGACCCAGATAATCAAGATCCCGGTCCTCGCCGCGCCGCACCCACCACCCACCCACATGCCCACCCCTTCCCCTCCCAACTCCCGATGCCCAGGTAGATAATCAGACCGGCGTCGCTTGGCACCGGCATGTCACCTGCGTTGCGTCCTGTCAATCGGTCTTTCTGTTGACTGACTGCCCTCTTTTCCTCTCTCTCGCTCCACTCTGTCTGTGTCTGGGCCTCTCTGTCTGTCTGCTGTCGCTCTTCTTACACGACCCTGCCACTTTTCTCTCCCAAGGCAGCGTTAAAGCAGACAGAGCTGCCACTCCCCTCGCTGCCTCTGGGGGTGATTGGGAAAAACTGTTGTCGGCGCCACACACACAGACACAGACACACAATCACGGAGCACCCTCATTCACAAACCTCCTGTCCCTGACCCTGCCGTGCGCTGCTGCCCGCCATGGCCAAGGACGTCTTTTCCGTCCCCGTCTTCCTCATCGTCTTCCGCGAGACGCTCGAGACGGTCATCATCGTCTCCGTCCTGCTGGCCTTTCTCAAGCAGACGCTCGACGGGCCCAACCGCGATGTCAAGGTCTACAAGAAGCTGCGGCGACAGGTACGTTTCCCCCCCCCTCAATTCACCCAAGATAATCAACTTTTACACTTGGCTATGCCTCCCACTGTGCCCAACCCTCCCCTTGCTCTTCTCACCTCGAGATGCAATTCTCGCAAAACTAAGTGCCAACCCATCTCTGGATATGTAAACGACTAACACCGTGCGTGCGCGCAGATTTGGCTCGGCGTCGGCAGCGGCTTCCTCATCTGCATGATCATCGCCGCCGCCCTCATCGGCGTCTTCTACACCGTCGGCGGCAACTCGTGGGAGACAAACGAGCACTACTACGAGGGCGCCTTCTGCCTCGTCGCCTCCCTCATCATCACCGTCATGGGCGTCGCCCTCCTGCGCATCGGCAAGATGCAGGAGAAGTGGCGCGTCAAGCTCGCCCGCTCCCTCGAGGCGCCCCTCAAGGCCGGTTCCCGCCGCCGCTGGCTTGGCCGCTTCTTCGAAAAGTACGCCATGTTCGCGCTGCCCTTCATCACCGTCCTGCGCGAGGGCATCGAGGCTGTCGTCTTCGTCGCGGGCGTGTCGTTTTCTGCGCCCGCGTATGCCGTGCCCCTGCCTGTTGTCGTCGGGCTCCTTGTGGGTGGCTTCATCGGCTGGCTGCTCTACAAGGGCGGCTCGACGGCGAAGCTGCAGATTTTTCTCGTTGCGTCTACGTGTCTCCTGTATCTCGTCTCGGCGGGCCTCTTCTCCCGCGCCGTCTGGAACTTTGAGGCGCAGAAGTGGAACGAGGCCGTTGGCGGCGATGCCACGGAGACGGGCAGCGGCGCTGGTTCCTATGACATTGACAAGAGCGTCTGGCACGTCAACGTACGTCCTACTCCCTCCCCTTGCTCCATTCCTTTCGTCCAAACATCAAGCCCGTGCCGTCGCTAACACGCCCAAAAGTGCTGCCAGCCAAGCGGCGCCACCGACGGCGGCTGGGGCATCTTCAACGCCATCCTCGGCTGGACCAACTCGGCCACCTACGGGTCCGTCATCTCGTACAACCTGTACTGGCTCTTTGTCATCTGCATGTTTGTCGCGCTGCGCTTCAAGGAGACCAAGGGCCACTGGCCCCTCATGAAGGCCAAAGCCGCCCCCTCGCCCGCTGACGCCGAGAGCCGCAGCGGAAGCGAGAGTCGCGAGGCTGCCAGCGGCGTCGAGTCCAAGGGCGCCGTTCAAGAAAAGACGACGACGGCAAGCGTCTGAGGGGAATGCCCCGCGACCAACTCATATTCCACACATGGTGTCTATAGAAGGCCATGTATCCATCCAATACCCAATCCATTTGCCTCTAGAGGCCTGCCCTGCATCTAGCGTCTTATGAAGCATTTGCCGGCCACCACCGGCAGAAATAAGTTCATCTCTAATAGATATGTGCGAGCGCTACTTGTAAAAGTCATCGTTTCGTGAAACATCATGCCTCTGGGGTCCAATTCCATGCATCCGCAGTGAAGAGGCTCAACGCCATGCGGTCCGCGTGCATCACCCCATCGTAGCGCAGCCGTTCGTCGTTGGCGATAGCCCGCGTGAACGCAAACGTCTTGCCGCCGGCATCATCTTCCAAATGGGCCTTCTCCTTGCGAGCTTTCCAGGAAACCTGGGCGCGCCGCTTCTTCCAATCCGCGTGGGAGATGGAAACCACGTTGGCGGAGAGCATGGTGCGCATGTAGTCGAAGATGGCCTTCATACGCAGCTGCGGCCCGCAGTTGACGTGGTGCTTGTCCACCTGATAGTTGGGGCACTGCTTGAGCGTCGCGATGAGCTCCTCGAGGTCGAGATGCGCCGTGTCGGGCACCGCGTCGAGCGACGACTGGGAGTAATCGACGAGGAAGAGGAGCTCCTTGGACTTGAGGAAGCGGTGGAGCTGCCCCAGCTGGAAGATGTCGCACGCGGCGCTGGTGTCGTAGCCAAGTTTGCACTGTCTGTCTCGTGATGAGTACAGGTCGAGGAAGTGGCGCTGCACCGATGAGATAGTGTTGAGGATACACTCGCGTCGGTACTGCAGCTCATCTGCGATATTCAAGTAAGCGATTGCATGAGCAGCATGTCCGCGGCGGCGGGCGCATACCCTCTAGGCCCTCTGGCAAGTTCCACCACGCGGCGCTCATGCGCGAGTCCGCTTCATGAAAGGCGCTCCAGAGCCTCGATCCCCTCATGATGAGCTCCCGCGTCGACTGCTGGAGCCGCATAGCCTGCCCAAGCAGCCACGAAACCAGCACTTTCTGCCGCAGAACCTGCTCGACCTGCGTGTGATGGCCCGCATCATCGATGAACGGCCTGTTGCTCGTCATGGGCCACTTGAACTTGAGCTCGTGGTTGAGCGCGCGAGCCACCACCGCGACGCAGTCGAAGCGGTCCGCGATGATGGCCATGGTCAGGGCATACGACATGAGCGGCTTGGCGTTTCGCGCAGGCTGCTCGTGGATGACGCTCAACATGTCTTCAAACGCGAGCTCCCGGCCGGCCGCCTCGGTGGCCTGGTCATCGTCCACCACAGTGACGACTGGTAGGTCGCGGACATCTGCCTTGGCGGGCTTAATACCCGTGAGGGAGAGCTTGGCGTGCGCGTCGGCGATGAGCCGCGCCTCGCGGAACTGGTGGTTCGAAAAGAGGTTTTCAAAGTAGCGCGAGTGCCGGCTCAGCGACTGCACGCTCACTCGGTACGCCACCTTGAGCGTGGTTGCCGGCTTGGGAGTCATGGCTGGCGGCCGCGTGGTCGTCGCGGAGAGCCTGCCGTTGACGGCCAAGGCCGCTGCCTGGCGGTTCTTCTTCAGCGTCGCCGGAGACGTCTCAAAAGTCACCTCGAGGACAATGTCTCCATCTTTGGCGACCGTGACGACGCCGGGGTCATCGCTGCTGGCATTTTCGGATGCATCTCCGTCTGCGGCCACAGACGGCGTTGCAGACATGGACTGGCGGGCTGAGTGGCGACACGGCGGGCGTTCCGGGGCGTGCTGGAGGAGGGCTGGGGTCGTGAGTCTTGTGCGGCGTGCGAGAACGGCATGCCACTGTGAAGATGTCCGGGACGAGGCTCCAGACCGTCTGCTGGTGAGACTTCGGCGTTGGTGGCGCTCCGGCTTCGAGGATGGTGAGTGAAGATGGGTTGCCCGAATCACACTGAATGTTCAACGAGGTTGTGGTGGTTGTCACTGGTCAGGCACCGCAAGACGAGCGGCGCCCAGTAGCAGACACGCCGCAGGTACCCACTTTGCCACTGCGGCGATGGCGGACCGCTGAGCCAGGGGTCCACGCATGGAAGCTGCGCGACGGCACGCGACCATCTTTAACTTAACCTACAGTCTCGAATAGTAATGTATCAAGCGTCCACATCCCATATCCAGCCCGTTGAACCGGCCATTTTAAACAGACACGGGGACATCCCTTTTCCTCCTTAACCGGCATTCACTTTCGATACCACATTCGAGTGACCTTTGTTCGTCGCATCTTTGCCTGGAGTTGAAATATCCCATACATGAGGGCCTCTGCAGTTGGCGGGCACCCCGGGACGTACACATCCACGGGGAGAATGCGATCAACCCCCCTGAGGACAGAATAGCTATAGTGGTAATAGCCACCGCCGTTTGCACAGCTGCCCATGCTGATGACCCACTTTGGGTCTGGCATCTGGTCGTAGCATTGGCGCACGGCCGGCGCCATCTTGTTGGTGACGGTGCCCGCCACTATCATGACATCGGCCTGCCGTGGAGAGGCACGAAAGATGATGCCCAACCTATCCTGATCGTATCGCGGCATCGAACATTGCATCATCTCTAGGCCACAGCAGGCGAGCGCGAACGTCAGAGGCCATAGCGAGGATTGTCGGCCCCAGTTGATGAGGGAATCCAGGGTGGTTCTTGAGTCGTTAGCATAGGACTTGTTGTGGAAGGTCCTGGATGGACAACAACGAACAGAGCATATTCGACTGTATTTTGTACAGACAGGGACTTCTGGCCCGAGCTTGTTCGAGGATCGGTACTGGCCGCGTCACTGGCCATGTCGCTTCTGGGGCCTGGGCCTTGGTGGACGTGGCGCATAGGCACGCGTGGTAGGGCCGAACTTTGGCGAAGTTGGAGCCAGGCATGGCGGAACAACAGAGCTGGAATCCGAGTCCTCACTGTACTCGTATCAGCAACGGAAGACTTGCCATTGAACAGTTGTGACTGGACGATGCCCAGTCTGGTGTACTCACTTGTGGCTTACACCTTGTGAAGCCTGGGGTCTGGTCCGTCAAGTCTGCTGGTGATCGGTTGTAGACAACAGTTTTCTTGCCCGACTTGCGCCTGAAAAGAGAATCGTGAAAATCACACTGAAGTGGAATTAAAAGCAGGTAATTCCACATGAAGCTGTACCAAGGAGAACCAGGAGGAACCCGATTGTCGCTGCAAGAGGGCTACAGCTTATACCGGTCGACGCCGGGCAGCTGTGCGGCCCCACAATTACGGCCGTCCTTGTCGGGAAATACCCACCAGCACCCACCTGTCCTGCCAAACGAACGGCTCGGTGAAAACCCATTGCGAGCCGGCCTCACCCATCATCCCGACCATTACGAACCGGTGTGTGCGGCTCGCATGCCCCTGGTGAACGCTTGCACGCATGATGCCCATGACGATGACTCAGCCCTACAGTTGCACAATTTGCGGTAAATCGTATCAGCGGAAGAATCATCTGTCTCGCCACAAGGCCGCTCGTGAGTCCAGACCTACATCAATGTATATCCCGTTCGTTGAATGTTGAGAGCCCAGGCGCTTACAGTTTACCAGACAATGGCCCTTTACGCTATGAATGCCGTGGCTGCCGCAAGACATTTTCTCGCAGGTAATCAAAGCCTCCAGTCCGTCCCAAGGACCATTGACAAGGCTGATACATGAGCACTTCAAGTGATGTCTTGCGCAAGCACTGCACCAAGTGCCCGGAGAGACACGAGGGTGAACATCTGCCACCACTGGCTCGCGGACGTAAACCGAAGGCATGTCGGCAATGCGCCAGCAGCAAAGTGACTTGCGACATGAGAGAACCGTGTGGACGGTGCTGCGTACGCCGTTTGACTTGCAGCTATGCCCGAACGCGAGGCGACTCGCCGACAGTACCGCACGATTCTATATCGCCAGAGCTGAGCGAGAGGGAATCTGATAGCAGTCGAACAGGGGCCATGTTCCTTCTCAGCTTGACCAACCCGGCCGCCGCAACCATGCTGGAATCGTTTACAGACGACGATCCCTCCGAGCTACCTGACTTGGCGGTGGCCATCGATGCTGGGGAAGTACTCGGGGAAGAGGATATTTTCTTGAAGCATTTTGAAGACTTCATGATGGAGATGGGGCAGGCCGAAATGGATGATGCAGATGTACTGTTTCCGTCTGGGGACTTGTTCACCGATCTGGCGTCGCCTATATTCCGACCAGAGGCGTTGGCAATACTGCAAACCAAGACCGAGACCGTCGTCAACGACCTGCACCAGCTTCATCAGTCACTCGCCGCATACGACGCATGTTATCGCGGTTCATTCGACAGACCTACCGCGAAAGAGGTGCTCGGGCCCGAGAGCATCATTCGCTTCGCAGCAACCTACTTCCATCTGAGCCACCACCACATCCCTATTGTGCATAGACCTTCATTTGGCTTGCCCGAAACCTCAACGACGCTGCTGCTAGCCGTGGCGCTCGCAGGAGCCCTACGGTCGCCGCCCCGAGACGACGCCCTTTCCGTGCGGGCGTTGGCGCGATTGTTCGAAGAGTACATTTTCCTCCGGCTTGCGGACATAATGTCTACACATGAAGCTTCAGTCGGATCGCTGAACGACAACGATCTCTTGGGAACGGTACAGGCGGCGATTCTGGTCAACAATGTGCAGTTCATGAACAATGACGTGGCGACTCGGCGGAGGATACGGACGCAGAGACTGCCTGCCTTGGTAGCCACGGTCCGACGGCTTGGACTGTTCGCGATGAGACACTCCCCCGACACGGACTGGGCGCAACATGTCCAAGAACAAAGCTGTATCCGGTGAGTGTACCAGCCGTAAAGCGCATCTTCTAGAAACCTAGGACTCAACTCTCCCTGTGCAGGATTGCCCATTGGACAGCAATGGCCGACTGGCACCAAAGCATCATGTTTCATATGCCGCCGCTCGTTGCCATCTCTGAGTTGATTGGGGATATGCCCGAGGCGGTCGATGCGTGGGACGCAGACCAGCTTTCGGAACCTGAGGTTCAAGACCGTCACGCAGGAGAAGCGAGAGTGCATGCCGGCCTGCGTTCTATCAGTGATTACGTCCGCGTTCTGATGCAAGACCGAATTGAAAACTGGCAGGCCGCTGCTCTGCGTTGCGTGTCCATGTCGAACATGTATCTGATCATTACGGGTACGCTTACAAACCTACCTGCTTTACGTATGACAAGGCAAGTGCTGATGGGGACAGGACTCTCTTGCATCATCGTATCCGGGCACGTTATGTCGACCATATCAGAGAGTGCCCCCGCCATACAAAGGGCGCTGTCTCGATGGCAAGATGTATGGAAGTTCTTGGCGCGGAGAAGCCAGGGAGATGCCCTGACGGGGTGTGGGATTGAGCGATACAGTGACGGGCTGTGCTGGGCGGCGCGGACAATGCTCGAGTCGTTGGTCTCCAGGGAGGAACTACATCCATTCTTCAAGCGGGTTGGCCACGACACTCTCGCAGAGTTTCACGGGTTTCTGGTACAGCACCAGAAGAAGCCATCTGGTAGCACGAGCCGCAGCAGGCCGTGCGACAAGGGGCATGGGAGGAAGGTATCCTGGGGGCCCAGCTGCGACGTGGGGGTGCCCATGCTGCAGTCAGGCCCAGCATTACATCTGGCAGCAATCCGGCTATAGGATTGCATTATCAGGCCAAGGACGGGGCATTCCTTTTCCGCATGGTGAAGTTGTTCTTTGCTTGTTGTGATCTTGCATGATTTCCGACTTGAGCCATGGGCGCCATGTTGGTGACGTGGTTATATATGGGGCTGCGTAACACCATCACGATGTCTACGGCCTTTCTACTATCATGTGCCTGGTAGAACGCGTATCTGGGCCGAAGGTTGGCGCTCGATTTAAGTTTGACCATCACATGGTGAAGCCCTACTGATCAGGCGGAGTCTCTTAAAGGTTCCTTCAGGACGTTGGCGAGGACGAAGGGCGATTCGAGCGACTTTTTGTACACGCGGTTCCGCGCTGCCCTGTTGACTCGTTTCAGGAAGCATTTCGTCCGTCACGATGAGGATGCTCGGCAAAGGTCTGGGCGCGTGGGCATGTCTGGCACTATGGGCCAGACGCAGCTACGCCGTGCCGCCGACGCCGGCTCCCGAACCACGAGAGATGGTATTCGAGCATGGCATGGGTGCCCACGACGTTGTCTACCATATAACCATTCCTCAATTCGCCAACGAACCCCTCATGCACTTCCCGACTGTGACTCCCGCCCAAGTGCAGCGACAGGGTGGAATCCAGGAGCTGGATGGATACGCGTTGCCCCGTCTGCTACTGACCAGCAGTAACCTGAGTGAGGTTCTCGAGCAAGGAGCGCACAATCCGGGCTCGTGGATCTACGAGCTGGCCACTGGACCTCACATGATAGAGTCGGGGGCTATCAATGCTGATCCAGACGCTGAGCCGAGGCATTACCTGGCTGTTGGAGGCATCGTCTGGTCGCAAATCATAAGCTTCGCCGTCACAGACGGGCAGGACAGGGCAGAAGACCTCGAATGGCAGGTAAACTCCGCATATAACAATACGTGGGAGCGGTTCGGGGCCAGTCAGTGGCAGCCGATATTCGGAGGCGATGGCCCAGGAGCAGCCGAGCAGTCAGAGAGGCTTCAACGCCTCGCTGCAGATGAGATGGACCCCTATGGCGAGTTTCTGGACGAACTAACGGGCAATTATAATCCGGCCTTAGACGACGCGCAGCGCCAGACGCTCCGAGAGCTACTCGACTGGGACCGAACACATTTCCCCGCCCGCACATGGCCCCTAGCCCGCCAGAATAATTGTATGTACTATACGCTGCCAGTGGCGAAGCTGTCGACAGTTCCGTCAGTTTCAATGGGGATAGGTTGAGGTCTGATTAGAGCTTGCAGCGCCCACTCAGCTTACAGTGACGGCCCTGGGCACAGACTGGGGTGCGTTGAATGTCGAGACACGCCTCCGGCTGACACTGGAAGGGGGCCTCCCGTCGGCGATCGACGTCGTCCGCCTACTGCGATTCCTCGCAGGGCCGCACTTCTCGGGGGCTAGATATACCATGGCGCTCGACGGCGTTGATCCCAGAGGCAAGTACACGTCGTTGGCCACTATACCTGCGTGGCTGTCTGCGAAACACCGCACAAGCAGGGGCAGTGCCCGGCATTCGTCGTGCCACGGGATCGCTGATGAGCAGCAGGACTCGGTCGGCCCGATCAGGGCTGGCTACCTCCCAACCAGGCGAGAATGGAACGCCTAAACTGTGAAGAGGGCGTTGAGCGCCTGGTGCACAACTTGCTCCGGCCGGAGTCTGAGATAAGCGAAAGTGGGCGCGATGAGCGCGGTTGGTCGCCGCGAGAGATGGAAGAGGACGCACGGCAGCATCTTTGCGCGTCGTCATCAGCAAGTGAAAGCGGTATGGAGAAACCCCTTCCCCGGCCCTTGTGACTTTTCCGTTTTCTTTGACTTGCTCTTTGCCCCATTCAAGGGCTCTCCAGAGTTACCGTGTACCCCAGCCGCTGACGACCAACCGCTCTCGATGCTACATGTAGAAGACTGCATGTCCCTAGTCAGGGACACCCTCGACCCTGGTCCCAGCACCAGCGCCGGCCCATCGCGGCCAGTCGACCGTCGCCGGCTCAGGGGTAGGCTAAACCGCCTGACGCGCCTGGAGCAGAGGCGCCGCTGCCGTCGAGATCAAGGCACACCAGCGGCTTCCGCGGCCGGAGCGGCGGCCTCAGGGGGCGTCGTCGCGCATGACCCGGGCGCGGAGATGGTATACGACAGCTCGGTCCGCCAGCGGCAGTGGGCCGAGTTCGTGCGACACGTGAGGGACGCGGCCAACATGAGCGAGTCCGACCTGATGGAGTACCTGGACAGGGGCATCGTGTCTTTCAGCCGGCTGTTCCCAGGGCTTTACGAGATGCTGTGGCGCCGGTTCCCAGCCGTCTACAACGCCGTGCATATCTCGGCCACGACGGGCGTGAGCTTCCGTTCTTGCACGCGCGATCCAAGGGGGCCTGGTCCGTCCCATATGATGAAGAGGTCTGATGGGGTTCATGCCCGGAAGCCGGGGACGGTAGCTGCGAGGGGTGGTGACAAGTGCAGTGCCCTTCTCGACATGGGCAAGCTCAAGCCCAGCGTCTATGTATGCAATGACATCAACTTCGGCCCGCCGTGCGTATGGATCGACGCTCCTCCAGGGCAGTGCGGTACGTATTAATGGTGTCAGGCCACGGTGTCGCGGGCTGTGGCGATACCATCATTGATATGCGATTGCGGCATCTTGAAGGCTAATCATGCGGGCCAGTTGACTATCCCAAACCATTTAGAGCAGAGGTGTCCTCCCTACGTCCAAACTGGGCTGCTGGCCCCTGCAAGCTGTACGAGTATGACTCCCCTACCTTTGATGCTGCCCCAGCGCCTCAACCGCGAAAGCCTGACATTTAACGTGGCGCCTTGCATAGTGACCTTTCCTGCGACGGACCCATGGTCGACGTCAACCGCACCGTGGCGTTTTTCGAACCGCTCAAGCCCGGAAACTGGAACGATCGCGGGCGCTCTCTCCGCTGCGAGGGCGCTGCGCAGAAACATGAACGCAAGCAACAAGGCCTCGGCTCCAAGCTGGACTCGCCCATGGTCGGGTGCCAGATCGTCAACAGGTTGATGATTCACTTCAAAATGGGAGACAGCGGCACGTACGATAGAATCACCGGCAGCTTGGGCAACGCCAACTTCTTGCTCGCCACAGCCCCGGATGCAAACTCGGAGACGAAGAAAGCTATTAGCATCCAGGAGGCGTTTGACGCGCCTGAAGTGGCTCTCAAGGACATAGACTTGATTAGGATTTCCTCGACGCAAGAGTCGGCGATTTTCCGCTGGCATTGGAGAATGGGTGGTAAGTGACGTCCCTGATAAACTCAGCTTCACTGCTCTTCCCTACCCCTGAATGCTGGAGAAGTCCCACCCCCTTTTTGGCGTAGGCGGAGAGATACGAGGTCTCTCTCGAGAACCCCCCCAAAACAAAAATCAGGCTCCTAACTGAGCACTCCGTCCCGGTAGGACTGACCCTCACCGCGAAATGTGCCGATTCGGACGACAAGGTCGTTTGGGACAAGTACGCCAACTATGTCACCGAGAAGATGGGCAGAAACTCCGACGAAGGGACCAAGGTGGTCTGGGAGGCCAAGATTCTGCTCGCCGACTGGCACGAGCGTGGAGAAGCATCAAGCCAAAGGGCAGGTAGGCCACCAAAGCCGGCACACGACGAGCACTGAGAGGTAGCTGGGGCCAAGAATGAGCGGCGGAGCACCTCGACGAGGGGCTTGAGAACAACAAGGTCGTTTGTTTGCGTGGCTGCATGATTCAGCTTTTGGGACTATCTGCAGTGCCAGCTCACCCTATATTCATAGTTTGGAATGTCTGCAGTGAGTTGGTTCAAAGTGTAGACGGTATTGACTGCGTGGATATTGGCGGTGCTTGGTACATATAGGGACGCTTGAATGTCCACTAAGTGTGCGGTCCGCGGGCACCTGGGCGGTAGGTTCAACATTATCAGCGGCAGGCGGGGCTGCCGCCTAAATTTTAGGCGTCGGCAACTGGCGGGCCACGGTGGGGGCCAGCCGCCAGGGGCCCCACCCAACAAACACTGCGGCGGGCACTTGGTGGCCAAACCAAACCAGTCCCGTCATCGCAAAGCCCAACCAAGAACCAAGGAGACCAACCTGCTTCCAACTCGCAACTACGCCGCTCCCGCATCGGCACACCCAGTCCGCCAACCCGCTCCCGCGTCACTTCGTCTGCGTTTTTCTCCTTGTTCGATCCAACTCTGCGGCCTTTCTTGCGGACACATCGCCAATAATTCCCCTCAGCTTCGTCCCTCGACGCCGCCTGAGCACTCTCAACCATTTGAACTGCCCCTGGGACCAAGAGCCGCCGGTATCCGGCCCCGGCCGCATCGTGGGATTCTCTCCCCCTCCAAACACTCGCGCGCGTCCGTTTGCGCAAGCTGCCAACACCACGTTTCATGGACCGGACGCTCCACGCACACTTGGCTCTCCTACTGCGCGGGGGATGCTGAGACTCCAGCACGCCACAGTCAAGCTCCCAGCCGTGCGCCCGAGCAACAATGGCGGCCTCCGTCGTCCAGCGGGCAGGTCGAAACGCATCGAGAGCAGCCGCTCAACTCTCCCATGACGCCCCCGCGATACTAACGCTGTCGCCGGCTCCAGCAGGGACCTTGCGTCGGGGCCAACCCGCGAGCGATGACGCTGCCGCTCTCCAGGTCGGAGAGTTCGCGACGAGACGGACTCTGGCCTCGTCGCACCCCGCGGCGGCCGCCCGGCGAACGCAGCGGGTCGGCCGCTCCCCCGCCCAGATCGTTGTGTTCTCAGGGCCAAGACACTTTGCGCGAACCCATACGCAAGCCCACGCGCCGCCGGCTGCCCGTCAGTGCTTCCACACATACTTCGTCACTCACCTCCCCTCGTCGTCTCTTCACCCGGATGCGCACAACTCGGCCGGTCCGGGGCACAAGCTACCCCGCGATGCCTCGATGCCCCATACGCCGGACCCAGGCTCATCGCCCGCCGTGGCGCTGCCCAACATGCCCGGCAGAGATCTAACCGTGGTCAGGATCCCGTTGCGGCGGGCCAAGCACCACTTCGGCTCCCACTCAGCCCGAGGCAGCCGGCCCTACAACGAAGACGCGGACCAGGCGGGCATCATCAGCGTCCCGGCCTTTGCCAAGAGAGCGCCAATGAGCGTGAGGAAAAAGCCCGGCGAGGCGACGCCGGCGAGCAGCGCGTCTGGCGACCCTCAAATTTTCTATTTTGGCGTGTTTGACGGCCACGGTGGGAGCCAGTGTGCGCATTTCCTTCGAGACGAGCTGCACGGCTACATCGAGGAGGCAGCTAGGGACTTTGGCTTGCAGAGCAGCCTCCGCAAAAAGAAGCCGGGCCGCGACCAGAACGGTTCCGCGACAGCTCGTGCCAAGGAGACGACCAAGGGTCGTGCCCTTGACTCGGTGGACATGAAGGGCCCGGAAGAGGTCAAGAAGGATATGCAGATACCCAACCACGATAACGGCTCGGTGAGCGACGTGAAGCACGGCAAGCCGCTAGCCAGCGCCGAATCGGAACCTGCCGAAGTGCAGGACATTGCGAAAGCCGTCCAGCTGGAGAGGGACTTGGTCAAGGAGTACGCGACCACCATCGGCGGCTACTTTAGGCGGTTCAACCCGGAGCACTTTGCCACGCAGGACGAGCCTGGCGACAAGTCGCCCATCTCCGCCGAGTCGAGCATTGCGTACGCGTTCCTGCGCGCCGACCTCGACTTTGTGTCGGCCCAGGCGAGAAAGGTCGACCCCGACGATTCGGACATGCCGGTTAATGACGACGAGATTCTCGGGGCTCCGCACGCGACGCCGTCGGGCCACAACATCGGAGGCACGACGCGGTTCAAGGGCGGCTCGACGGCCTCAGTGGCCCTCATCTCGACACCCACCCCCGCGCCGTTCTGGCACCCCGGCGCGCAGTCCACTCTGCTCGTTGCGCATGTGGGCGACAGCCGTATCCTCCTCTGCGACACGGCCACCGGCCTGCCCCAGCCGCTGACCTCGGATCACCACCCCACCACCCCAACGGAGAGCAGGCGTCTCCGCCGGTACGCGCCCGCGGGCTCCATGGTCACGGGCGACAGCTTCGGCGAGGAGCGCATCGCGGGGCTGGCCAACAGCCGCGCGTTCGGCGACATTCGCAGCAAGCGCATCGGCGTCTCGGCCGAGCCCGAGATCACGCGCGTCGACATGGGCCCCGCGCAGTACTCCTTCCTCGTCCTCATGAGCGACGGCGTGTCGGGCACCCTCAGCGACCAGGAGATTGTCGACGTCGTCAAGGAGGCCAAGACCCCCGACGAGGGCGCCCGCAGGGTCGTCGACTACGCCACCGAGGTGTCCAGGGACGGCGACAACGCCACCTGCCAGGTCGTCCGCCTCGGCGGCTGGGAGCGCAGATCCGAAGGCGGACTCGGAAGCCTGGGCACAAAGGAGATTCGCGACATTCGCCGCGCCGAGGCCCAGGATCCGCGTCGCGGAAAGCGCTAACTGACGAACCACACCGACTAGGCGTCTCCTCTGGCCGGCGCAGCCAGACTGGAAGACGGACGATACGAAACGAAAGACACGAGAAATTTATTTCCCATTCCCACACACACACACACACATCTCCCTGCTCGCGGACGAGGGCTCAGAAGGAGCCTTCTACGCTGGCTCCCCTGTACAGTAACTAGGGCGGTCTGCGTTTCCCCGAAAAGGGGGAACTCGAGTGGAGGACGTTGTCACTACCAAGGAGGAGCTTTTGACGACTTGCATAATGAAAGCTACATAGCGTACAGACATGTCGGGCAGGGCCAAGGTAGAAAGAGCCCAGTCCCGCGAAATAGACGACTGCATATATGCAAAAGCCTTGCTGCTTTGCTTTGCTCTTCATGTTCACGTTGTGCCGTATTGCAGCCAAAGAAAAATGAAATCTACTCACAGCACATTCCTACCTCTCGTGAAACCCACACCAAACTCCCCATTCTCGTCAAATCCTGAGGCAGTTGCGTGCCCTGCTTTCATATCCCAACCATACTGACCGCCGTTTCTCCAAAGGCATACTACGATTCGCATCTCAGTAGCGCTGTCCGGGGTACGAGCCCCACGACGGAGGCGGCTGCTGGGAAGGAGGACCCTGCTGATAGGGAGGATACTGGCCTGGCGGAGGACCGCCGTACTCGGGACCTCCGTAGCCAGGGCCGCCGTAGCCCTGCGGCGGCGGGGGGCCTGACGGAGCCCATTGTCCTCCAGGAGGCGGGCCGCCGTATCCTTGGGGCGGTCCCGGAGGCGGAGCTTGGTTGTAACCGCCGCCGCCGCCCCCGTAGTATTGGCTAGGCTGAGGGGAGGGGCCAGAGTAACCGCCTGGCGGGCCTGGCTGCAGATTGCCGCTCTGAGACATGTAAGAAGCGCTCTCCCCGTGTTGAAAGCTGGGCTGAGTCGGCCGCTGGCTGGACGGAGGAGCGGGCGAGGAGGACATGTAGTTGGCCGAGGCATCACCGTCGCGGCCCTCCAAGGAGTTGAGATCGCGCGTGTGAACCTGCGACCACAGCGAGCCAGATACTTTGCCGTGGCCAAGCTGGCTCAAGGACTCCCACGGGCCGTGCGAGTGGCCGCCCGCGCCGTGGCCCCCAGCACCGCTCTTGTTCTGCGAGCTCAGGGTATGGTTCTTGCCCTTCTTGACGGATTCTGAGCCCAGAAGCTGATCCAGCTGGTGACGGCGGGGGTGCTCGTCGGCCCACATCCTGACGGTCTTGAACATGTCGCGCTGGACCTCGATGCTCTCGTTGCGGAGGGCGGGGTGGTGGAACGCGCGGAGGACGTCATTGACGACCTCATCGACGGGGACGTTGGGGTTCTCCCACGCAAAGAGGACACGCCTGGAAGGAGGGTCAGGATTCATCTCGTAGTGGAGCCAACTGGGGACTGTCGACTTACGGCACGGCGTATTGCAGAATCGTGGTAGCCACGCGTCCGGCGCACGAGTTGAGAATGTTGGTGAAGTGGTCCTTGGACAGCATGGAGTGCGTTGGGTCGGAGCAGCGCGGGTTGTCCCAGGGCTCCAGCTGCGAGTTGGAGCTGGCACTAATGACACCAGACGACCCGTCCTTCAGCACCTTGGAGACCTGGTTGATGATGGGGCGGATGAACGGCGCGAGGAGGCCCAGAACGAACGCCGTCAGCGTCTCGCTGATGTGCTCGATGAGCTTCTCGAGACCGGGGACCTTGGAGATACCCCTGCTAATCGCCTTGACGATCTTGTCTCTGAACTGAAGGATGGGGTAGATCTGTCCCGCGGTCTTGACCGGGTCGAAGTTGGGGCTCATGCCGGGAACGAGGTTGACGTTATCCCCCGCGCGGCTGCGCTCCTGGTTCTCCCTCTCCTGAGCCTCGGAGGCGGCCTTCAGGTCCCTTGCCTGATCGGCGTATCCGGAGCCAACGTCAGGAAGCTTCGAGATCAGCGAGATGAAGTCGCCGGATCCCGAGCCGTCAAAGAGGCCCCTGGAGTTGGAGCCGCCGCCACCGCTTCGGGCCGCCTCGGCATTCTTGAGCGCGACGTCGACCTCGTCGACCTCCGACTGGGTGAAGTGGTCGTTGGCCTCGCCGATGACCGAATGCAAAAAGTCGACGGCGCCAAACGTGCCCGTGACGATGGGGTACAGCCTCTTGCCGTGAATGTTGATCTCGGCCTGGGTGCCGCAGTGCGGGAACACGTTGTGATACCCGAGCTCGCGAAGGGCAAGCTCACAGTAGTTGCTGTGGGCGCCAAAGTCCTCCATGCAGTGCAGGGCCTGGCCCAGGCACCGAAGGGCCTCGCAGAGGTTCTCGTCCTTGCCCTTGCCCTGGGAGCCGCAGGTGTACAGGCGGCCGAAGTGGATGCTGCGCGCAAAGCTGAACCGGAGATAGCCTGCGCTGGTAGCCCAATGCCCCGTCTCGTTGGCGATGTAGTTTTTCATCCCAGTCTTAAGATCGATCTCCGTCTCCACGGGATCGACGGGTCCGCGCAGGCGCGGGTCGAACTTGCGCGCATCGAGGCCATCTGCGTAGCCCTTGGGGTTGTCGATGTGCTCTTCGGGACGGTAGCAGCCGAGGCGCTCTTCGGTGACTTCGAACTCTTCAGTGGCATAGCCAAATGCCATGAACGAAAGGACCCAGACCTTGGATTGATTTAGCTGAAGAAATTACAGGCGCAGACAGACACGTCGTCTCACCAGAATGCGAATGGTGGCGGCATTGACTCCCTTCAAGCTGCCGACGTCGACGGCCTGCGAGTAGTCGCGCAGCCAGTTGCCAAAGTAGGTGCGCTTAATTAGCATCGAACTCCACTTCTTGCCGTGGAGGAACGCGAGGCTGGCAAGCATGTCCTCGATGTCTGCCGCCTGTCAGTATAACCTCGCATTAGTTGGGACAGCCCCATTCAGTGCCCGTACCTCCATGGCGCCAGTTGTGGCCTTCAACCTAGTGCAGACCGTTAGCGAAAATGCCTTTTACAAGGACGGGGAATTGTAACACGCACTTGTGCGATAGAAGGAATATTGCCTGCGCCAAAGGCGGCGGCCTTGCCGGGCAGTACGACGAGGCAGACGCAGAGCACGAGGAGCCAACTGCCCCGCGGCAGCGGGAATGACGACATTGTCGGCACGGACTCGGGATGGAGGGGCGTTGGAGGTGCGCAGAGTCAATGGGTTGGAGAATCAGAGGACTGGCTGATGTGCCACCGTTAGCTGCCCACGGATGAAGCTGGAAAGAAGCTGCGAATTATGCAGCGAGGAGAGCAGCTGGGTGGTTGGGAGGAGTTCCAAGAGCTGACTTACGTAGCGGGTGTGGCATGGCTGAGAAGACCTTTGAGGCGCGCCGCTCGTCAGCGTGCTTGCCCCGCCACCACCAGCCGGACCCCTCCATTTTCCAGTTTCAGCGGGAACGGGACCGTGACGACGCCCAGCTCGGCTCTGGTCTGCGCGTCCCGGGGCGTACAATTAGCTCCTTCATGGACCACGAGTGGGATCGTTGCCGCTCTACAGCACCCTTACCCTATGCCTTCTTCACGACCTGGTATGGTGTTGATGCCTTTACTGCAAGTCGCATCAATGAAACCCCATCCTCTCATCCGTGCCTCTCGCGCCTGGATGAATCGTCTTGGCGGCGGCTTGTGCCACATGCTCCATTCCCCTGTGGCGACAGCCGCGCTCCCGCCGGCAGCTGTATTGTTTGTGTAGCGCATGGTTCGGCTCGCACGGTGGAATCGCGGCAAGACGCCACGGCAAGCAAGGGGTTCTGCTGACCACTGTGTGGATGCCGTTTGGCCGTTGCAACTGCCCTCCGCGTCTTATGTACAAACGAACCCCATCCGGCAGACATTTCCACAGCACGGCCACCAGCACCAGCACCAGATCGAACCAAAGTGCCGCCGCGGGTCACCCACTGACGAAGCTTCGCCCCCCTCCCCTGCGGCCTCCCCTGTGGCGGGCGCCTGGATGCGCCAACGGAGCCTCGGCTTCGCCCGACGATTCCGACAGTGCCACGCTGCCAGCCCAGGCGGCGGGACGGTGGGGCCAGTGGAAAGTGAGCCCACTTCCTCCTCGACGGGACGCGGCTTCCGTCTGAGTCCCGGGCTTTTAGGGGCCTCTGGCCACTAAGGACGCGCTAGGTCAGCAGGCTCATTAAAAACCCTTCGACCGCGACATCTCCTGATCAATGATGCATCGCCATCCTACGACTTCAGACTGCCCTACGATATAGCGACTGTCTTCTGCGGCGCTTTAAAAGGGTCGCTGTCGCTGCTGCCCCTTTTCGCCCTTGCTTCGGGGTCTAAGCGGTCCCTTTGTGCCTCGTTCCTTTCTTGGTCGCGCCGCGTCGTTCTCCCTCTGTCCAAAGCCCCATCCCCGACCGTTCCGAGATTTTCGACATCGCAATGCCGTCGCGAACGCTGCCGACGTTTACTCGCGCCGAGGTGGAATCGCACGCGTCCGCCGCCTCGTGCTTCGTCACCATCGGCACCAAGGTGTACGATGTGACGGACTTTGTCGACGACCATCCTGGCGGTGGCGACTTGCTGCTGGAGTATGCCGGCAAGGACGTTGAGGACATTTTGAAGGATCCGACTTCTCATCCCCACTCGGAGGCCGCGTACGATGTTTTGGACGACTCCCTAGTCGGCTTCGTGGTCCCCGAAAAGGCTGTGGGCTCCAACGGCTCCGCGCATCCCAAGGCCGAGGCCAACGGCTCGGCGAATACGGAAACGTCGACGCCCTACGTTCACCCTCGAACCGGTATGTCCTGCGAAGAGGACTTGAGCAAGGAGACGGACATTGCCCAGGACTATCAGAAGCACAAGTTCCTCGATCTCAACCGGCCACTTTTCCTTCAGATCTGGAACGGAGGCTTCAGCAAGAAATTCTACCTGGACCAGGTCCATCGTCCGCGGCATTACAGAGGCGGTGATTCTGCTCCGTTGTTCGGAAACTTCCTCGAGCCGCTCACCAAAACTGCCTGGTGGGTGGTGCCTACTCTGTGGTTGCCGTGCGTCTGCTACGGTGTCTATCTGGCAAACCAAGGCCTGGAGACTCCCAGCATCACCGCTGCCTACTGGGTTTTCGGAGTTTTCCTCTGGTCATTCATCGAATACTGCATGCACCGATTCCTTTTCCACCTCGATGAGTGAGTTACTGCGCCCGATACGCCGAGCCGAAGAAAGAGCTAACAGACGCGCAGCTATCTGCCCGACAACAGGGTCGGCATCACGATGCACTTCTTGCTCCACGGGATCCACCACTATCTGCCCATGGACAAGTACCGCCTAGTCATGCCGCCCGTTCTTTTCGTTGTGTTGGCCACGCCGTTCTGGAAACTGGCCAAGTTTGTCTTCTCGTACAACTGGTACGCGGGCATGGCAGTTTACTGCGGCGGTGTTTTCGGCTACATTTGCTACGACATGACGCATTACTTCCTGCATCACCAGAATCTCCCGCTGTGGTACAAGCAGTTGAAGAAGTATCACCTTGCGCACCACTTCCTTGACTACGAACTCGGCTTTGGCGTCACCACCAAGTTCTGGGACACAATCTTCGGCACGGAGCTACAGCCCCTCATCAAGACGAAGTGAGCAGTCCACCTTGGGCGTCTCGCCTTTGCGGATGCCCTTTAATTCACGCCTGTCGTTTTCGTTATTGGATATGGGTTGGCTGGAGTTTGGATTCCTCGTTTGGACTGTTGTTGAGCGACAAACGAACGATGGCAATGGTGTGATGCCAGGAACATGCATTACATACCTTACGTATGACGACAAAGACTGGTATCGGGGAACCTAATGGAGACTTGATGTCTCTGTGTGAGAAAAACGTACTACAGCACTAATAATAGCAAAGTCTACTCTTCACTTCACCCGCAAAGATGTTGATTCATGACATGCATCGATGTGTCACTGCTATAGCCGTTCCTGTACGCTTGCTGCCTAATCAACGGAGCTGCGCGGGGCGGATGCTGAACGTCGAACATGTCAAAGACTGCCAAGGCTGTGTGACGGGCTGCGCGGGTGGCTGCGCGCACCAGACCAGGTGGGCGCGGGTGTTGGCAGCTGGCCAGGTGGCACCCCTCACGTGACTGGCCCGTCTCCACTCTTTCCAAAGCCATCCAAGATTTTCTGAACACCCCTGCCCCACACCTGCCTGCCTCCAACAAGACCCAGTCAACCACCTCGCAAACGCAACCGCGCTCCCCTCTCCAACACACCACCTCCGCATCCCTCGATCGAGTTCTTGCGCTTTTCGGTCGTCACACTATCCCCCGCTGCGAAAGCTCACTCTACATCCTCACCTGTATCTAGGCATTTTCTCTTCTCGCGCGCTCTTCACGTCGCTCATCGTCGTTGATCACCAGAGCAGATCGTTGTCAAGTGCCAGCTCACGATGGCGAGTTTGGACGTCGAGGCCTTGCTGGCCGCCACGGAGAAGGAAGCCAACGAGAAGAAGCTGGCGATGCAGGATGAACGCCACGCCGGAGACGACAAGAAAGGCGGCTCCGACCGCTCTCGTGACGACAACCGCAGCCGCCACCGCGACCGCCGCAACGATGGCGCCCGCAGCGACACTGGTAGCAACAGCAGCCGCCACGGCAATCGAAGCAGCCGAGATGGACGTCGCGACTACAACAGCCACAGCCGACGCGACGGAGACTACTACCGTGGAGGACGTGGCCGTTCTCGATCCCGCTCCCCTCGTCGCCACTATCGAGATGACCGTGACCGCCGCGATCGTCGTGATCGCTACGACCGACGAGACCGCCACGACCGCTCTGACCGCCGCCCTGCGGATCACGGCAGAGGACGCGAAGCCCAATCCAACACCCCCCCACCCAACGAGCGTGACAGCCGCACCGTCTTTGTTCAGCAACTCGCCAACCGCGTGAGAACCCACAAACTCAAGGAGTTCTTCGAGAAACACGCTGGTCCCGTCATCGAGGCGCAGATCGTCAAAGATCGCGTCAGCGGAAGATCCAAAGGGTCCGCTTTCCCCCTCTCTGCACTTCACTCCAGATCTTGGCTGACACACTGCTCATCAGTGTTGGCTATGTTGAGTTCAAGGATGAAGAGACCGTTCAGAAGGCTCTTCAACTCACTGGCCGTCCTCTCGAAAACATCCCAATCATTGTGAAGCTCACTGAGGCAGAGAAGAACCGCCAAGTCAAGAAGCCAGACGACGGCGGTCAATCCAGCTCTGCCCCCTTCCATCGCCTGTATATTGGCAACATCCATTTCAATGTGACTCAGGAAGATCTCGAGGCGGTCTTTGAACCGTTCGGCGAACTTGACTTTGCCCAGCTGCTCATGGACGACAACGGTCGCAGCAAGGGTTATGGCTTTGTGCAGTAAGGACAACCCCATCCGCTTGCATTTGAAACGATGAGAGGCTAACATATGCTTGACAGATACAAGGAAGCTGACAACGCCCGAGAGGCAATGGAGAAGATGAACAACTTCGAGCTCGCCGGCCGCCCCATCCGTGTTGGCCTGGGCAACGAGCGCTCCGGTGCTGGTGCTGACGCCAGAAACCACGGCCCTAATGGAAACTTCCAGGGCTCCGCCTTTTCCGGTGCCGGCGGCCGCGGCCCAACCGCAGCGTTTGACCGCGCCGGCGGTCGTGATGACCGAAACGGTGGTGGCAGCGCTCTGGACGACACCGATGTCGCAGGGGTGAACTTCAACAACTACAGTCGAGACGCGTTGATGAGAAAGCTTGCCAGGACCGAAGAGCCAGCCGGTGGCAGAGACGATGCCCAGGCTGCGAAGCCTCGTGTCGACGTCAAGCCCTTGCCGGTCAATGTCAACACGGCGAGCCGATGCATCGTGCTGCGAAACATGTACGACCCGGCCGAGTACGTACTTCCTTCCTGTCGTAGTGCGAAGCGGTGCTAACCTTTTCTCCCAGGGAGCAAAGCGAGCAGTTCATTCAGGAACTCGAAGAAGACGTCAAGACCGAGTGCGAGGACAAGTATGGCCGCGTTGTGCACATTGCCGTCGACCGAAACACCCCCGGCGAGGTCTACCTCAAGTTCGACAAGGTCCAAGGCGGCGAGAACGCCATCAAGGGCCTCAACGGACGCTACTTCGGAGGCCGCATGATCAACGCATCCCCCGTCGTGGATGCCATTTACAGCAGCATCTTCTCTCGCGCCCGAGCCGTCTAATGTTGATGAACTCGTTGACAATGGGGAGAACCGTTTTCGGCTCCATTTAGGTTTTCGGCAGGTTTGTAGCGTCCAATCCACTACTGCGGAATCTTGACTAAGTGCTCGTGTCCAGTACGCCCAGGCATCCATCCGCCTGGCCCCGCGTGCTCTGTTTGATTCCCAATTTTCTTTTCGTTCGTGCGACGCTCAACCCGCCAACTCGTCGTCTGTGGCTGAGATTTTAACATTGCTTCTCTCAGATGCCACGACCCTGATACCCGTTTGATGCCATTCCATGGTAAAATGCTGAACGGGGGCCCCCTTAATGAAGTCGTTGTCCAACGGCGTATCGTCCCAGTGCGACAACCGAACACAGAAGCGACAGAACCGAAGTACAAATGTACACTACACCATCCGGGATCTGGCTGGGCTTGGGATCTCCTGACGCTCACCGCCAGACGAAACTGGCTTTTTTCATGTGACAAGGTCACATGCCGTTACACTGATGTCTGTACGAACACATAGGAGCGAGCCTCTTCCGTGGGCCAAGGGAGGAAATTTTGCTTCCAGGTTAAATGGGTAGGCGTAGGCTTGGATTCCCAAAGACTAGGGTAATCTTCCAGTGGAAATGAATGTCAAAAGTAGCAACTTTGCCTTGGCCGCTGATGCTGTTGTGCGTGGACCACCGTGTTGTCGGTCTTGAGGGCACAAGTGACGGAGACGCATCCGGTGGTATTCTCCCGCCGCTGAAGGCACGTCGGGTTGATGCAAAACAGGACACGATGAGGCTTCGCCCATGGTAAGCCAGGCCTGCACGGTCGGCGACGTCTCAACGAGGCGTTTCACAGGTACACCTCATAGCGTCGCAAAAATCGCCGACGCTAGACCGGATATTCGTCTCTGCTCTTCACAGTGGCCTTGCCCTGATGATGTGTCTCTTCTGCAGGCCTGAGAGGGTCCATGTCGAGTCGAAGTGGCATCCGATCGCGGATCGTTGAACTCCCGTTTCACTGCAAACACCACCGCCTCTGCAAGCGAAGTCGCTCGCTCCAGGCTTGAGTCACTCTGAATCACAGTCACAGCATGGGCTCGCACTCGCATCCGTCGGCTCAAGGGGCCATGGCTCCAGTGAGCTTGTGGCATGGTTGGTTGGCCGCCGCACAGTTGTTCACAGCTTGGGCGGCCTCGTTGCCCAGGCAAAGGGGGAAGGCTGACCGGCCAGGCAGCCAGGCAGCCTGAACAGCTCCCTGGGCGGTGTGCCAGGTGGCCGTGGCGCTCGCAGCTGCGCGCGGGAGCTTGCCAGGGCACGCTCTGCTGAACGGCCTGGGGCGAGGTGCCCTTGTGCCCGCGCCTTACCACCTCTCGCTCGCTGCCGTTTGATCACTTTCGTTTCTCTCCCCTCACATCTGCAACACCTGACCCTGGAGAGAAACGTCGACAAACATCCTGCGTGCGCCGGGAAGAAGCACGAGCGGGACGAAGCTGCAAGGTTCGGCATCTTTGCCTTGTCGTCTTTTGCCTACGAAAGTCAGTCTTTTGGTTCGTTCGCAGTCGCGCCTGCCTCGTGAGTTCTCCAAACGGCTTCAGGCTGGTGACCCCAGATTTCGGTCAGTTCTCTCCTCCTGCACACAAACCCTCTCTCTCTCCCTCTCCAGCATCTCCAAATCATTTCTACATATTTCTCATGGCCATGAAAAGCGACTGCTAATGCGAGATTGAAGCCAGTTTCGCCGGGGCACCCTGCCCGTCCAAAAAAAAAAAAAACATCACGACTTTCATCGTTTCGACTCAGCAGACAGTTAGCGACGACACCCTTCGAGCGTGCCCATTTTTCTTTCGTCACCATGCCAAACACTGCGGACGATACGAGCGCCTCGTCGGCTAAGCGAACCGACAACGGCGCGCCGCTCATGGGATCGCCCTCGGCGAGCCTTCGGACGCCAGACCAGACCGTCACCACGGCGGACGACGACATGCTGACGGTGGACTTTTCGTCGACGCCCCTCGCGGGAGCTGCTCGCGCCGCCAGGCTTCGCCAGATGACTGAGAAACATGTGAGTAATTTGCAGTCTGAATCCCTTCTCTCCCCTCCTCTTTCTAGACGCTTCCCGGATCGTCACACTTTGCCCATGGTACCGTAAAGCACTTGGCTGACATCGTCACCATAAACAGCCCGCATTCGAAAATTGCCAGCGCATCCAGCGCATCCTCGCAGCCGTGCAAAGCGCCATCCTCCGCACCGCGCCGGCGGGCGTGGAGTCCGCCTCGCTCGCCAACCAACTCCACGATGTCGGTACACTCGTCAACCAGGAGACGGCGCAGCTCGTCGAGGCGGTGGTGACCTTGAGCCTGGACCAGGAGGACACGGACAAGGCCATCGCACGCATCAGCATCTCGGCGAACCTCGCGAGCGCCAGGACGGACGACCAGGCGCAGACCATCAGCCAGCTCACTGCCGAGCTGGCTGCCGAGAAGACCAAGTGCGAACAGGCGGAGGCGAGCGCCAAGAAGACGGGGGCGGTCCTTGAAGAGCTCATGACAGAGGTGAAAGTGATCAAGGATACTATGACGGATGCCTGGCAGACGAGCCCGTCCCAGGCTGGGCTGGTCAAGGTGAGCAAGCTGGGTGGCAGCGGCACCATGACCACTGCCGAATGTCTAGGGACTCACATGAATATGCAGGTTCTGGCCCCGTCCATCGACAGCATTGAGCGGCAGCTCTATGCAAATATTCCCCCGGGAGCCAACGAGGCAAGCAGCACTCCCCTCGCCAGTTCCCTATTCACCTCAGAGCCCGCCCGGACTTCACGTGCACAGAGAGCCGCATCTCCTATCAAAGAGGAAGAGGATGGCCCGACGGCCGGCGCCTTCGAGAGGCAGACCCGAGACTTGGGTTTGATCTCCCGCTCAACTTTTGAAAACGTGCCGATCCGCCCTGCTACAGCGTTCCAGCCCATGGCTCGCTCGCCGCCCGTTCTCGCACCACCCAGGTTCGGAAACGCTCTCCAAGCCCAAGGCATGCCTCCGCGTGGCCCCTCTGCGCTCTCGCAGGAGCGTCGCCTCGCCCCCCGGAATATGGGACAGCAAGCGTACCGCGCCGTCTCGGGAGGGAACGCGAGCAACGTGACGAACTCGGCATTCGCGCCTCTCACCGCGCCTGGGCCTGGCAACTTTCAGCCGCTCCCGCGATACCGTCCCACCGCGCCAGAGTTCTACCCCTCGACGAGCTTCGCCACGGCTCAAGCTCAACCTCAGGGTGGTGTTGCCATCACCCGCCCTGGCAGTGCGTTCGGCCACCGCTCCCAGCTCCAAGTCACGACGCCCACGTCCGGTGGCCGCAACAGGAGCAACAGCCGCTACGGCCGCGCCCCGGAGAGCATCCCTGCCGGAAACATTGAGTCCCCCTCTCCATCGTTTGCCCTCATGTCCCGCGCCTCCAGCAGCAACCTCGCCAGGCCCATCGCCGCGGCACCCAACCAGCTTACGCCGCAGGTCGTCTCTGCGTGGAACGAGCGCATCATGGACTTTTACGGCAAAATCCGCACCTTCGTTGAGCGGCACGCCTCGGACGCTGAGCGCGGGCCCCTGGCACACGTGGCGGGAACGAGTCTCTGGCACACGCTGCTGGCCACGTACCGCCCCCTTTCCGATTCGGAGGCGGCGTCGTATCTTGAGTTTCACCTCCGCAACGAAAACTCCAAGGCATGCGTCGTGACGCGCCTGATCATTGACTATGTCGTTAACCGCGTGTGGGTGCCTGTCGCGTGGGCGGGCTCAGACAGCCAGACGACTTGTGAGTTGATGGACTTGAGCCACGAGCTTGAGGCCACGGCGGGTGAGTCTTTTGGCACTTCTCACGTATCACCTCACAGCGGACTTATTTGTTCTGACATTATATGGTTACCAACAGGCCAGCCGTCGTCAGCGCGCCAGCCCCTGCTCAACCGCCAGGCGGCGATCATAAACCACGTGCTCAGGAACGAACAAGGCACTACGTTGCACCAGTCCCGCGTCTCTGAGACGACGCGCTCGCTGTACGCAGCTCTCCAGCCGCTCATGAACAAGCACAGTGGCATCAACAGCGCTATGTCCGCCGCAGCAGCAGTGGAGGAGGCGCGGTGCGACCTCGCTGCCGTGGCCGAGTCTGCGTGGGACATCTCGGCCAAGATGTTGACGAGCCGACTGATGTTCGACTTCCGCTTCCCCGAGATCAGTAGCCGCTTCTCGTCGCAGAGCATGCTGCCCATCTGGCCGCACACTGATCCCGCGGAGCTGCAGGCCAAGCACTTTCGGGTCGCGCTCGTCGCGACGCCCGTCATTACGTGCCGCAACGAGACGGGCATGGGGATCTCGGCGCACTCGATTGCGCTGGCCGATGTCTTCTGCATGCAGTAGGCGTTGGTGCGTACGATAGATATCGGTGTTCACTCTGCTCTGCTGCGCAAGGATGCGATTTGAACGGCCGACAGGTGACTGGTCATGTTTTCCTCATTGCCTTTCCTTGGACACGGCATTTGGAGAGCAGACGGTCGATGGAAAGACTTGCCATAAGAAGAGATCTTGGAGCAGTTGGTTTCAGGACCGGGACGATAGTTTTCTTCTTGGAGAGGGAGCAGGGACCTCTCACTTTACTGACTTTTTCTTTTCTCTTTTTTTCTTTTCCTTTTTCTTTACTTGGTTGGTGCCCTGGCACTCGGAGAAGATTTCTCCAAGCTGGTCATTCCGTCATTTTGCGAAGGGCCTTGGGAGAGACAAAAGCGTGAGACTCGATCGCCAGGACCGAAGCTGTATCCCATGACGACACTCGATCCCACAACACGACAAACGTGTGGTGAGATGGTCCAAAGCGGTTCACTATCAGGCATATTATTCACAACGCATGGGGGAACTTACTCCTATCAACATCGGAAGATCAGATTTCATTGGCGCCAACCGGCTACTCGCGACTGAAGTCGCCGCCAGGCATTCGACCCCGGCGGAACCTTACCTACACTTGGCGTTACGCTGAGGGTGCACGTGAAAGACTTGGGCTGACGTGAGGGTTGGGCGTTGAACTAGCGGTCGGGGCGTAGAGAAGCGCCGGAGAGGCGCATAGAAGCCTCATCTACAGCATCTCCAAGACGAAGAGGCTCGTATTCCGGGCGGAATAGGCTTGTGTACTCGCCGTCTATCTCGACTACAGACACGTTTGACCAACGACAAGGTAGCTACGACTCGGGAGGCTTTAATAGGTCCACAATTACATATTGTTTATTCTATCCGTACACTTGTCCCCCTTGCAGAGGTCGCAAAGTCTATGAAAAGGTCTCTAATGTCTGTGAGGACGCCCATCTAAGTCCGCCCCTCGCTATACTTTCCATGTCAAGCAACATTGTCAGTTTCAGTCCACATCCTACAGCCCATGCCACCAAAGAGGCAGAGAAAAATTGGCAATCACCCTTCTTCCCTCATATACCATATACTGGCACTGCAAATCACCATCAACGACGCAAGGGCCGAGAGGCTCGACGCCCGGACCGTCCGCCCCCCTCACGCTCGCAGCTCTGGTTATCCAGGCGCCTGCTCACCGCGCCCAGCACCGCCTTGAGGATCTCCTCGGCCGTGAGCGTCTTGTAGTCGTCGTCGCCAAACTTGAGCGTGTCGACAATGTCGCGCACGCCGTGCCGGCGCGCCAGCCCGTCGTCCAGGCCGCGCAGCGAGGCCGTCGCCGCCGCGTCGTCGCCCACCTGGAAGAACTGCACGCCGACCTGCCACGCGGGGGCGCGGAGCTCGTCGAGGCGCCGGGCGTACCGCACGATGGCCGGGTCGGGCAGGTGTGGGTTGTGCGGCGCCGCCTCGCCGTTACCGTTGAAGCCGCTGCCGAAGCCGCTGCCGGAGAAGTTGACATGTCGTGGGCAGGGGCCGGGCATGCCGTCTGTGATGACGATGAGGTTGAGGGGTCGCACGTCCTGCACGTTCTCTGCGCTTTCGAGCTGCGTGAAGTACGGCTCGAGGATGTCCTCGATGCGGCCGCGCGTGTGTGTCGGGCCGCACGGGCGCAGGCGCTGGAAGAGGGCGTCGACGGCGAGGGGGTCGGTGATGTTGTAGTACCCGCCGCGCGCCTTGCCGCGGGCCATGCCGCCGCCGCTTTGGGATGAGATACCATCGTCGCTGTTGTTGTTGTTGTTGGTGGTAGTGTTCTCGGACGAGCGGTGGTTCATAAAGTGAATGTCGATGCCGTCGTCGTCGTGGCTCGTGCACACGGGCGTGATCTGGCGCAGCGCCGACCGGACCTCGCGCCAGCGCGGGCCGAGCATCGACGTGGAGTCGTCGACGAGGAAGACGGTGTCGAAGAGGTAGAGGAAGTAGTGCGGGTCGTCGTCGCGCGTCATGTTTTCCATGGTGTACTCGCATGCGTGCTGCTGCTCCGGCGGCGGCGCTTCTGCTCCTGCTCCTGCTCCTGCTGCTGCTGCTGCTGCTGCGGTTCTGGTGGTGGAATACGCCGGGGGCGGTCCCGTGAGGGTGTAAGCCGGAGGGGCTTCCGTGGCGGCACCGCTGCGCGCTGTGATGATGATTCCTTGCGTGTCAACGGGAAGAGCGTTTATGGTGGGGGAACTGGAGCGCGGAGACGCACATGGTACTTGGGGCGTGAGGGAGGCGTTGTGGTGTCCGAACGAGGCGCATCGCGCGTTGCTGAGCGTGCTCTCTGTTCGTGGCCGTTTGTCGCCCGAGCGGGAGAGCCGATGAGATAGACTGCGGAGCTTCTCCATGGTTGTCGTAGCTAGAGGAGTTTCTGGGGTAAATTCCCAGAATCGAATGTCGTCGGCGGGAAGGAGTAAGAGTAATTTCTCTGCCGCAGATGGATCTCTCCGATTTTCACTTTATCTCTGCTTCGATGGTGATGATGTGTTGCGCAACAGTTGTGGTTGTCGTCGCAAGCCCCTGTCTTTTATCAAGACTTATGGTCATATCTCCAAAAGTCACAAAAAGGCCAGGCAGGTTTCCGACCTGCCAACTTTTATAAACATCTTGCTTGAGGGGGGTACATACACACTGCCGCCCTCTTTGTTAGGTAGACTTTTTGGGAATGGAGAATGGAGAGAGTGAATGGCATCATCTGGTGTGCACAACGAAGCCTTACATGGGCTCGAACCGAGGCGGTTCAGTCAAGGGCCCTAGGCTCTCTCAGTCTCATAGAACTCGCACCCAGACGACTTACAACTTACAGCCCAAAGAAACCCTGGGGGCGCTAAATGACCCCTGCCTGTCCCGCCCTGTCGGGGCGTCGCAGCACCGCCCACCCGCCCACCCAGCTCAGCCACACGGCCGGACCCCTGCAGGTGTCCAGTGTCGAGCGTGTTTGCTGGGAGCGGCTGTCGAAACATTGAAGGGGGGCTGTGCTTGTGCTGTTTCCGCCACACACGCGGGACCATAGCCCCCCCGCCCTGTCACAAGTCACGTCAGAACAGCAGCCCTCTTTGGCCCGTCTGCCTTGCGGGATGCCAGATGATAAGATAGATCTGTGCCCCTCAGGGCGCACGCGGTGTTGCTTTACCTGCATTCAATTCGGGCAATAATCTCGAGCAACAAGATCTCAACCCCAGTTTTTTGTTGGTCCACTTGTCCCTCTCTGGCGTCGAGATCCGGGAGTAAGGGAGGCTGTCACACCGGAAAAGGAGGCCGAGCAAACGAATGGGCCGGCAAGGCTGCGGGCACGGCTTTCTCTCTCAATCATCCGGGTTGTTTTCCGTGGACTGATATGTGGAATTAAGAACTTGTCACAGCAGAGCCTTGGCAATGGCGACAAATGACCTAGCAACGACGCATGACAGACAGACGTGGACTCGTCTCAAGAGCGACAACCAACTCGACCATCCTCATCACACATGTCTTCAATGCACCTACCAGTGCCCGACCAAAACTCTCCCAACATGCTACCGACCAGTGTCCCCCCGGTGACATCAACTGATCAAACACACTTCCAACACAGCCCCTCCCTCCTACCCTACTAGACTAATTCGACTTTCTGTGCCTATCATACGTGATTAGTCCAGGCGCCAAAATGCAGAATTCCGTGGATACCGGGGGCATGGCAACTCACTTGTTCACGACGCGCTCGATGCCGTCGAGGCCCATGCGCAGCACGTCCATTCTCGGGCCGTACGAGAAGCGCACAAAGTGGTGGCAGGGGCTGTCAAAGAGGTCGCGGCGGCGCGAGGGGTTCAGGTCAAAGAAGATGCCGGGCACGACAATGACCTTTTCTTCCAGGCAGGCTTGGAAGAAGTTGAGGCCGTCGGCGATGGTCTCGGGCAGGCCTTCGAGGTTGAGCCAGCTGGAGGGTGTCAGCACCCATCTCACGTGAGGAGACAGCCTCGTGAGACACTTACAGGTAAAAGGTCGAGTCGGGCACATATTTGATGACGAAGCCCATCTCGCGCAGGCGTCGGACGACAAAATCACGCTTGTCCTACGAGGGCTGTCAGTAAGGGACACGAGCGCAGCGCATGTGCGCGCCAACTCACCCGGAAGTGGCGCTGGAGGTGCACCATCTCGTTCTGCACGAGCGTAGGGTCGAGCATCGGAATCGCCGCCTCTTGGAAGGCGTGGCATGCACCGCCATCGAGGTAGCTCCCGCACGAGCCGATGCTAGATGGAGCCTTGTCAGCTGCAACCCGGCTGCCGCCTTTGCTAGTAAGACGACTCACGCGCTGATGTACTCCTTGGGGCCCAAGATCCACGCGATTCTCCAGCCCGGCAGTCTGAAGCGCTTAGTGAGGCCGTCGATGATGAGCACGTCGTCCTCATCAACGTCCTCGACGTTCTCGGCGGCGGAGATGGTGGTGCCGTCGCAGTTGCTCGTGTAGTTGTAGCCAGAGTAAAACTCGTCGCTGATGAAGGTGGCGCGGCCGCGGCAAATGTCCTGGATCTCGGCGAGTTCGGGGTTCGCGACGACGCGGCCGGTGGGGTTTCTCGGGTTCGAGGTCAGGATGACGGAGGTGCCGCGGGCGATTTCCTCGGCGATCTTGTCGGGGTGGATGTGGTAGCCGTCCTCTTCAGACAGGGGCACCGGGATGGCGGCGAACTGCATCGCTCACCGTGTTAGCTCGACAGTCCAACCCCCGTTCAAGTAACATTTCGACCAAGACGCACGTTCTTGAAGAGACTCAGCATCTCGTTGTAGGCCGTGTAGTCGGGCAGGAAGAAACTCAGATACGAGTTGCCTAGCACGGCAGCGATGCGAATCAGGCCAGCTCGGCCACCGGGGACGATGGCCACATTCTCCCACGTGTACAGGCTGTCCTTGCCCTTGCGATGCATCTCGTTGTACAGCTTGGCGACGGCCTCTCTCAGGGGCCGGATGCCGGCCGTGGGGCCGTATTCTCTGGCGGCGACGGATATGTCGATCGTCTCGGGCCGCTTGAAGCACCCAGAAATATCATCCTCGACCTCGGGGGCGCCCTGGCCCAGGTTGGCCCAGGCGTCGGGCTCCTCGAGGAAGCCATACTCGGAGGCGCGTTCGGTGCACCAGACGACGCCGGTCGAGGAGCGGCTCGCGTCGAGGCCGGCGTGCGGCAGGTGGCCCTCGTGGGCGTTTCGGAACTGGCGATGGATCTTGGACTGGATCTCTGGAGAAAGGACGAGGGCCTGTCAGCAACTGTTGTCTTTACAGACCGGTTTCGTGAAGTTCGCCTCCATGGAGTGGCGCCAGAGCTGCAGCTGCTGCTGCGGGGGAGGGGTCGCCGCGCGCGAGACGCACGACAGCGGCCAAGACCGCCATGGGCGGTTGGAGGGGCACAGCTTCTGCCAAGGCCCAGCTGGCTGTCTCACCGCGACTCCAGCCCAGGCACGCCAGCTCCTCCAGCCCGCCCCAAGACTCCAGCTTCGCAGCCAGGACAACGTTTGAACTCACCGTTCGCCGAAGGCTCGACGCCGCTGAAGCGGCGCATCAGCGGCTTCGGCACGCCAGTGTGGCGGTTCACCGAGAACTTGCGACCGCCAAACATGGTGAATCGATCGGGCTTCAAGCGCGGGAGGGGTTTGCGAGGTGGTGGTAGGAGGGGTTCTTCAATGCGCCACGGGTCGACGAATATGAGCTTGGGATAGTAGACAAGGGAAGAGGAGCCAGCTCAAGCAAGCAGAGAGCTGCAAGTTTGCGGAGGAAAAGCCGCGCGACGGGGGGCAAGCAACGACAAAAGATGAAGAGGCGCAGCGCGCAGTCGGCTTGGAGGAGGGACGGGGCAAGGCCGATCAGGGCATGCGGTGCTTTTGTGTTTTGTTGCAGCAGCAGAGGAGGGAAGAAAGCTCGGACAGGTAAATATGCTAGGAGTCGCTGCCGTGCTAGTTATAACAGGCCAGCCCGTGCCTACAGTACATTTTTACTTCAGGTTCGTACCCAGAGGGACAAAGCAAGGCAAAGCCCAGGCAAGGTATGGCAGTTGATCCCTCCGCGGGCGGCCGCTTCACCGAACTCTGCGTTAGGCGACAACACACACACCTAGTCAACCGCCGCCGCCGCCGCCGCCGCCGCCGCAGCCCCCCCGCTGGCGTCTGCATGGGCCCCATGTTTGCGTAAAAAAATGGGAAGCCCTTCCCGGGCGCCGCCATACGAGAATTGGGGATAACTAACTTGGTCGGTGGAACGGGCTTTGCTTAGACCAGGCCGCCTGTCTCATTCTCGTCGGCGCGGACGACGAGAGAGTCGGGACGACCGTTTTTGGGGAGTTGACCGTTGGCAGCGGATGAGGCTGCTGCTGCCATTGCATTTACAAGACATGGCGCTGCTGCTGCATGGTACTGTACTGTACCGTACAGTACGATACTGTGCATGGGTACCGCATGAGGCACTTTGGCCAAACCTCACCTCACGGCGTCGCCGCCCGCCGCGGCAGACACAATGGGCCAACCAACACGTAACATTTCCCTTTGAGGCGTTTCACGTCCCCCCGATGCAGCCTCTGCAGGGCTCGTCGTTGTTGCATACGCACAACACCGACGCCCCAACCCGACCTACCCTTCCATGGGGGCACGCAGGGCAACGCGCGCATGCCGCCGCCGCCGCCGCCGCCCATGACGTCGCTTTGTTTCTCGTTTCTGCAGGGCGCCCCGGCCCGGGGGATGGGCAGCGATGATGAAGCGGCAAAGTCGGCACGGCATCCCGCGCGACGACGACCATTACAGGTACCTTGGCTTGTAGCGAAGAATCGTGCCCCGACCACCCCCTCCACTGTTACGGGGCGGGCACCTCAGGCAGGCAGGCAGCTGTCATCGGCATTTGCGCCGCTGTCACCCTAGGAGAGCTCTCGCTGGGGAAGACCTGAAGCTAACATATTAGCGCTGGGCTCCAGGGGGACCGCAGTGGGTCGCTGGGTTGCGGGAGAGAGCCCGAGAGGGAAAAACAAGAGGCGGTGTCTGTTTCTGTCTGATGCTTCCTCCGGTTGAGCCCGAAGGGCCTCACTAGGTCCTCCGGATCGACTCTAAGCAGACATTGCGCACTTACAATCTTGTCAGGATCCCCTGTATACTGCAATTCCCTCAGATGCCAGGGGCGATATGCAAATCGGCCATTATGCGCCGCAGCAAGGCTGGCAATTACTACTTGTAGATATGCTTCCCTTGCCGTCCCGGCTGATGGGCGCACTGCCGTCAGCACCTCTGCACCACCGCCAGCGTCGACATTCGACAGCCAACGGTCAACAGCCAACAGTGCAGCGGCTTCCAGGGTCGGTCCCCTGCTGTCCGTCTTCTTCACCTCCGGCGCCGCTGCCCGTTTCTAGTTCTCACCTGGGATGCCTGCCACCCCTCCGTCTCGGTGAGCAACCCTTCTGGGATGGCATCCCGAGTGTCGCGTGTTGCTCTCGTGATACGCGACTCTGCAGCAAGGACAGCGCATGTACCTCCCTACTACTAGGTATACAGATCCAGCTCAGCCCCCGTCTGTCTGCACTGTACGTACAATGCTGCGCTGCGCTGCGCTGCGATGCACTGCACTGCGCTGCGCTGCGCTGCACTGCGCGAAATGTGCCTCGTGAGATTTCATCCGATGCGTGTCTCGCCGTGCGCGCGGCCGCCGCCGTCGCCCCGTCGTGTTGACCTGCATCCGATGCGCGCTTTACTTGCTTGCTTGCTTGCCTACTTGCTAATGCGCCGCCGGGTCCTCCCCCAGCGCGTGTCATGACTTGCTGTGAGATTATTGAGAGAGATATCTGCTTCCTTCCTAGTACTATTCATACCTGAACGTGATATATTGCCATCAGCTCCTTTCGGCGCCCGCACATTTATACCAAGCAGCTGAACAACAAATTGAACACTCCCCTGCCCTCCTCTCTGCGCGAAATCTCGCCACCTATGGATGGAATCCAGACATGTCGTGAAACGATGTGTGTGTGTGTGCATCACCTCCTGCAGTCCTCCCGCCGCTCGATGCGGGCGCTCCCGCGATCCCATCCATCCATTTTCTAGGGTCTTCCATCCCGTCCCTCCCCAGTGGGCGACAGGGGGTCCTCGCTGCCGTGGGGGCGGTTTTTATGGTGGAGCACTGGAGACGCCCGACTGCATGCTCGCCGACGACGTAGGCAACACGACCAACTGAGACTTCGACTCATTCTCACCACACACCTCCTCGCGTGAGCCTCAAAACCCACGTCCTGTCAAGTACGTACATCTACGCACATCTACATACGTGCATACGACGAACGCCTCGCCCCGATTCAATCGGCCCGGCGTCGCTCAGAAAATTTCACGCTCGCTCGCCCGCTCCGGCTGGAACACACGCTCGTTTTTTTCTGCAACGGTGCTGCCGCCGCCTCCAACGCCGCTCGCTTCAGGGGTCCCGTATCTACGAGTTGAAGCTGCAGGACCACGACAACCACACCCGCACGAGGTCTGCCTGCCTGCCTCCCTACCAGCTCAGCCGGGCTCGCCCGACCGTTCCTCAATGTCCCAGATCGCCCGCCACGCCGCCCGCACCACCATCGCTCGCCTCTCCCGCGCCCGCCCCGTCACCGCGCGCGCCGCCGCTCCCTCAGCCTCTCTCCTCAGGCTCGTCAACATGTCTTCCCGCACCACCAGCCGCGAGGCATCAACCGCGTCCTGGAGTAGCTCCTCTTCCCAGCAGCAGCAGCAGCCGGCCCAGCCCGAAAAGGACACCGAGCAGGGCCAGGATGAGCGCCCAGCTGGAACTGCGGCGGCAGACAAGGCGCTCCCGGCTCCGGGAGAAGGCAGCGACGTGACCACCCTGGACGTCAGCGGCGAGGGCACGACCGTCAAGCTCGGGGCGCTCGGACCCCTCGTGGTCAACCAGGACGGCACCATGTCCCGGATATCGAATTGGGCAGAGATGACCGACATTGAGAGGCAAAACACGCTCAGGATCCTGGGGAAGCGCAACAAGCTTCGGCTGGCTACTCTTCGCGAATCGCAAAACGGCGGCGACGGCTCATCTAGCAACAATTGAAACGTTCATGTATTTCATGCAAACAATAACTCATCCGCTTCGGGCCCGTAGGCTCTCTATGCGCTTCCTCCCGTCATGTATATGGTGATATATAACCCTCACGTCATCCACTGCCAACCGGTTCTCGGTTGTCCCACAGCGTGTCTGCCCGCCTGCCGACCGTTTTCACCTCGAAGCAAAGAACGCCTGAACCGCACAACGCCGCCGGAGGGCCCAGCTCAGACACCTCCGGCCCAGACCCGCTTTGCTCGAGGTCACCGCTCCTCCTTGGCAGCCTCGGACGCGGCTGACGCGGCCTTGGTCTTCTCCGTGGCGTGCTTTGTGAACTCCTTCCAGAGGGCGGTGATGTCGTCGCTACCCTCGTTCTTCTCGACGAGGAGGTTCTTCAGCCACTTGTTCTCCGTCTCGAGCTGCGACACCTTTCCTTCCAACGAGGTGATCTTGTCCGTCATCTCCTTGGCCGACTTCTCCAGGGCCTGCTCACGCTGCTTCTTCTTGATCCGGAAGCGAGCGCTGGCGGCCGTGTTCCGCCTCCGCTTGTCCTCCTCGGCAGCGACGCGCGAGGCCTCCTCAAAGTTCAGCTGCGGGGTCGGGGCCGTCATGGCCTCGGCCTTGCGCTTCTCGGCGGGCCGGGCAGCTCCTTGCCGGAACTGGGCCTGCGACTGGTGGGCCTGGACGGCGGCGTGGTTGGGCTGCAGCGGCGGGAAAGTTGAGGCACCATCAGGGAAGGTGTTCATGGACGGGGACGCATAAGCGTTGTTGAACTCGGTGAAGTTGAAGTCGCCTGGTGGATGAGGCGGTTAGCCAGGAAAGCTCCACTCAATGCGCGGCGCAACCATTGCTTGGAAGAGAAGACAATTCCCCGGAAAGGCCCAGGGCTCCGCAGAGGGGAGGGTGCATGTCTGTGAGGCCATCGCAGGCGGGCAGCGCCGATTGATAGCGCTTCACCATACGTCCGATAAGGACCCGCGAGCGGCAGATCACGAGGAATTGCACCATCGCGGATCATTTGTCAGCCGCATGTGGTTGGTGTGAGATGCCCCACCCGACCAGATGTGCAACACTCCATGCAGGCCAAAACAGCGCGCGGACACGGTCGCATCCTCGTTTGATAGGCAGACCAGTGCCGCACTCTGCAGCGGGGGGAGGAAGGGAAATCAAAGGTGCATATTGTGTGATTTGCGCTTTGGGCAAGTGCAACGGCAGGGAATCGCAGCCCCCGCAGGGGGACTCGCCGCCAAAAGCGGCTGCGGTTACCGCTGCGGCTCAGGCTCGCTCAAACAGACAGGGGAAGGAACGAGAACGGTTTGCCGAAGCGAACGCAGGTAGATGTATGAAATATTTCGGCACTCACCAGACATGAAGTCCAGGTTGGGCATGTCGCCAATGACCGACGGCGCGGCCGTGGTCGCCTCGTCGGACGCATTCGAGCTGTGGCGGCCGGCGCTCTTGCCATCGGGCTTGATAGGCTGGGCCTGGTAGTCCAGGTTCTGGCCAGAGTCGAAGTCGAAGAACTGGGTGTTGGTGAAGAGGGAGAGGTCGTCCTCCATGTTGAAGCCCTCCTCAGGGGCCGTGGTGTCCTGAGGACTGATGGTGTTGAGGTCCCGCAGGTATTGCGACACGTTGGGACCGTGCCGTCCGTTGTATGTCGACATGATGATGCGATTTGTCGTTTACCGGGGATGAAGGACTAGTATCGTGTGCCCATAAAAGCGAGCGTGTGTTCGATTCGGCGATGCCGTCGTGGCTGTGGAATGGCCGGAGGTGCGAGCGCGGGGTGTGCGGTTGCGTGCGCCGCCTAGAATAAAGCCACCTCGCAGTCGTAGACGGACGTTCGAAACAAACGGTAGTCGTCGCCGTCAATTGTATCTCGCTCGCGGCGATGCGTCGTTGATGGATTTCGCGGTCAACGGTGTCGTCGAGATCGATGGGTTGTTGACAGGACGAGGATTCACGACTGGTGGCGGAAGTGTCGAGAGGCAGGATTGGGGCCGGACCGGCGGTGGGGGTGAGTCGTGCGCAGTTTTGTCAGGCCACGCCAGGCAGAGCCGAATGGGCAAGCCGAGGGGCAGCCGAAAGCGCCCGCAGGCGTTCGCAGGCGCGGACGACCAGAGGCGGGGCGCAAAAGGCGTGCTTAACAATCGAGAGTCTGGACCCCCACCTGTCGTCCACCGGTCCAAGGCCGGGCCGCCAATCAGCGGTCGAGTCGCCGGGCACGGTTTCTTATCATTTGTCCAAGTCATGACTACGAGAACGGGGTACGTACCTCCAGCAGGTCGGATGGCAGCCAAGCCGCGCCCATACAGTCAGGGCTGCCCGTAAGGCCGCCGCCGGTTGCGCCGGTCCCCGAGGACTGCCGCAGCGCAGGGCTTTGAGCGGCTAATTCCAGGCGCAACGGCGGGCGGAGCACATGTGTCGATGACGCCTGGATGAAGCAATTGACTTTGTGCAGCAGATCCGCGATCGCTTGCTTTCACTAATCCGACCAGAAAAGCGTGCTGGTCTTGATGATGTGGTTTTTTCTTAGCATTGCCGCCAGACCTACACGTCTCTTTGTCCGGTTGCGCAGAACGGCATGCCAACTTCGTACGGTCCCTTGGGCAGCGGCCGGTGGTAGGCGAAGCCCATCCAACTGTCCAGCCGCCGCCACTGGACCCTGCATCTGGATCATTACGGTCCGATGATCCTCACCAAAAGTTAATCACGCAACCATGCAAATCTGGGCCCCGTGGGTGCCCGTGGGTGAGATCGGGGCTGAAGCCGGGGTCCGCGCACATGCCTGACCAGCGGTCCGCTGCTCAAGCGGGCAAGTGCAGCCGGCCACCGGCCAGGAAAAAGCATCGCCCGATCCCGAGCAGAAGACTTCCAGCACCCCTGGATGCGTTCATGATCATTTGGGATCGCTAGCGCAGAGATGGTCTCGTGCTAGTGTTGTCTGCTTGAAGAGACCATGGCGGCGCGTCTGCATTGCTCGATGCCGTTCGGGAGGTGTCGGCACGCTGGCTGAGATCGATGTCACGTGTCACTGAGTCTGCTTACGTACTCATCCACCCACCACTCAAATCCGTCCACTGACAGCCAGTGGGCGACGCGTCTGGACATGGAATCGAAGTCGCGTCTGTCCTGGTGGGGCGAGCCGACTTATCGCAAGGTTGTTGACTGCACTCTGGGTTCTCATGGCAATTGACAAGTACCCGTGAAGCTTAAGCGATCTGCCTGTTGCACCTGACTCTTCGTTTGGCCTGCGCACGCGCAACGGCTCTGGAGATGGCTCGGCTCTCAATCCCAACCAAGGCCCGGCTGCCATCATCTCTCCGTGTCGAGTCGTCCAACCCGGCCGTCGTCAAGGCTCTCAATCGCTTGTCACGCGAGTCACTCATCTCACTGGTCCTCGACTGGCTTGACGAAAACTCTCTTGCCAACGCAGTCCCGTATCTCAAGCGAAGACGCGGTACAATCGAGGACGACGGAGAGGATCCCGACGACCTGTATCCGCCATTGCGCTCCGTCAACGAGCTGCGGGAGCTCTATTCAGACATGCAGCAACAGAAGGGCTCGAAGCGAGATGTTGCCAGCCGCATCCTGGAGGGCGATTGGCGGCATGGCCTCACTCTTTTCCAACTCGCCATGGTGGACTTTTCGTACTTTGACGAGCATCCCACCTCTCAGAAGTGGACTGCGTATAGCATCCTACCCCTCAAGCCGCCATCCACGGAGGGCGAAGAGGAGCTACGCAAGATCAACCACGAGAGCTTGACGATACCGCGGTTCCATCCATCAACGTTTCTCCAGAATCTTCAACACCAAGTTCTGCCGGACGTCAAGGCACACTACCACTTCTATCGCCCCAAGGATCTTCCCTTGTTGCTACTCCGCATCTTCGTCATCGACTCTCCATACAACACCGGCTTGGCCATGGCGAATGGGGATTCCTCCAACGCCACGGCCAATTTTAGCGCATCTCGAACAGTCTACTTGGCGTTCCCAGATGGCTCTCCCGCGCTCTATATATCCAGACCGCAATCCACGGGCCTGGGAGGCGCCGGTGACTCCAAGAGCTTGCACACTCTCATAGTCAATGGAGTTCCCAAGGCATTATCCCGACCCCGACAGCGGTACACACTCAAGGGGTCGAGCTTGACCAGCAGGAACCTGTCTGCCCTGCTCGACAAGCGCGGGCCCGGACGAAGCAACGCGTGTGGTGGCGGTTGGAGCATCTACTCGGACGAGAAAGCCAAGGAGTCTCCATTGGAGACTGTGTTGCCGACACCTCCGTTGTCAAAGGACTCCCCGCGTCTCGGGGCGGTTCAGAAGAGGGGGGCGACGTCATCCAAGCAACAGCGTGAAGCCAAGAGAGCGAGAATGGTCGCAAAGGCCCGCTTTGGAAATAGCGGTCTAGTCACAGACGGCACGGGGGTGGAGAGGGCCGAATTCTTGATGCGAGATCCGTTCCCTGCGTCTCGCGGCGCAGTCCGAGGCCAGGAGGCAGGTGACGAAGAGGAGACTGCCGACGAGCAACCGCTCGACCGAAGGCGGAGCAAAGTAGACGCTGTTCTTCGGCAAGCCCGCGCCGATGTCGATGCCATCGATGACGAGGAGGATACCTCCCGGTGGACACCAGCCGTCAAGGTTACCTTTGTAGGGTCGCATGTTTTTGCTGGCATCCGGCAGTTGGTTGAAGCGGGCATTGTTGATGGCGAGCGTATGCCCGGCTGGATGACCGGAGAAGCAGGTGTCACGACAGGAGTCATCAGGCACGGACGGATCAGGGGCCACAAGGGCGCAGGACTCTGATGCAAGCAACGCGGGACCGCTCATGTTTGATGACTTCTACTTATATGCAATGATACCCCTGAACATGCCGCAATGATGTCTAGCTCTCTTCGCCGAGTCCAAAGACTTGTATCGTGTTTCTCCAAGCCGCTTCGCACACCTCTTCCAGCTCCACTCCCTTGATGGCGGCAACGACCTTGGCCACTCGCTCGATGTTGCACGGCTCGTTTCGGCCCTTGACCATGGCACCTTCCTGCCACTTCTCTTTCTTGACGACCTTGTAGCGCTCAAAGGATTCCGGCTCCTTCTTCTGGTTCTTCTTGGGCTGTTTTTGAGGCGGCCCGGATGGTGTCGCCGATCCGTTCGCAGTGGGTGCCTCGGACGCCGTCTTCTCGATCAGGTACCGCCAGCCCTCATGGCTAGGCCGCACCTCGCACCACGGTCCGTCGGTTTCCAGCATGAGCCTGTCGAGGTGAATCTCCTTGACGACGTCGCAGTTCTCCTTTGTCTTGAAGCTGCATCCGTTGATACCAATGTAGAGGCCAAGGTCCATGAGCTCGCGCATCTCCTCGGGCGTCCCGGTGAAGCTGTGGACTACGCCCCCCTTCTCTAACCTCTCCAGCTTGTCTCCAAAGGCAGTCTTGAGACACGCCACGAAGTCGGCGTGCGCAGCTCTTGAGTGCAGGAACAGCGGCAGCTGAGGAGAGAGAGAGGCGGCTAGTTCGAGTTGGAGTTTGAACGAGTGTAGTTGAACTGCCTTGTTGCAATAGTGCAGGCGGTCGTAGTCGAGACCAAACTCGCCCAATGCCACGAGATGCCCTTTCCCGGACGATCTGGCATCGGCCAGCAAACTCGCGAGATCTGCAATGATGCTCGACGATTTGTCTGGACAGGGCGAGTGGTGCTCAGGAACAGGGGCTGAAGGGTCAGGGTCGCAAGGCATCGAATGTCCATTTCCGTTAGGATGCCCTTCTGAGCTGAAGATGGAGCTGCTGCAGGGGTGGATGCCTGCGGTTGCAAAGACTGTTCCGGCTATTGATGGTGTGAGACCGGGAGTGATGCTGGCGCAGCAAGTTGAGAGACCACTCACGGTATTCGTCTGCCAGCTTCAACGCGTCTCGAGAACTTTGAAAGTCGGAGCCCGTCACCATGAGCTTGGTGCAGCCCACCTCCCGCGCCCGACCGATGACGGCGCTCAAGTCATCGGGATGCCTTTGAGAGCCGTGATATTTGCCACGAAAGATTGGGTCTGCCAGATTGATGCCGATCTACTAGATGATGTGGCGTCAGAAGGTCAGATCCTCAGATTGAATGGTCGTTTGAGACATACATCCGCATATCTCGGCGTATAAGTCGCGCCCGCTGGCGCGGGGCCTGCTGCTGCTGCTTCTGAAGCCATGGCTGCGATGCAAAGTGACTGACGGAAAAGAGATGAACTTGGGCGCGAGACGATTCTGTGTTGAAATAGTCTTGAGAACATAGAGATGAGTGAGTCACGACGCCATGAAAAGGCCTGTTCTTGTTATTGAGTCACAAAGTCATGACAAGGCCTCGTTGAGCCTCGCTCGGTCACTTCTCAAAAGAGTAGCGTGTTGTATTGAGTCCAGATACTGCACCAGTTTGGGCGGCCCACTATCCAGACTCGGCACGGTCACGTGGGCAGCGCTCAGTCTTGGACATGGAAAACAATTAATAATGACGCCGCTCTGCACGTGACCGCGCGCCGCCACAGAGCTGCAAGCCATTTAAGTGAGGCAGGGATGCGCGACACGCTCGACCCACGCCAAAAAACACAACGGGGCGAACAAAGACTCACGGATCCCCAGGGGAACGGCCGCTGGAATTCCGAGGCGCCCCTCTCGCTCGCCGTGCACGCTCGAGCATTCGCCGTGACCGATCGGTCTCCGAGAAACAATCTCCAGGGCGTCGCCTGGGCGGCCGGCGCATCCCTGCCTCCCCCTTGTTCCTGTGCCGGGCGGGCGGGCGCTCGGATGGGCTGAGGCGGCGCGGGGCCAGTTTAATGGATTGGGGCTGCTGGAACGTGCTGTCAGTTGTTGTCGCGCTAAGCGGGTTGGCGTCGCGCGTGCAAAACACGCGCCTCACTTAAAACCTCCGTCCCGCCATCGACACACGCGTACCTCGTCCTTTGATCCTGCACATCCCACCTGCGGCATTCACAGTCTTTTTTCTTGACGGCCCTGCAAGCTCTTTACCATCGTGGCAGCTGCCTGTTCTCTAGGAGACGCGCAGCAAAGAGCCCCCGCATTGCATTTCTCCTCGTCGTCTTCACCTCCTCGCCACCACCCCCGGCCGACCTTGCCGCGTCGCCGTCATCATGTTCGTCAGAAAGCGCGGTATGTGCAGCTTCAGCTTTGCTCCCCTTCAGACATGGAAGATCATCAGCTCACACCAGAATCAGATGGGCGCCAGGAGCGCGTTCAGTTCGACAAGATCACTGCTCGCGTCTCCAGACTGTGTTACGGTCTGGACACGGAGCACGTTGACCCTGTTGCCATTACCCAGAAGGTCATCTCCGGCGTGTACGGTGGCGTGACGACCGTTCAGCTCGATGATCTGGTACGTCAACCTCTTGTCTCTTCAGTCTGTACCGCGGCTAACGATCAATCCCTCGCAGGCTGCCGAGACGGCCGCGTACATGACCGTCACACACCCCGACTATGCCATCCTTGCGGCCCGTATCGCCGTCTCCAACCTCCACAAGCAGACCAAGAAGCAATGGTCTGCCGTCGTCAGTGACCTGTATCACTACGTCAACCCCCGCAATGACAAGGCGTCACCCATGATCTCGACAGAGACGTACGAGTGCGTCATGAGGCACAAGGAGGAGCTCGACTCCGCCATTGTCTATGACCGCGACTTCAACTACCAATACTTTGGTTTCAAGACGCTCGAGCGATCCTACCTGCTGAAGCTCAACGGCAAGATTGTTGAGCGCCCGCAGCACATGATCATGCGCGTTGCTGTCGGTATCTGGGGTGACAACATCGAGCGCGTCATTGAGACATACAACCTCATGTCCAGCAAATTCTTCACACATGCCTCACCAACACTCTTCAATGCTGGTACTCCCCAGGCACAGCTCTCGTCCTGCTTCCTCGTCGACATGAAGGAGGACAGTATCGAGGGCATTTATGATACCCTCAAGACGTGCGCCATGATTTCTAAGATGGCTGGCGGTATTGGCCTGAACGTGCACCGCATCCGTGCCACCGGATCCTACATTGCCGGCACCAACGGCACCTCCAACGGTGTCATTCCCATGCTCCGCGTGTTCAACAACACGGCCAGATACGTTGATCAGGGCGGCAACAAGCGCCCCGGCGCCTTTGCCATTTACCTGGAGCCGTGGCACGCCGACGTGTTTGAGTTCCTTGACCTGCGCAAGAACCACGGCAAGGAGGAGGTCCGTGCTCGTGACCTGTTCCTGGCCCTCTGGATTCCCGACCTCTTCATGAAGCGTGTCGAGAAGAACGGCGACTGGACTCTCATGTGCCCCAATGAGTGCCCCGGCCTGGCCGACTGCTACGGCGACGAGTTTGAGGCCCTGTACGAGAAGTACGAGCGTGAGGGCAAGGGTCGCAAGACCATCCGGGCTCAGAAGCTGTGGTACTCCATCCTGGAGGCCCAGACCGAGACCGGAAACCCCTTCATGCTGTACAAGGATGCCTGCAACCGGAAGAGCAACCAGAAGAACCTGGGAACCATCCGCAGCTCCAACCTGTGCACTGAGATCATCGAGTACTCCGCCCCCGACGAGGTCGCCGTGTGCAACCTCGCCTCCCTCGCTCTGCCCGCGTTCGTTGATTACACGGAGGGCTGCTACGACTTCAAGAAGCTGCACGAGGTCACGCAGGTGGTTGTTCGCAACCTGAACCGCATCATCGACGTCAACTACTACCCGGTCCAGGAGGCTCGCAACAGCAACATGCGCCACAGACCCATCGGTCTCGGCGTTCAGGGTCTTGCCGATGCCTTCTTGGCTCTGCGCCTGCCTTTCGAGTCCCCCGAGGCCCGGGAGTTGAACAAGCAGATCTTTGAGACCATCTACCATGCCGCCCTGACGGCGTCGGTGGAGCTGTCGAAGGAGCAGGGCCCCTACTCGACCTTCAAGGGCTCGCCTGCCTCCGAGGGCATTCTTCAGTTCGACATGTGGAACGTGAAGCCCTCCGACCTCTGGGAGTGGGACAGCCTTAAGGAGCAGATCAAGGAGCACGGTATCCGCAACAGTCTGCTGCTTGCCCCCATGCCCACGGCCAGCACCTCGCAGATTCTGGGCAACAACGAGTGCTTCGAGCCCTACACGTCCAACATCTACCAGCGTCGCGTCTTGGCTGGCGAGTTCCAGGTCGTCAACCCGTGGCTGCTCAAGGACCTTGTCGACATGGGTCTCTGGTCTGACGCCATGAAGAACCGCATCATTGCGGAGAACGGCTCCATCCAGAACATCCCCAACATCCCGGCCGACATCAAGACTCTGTACAAGACGGTCTGGGAGATTTCGCAGCGACATGTCGTCCAGATGGCGGCTGACCGTGGCGCTTTCATCGACCAGTCTCAGTCCCTCAACATTCACATGAAGGATCCCACTATGGGCAAGATCACCAGCATGCACTTCACCGGATGGAAGCTGGGTCTCAAGACTGGCATGTACTACCTGCGCACCCAGGCAGCTGCGGCACCCATTCAGTTCACTGTCGACCAGCAGGCTCTGAAGGTCGCCGACACCAACGTGGGCAAGGAGAGGGTGCTGAAGAAGCGCACGGCTCCTGCGGGAACCAGCTACATGTCCTCTCCCTCGGCGGTGCCCCGCGCCTCATACCTGAAGGAGGAGGCGGGCAACTCGCTGAGCTCCAACGGCATCCCGACGCCTAGCACGACGCCGCCGCCTGCCTTGGCAGCCGAGGGTAAGCCCCGGGTTGTTGCCTCACCGAACAAGCCCTCGACCATCAAGGCCGATGTCGATGATGGCGACAGCCCCAGGGTGCTGCCCACCGAGCCTTCTGACAAGATCAACGACGAGGAACTGGTCGAGCCCGGCAAGAAGCCTGCTGGTGCTCAGTCTGAAGACAAGGACGAGGACAGCGAGGAGAGGGAACGCGATATCTACTCTGATGCCGTTGTTGCTTGTAAGAGGCCCCAATAATTCGTGAACGAAGTCGGACACTAACAGACTTGGCAGGCAGCATTGAGAACCCCGAGTCCTGCGTCATGTGCAGCGGCTAGAGGAAGTCGAGTATAGTAACCTGTGGCTCGTCGAGCTGAGGGATTAATGACGGTTGATGAGATGAGCATAACGGGCATGGATTGAATGCGCATAGTGGTAGCCTGGCAGAAGAGCTGACATGGCTACCCCGGCCGAGTGGTATACGGGGTGCAGCATCCAGCTGGGCGGGTGCTCCCTCGCATGTAACGGTTATCTTGTACAGTTTCCTTTTTGACTGGGATTACGGGTCGGTCTGCGGGCTCTGCATTTACTACATTGTTTCACGAGTCTTTTGAAGATTCCTAGCACATTTCTCAGGAGACTGCTTGACGCGAGTCCCGTCTGTCAATGGACAACATCTTTCATATCAAGGGAACAAATATGCGGCCTGTCTCAGCTGCCCTCGAGTGCTTCCAGAGCCCTCAACCAAGGTACTGTCCCTTTCGAGTCTACCGCACCTATCTACGCTGCGCAGTAGTCCCTCCCTACAGGCAAACACACCCACCAATCTCAACGAGCGCCCCGCGTGCACGTCAAACCAGCAGGCTGGCCTTTCCCCTACAACCCTCGCTTTGTGAGTGTGATGCCGAGCGACGTCACTCACCGCCGCGATAGGCAACCCTTGGGTGCTCGATTTGGCCGATGAGAACCTTGGCCCCGCCTCACCGCCCACAGCTGAAACGGGATCGCAGTAGAGTTTAAACCAAGAAACACCTGAACAGCTATGTAAGAATTATGCATAAATCCAATCGACCGCGATCGGCGGCCGACTTCGCGCTCGCGTGTCCAATGAAGTACCTGCTGAATGGTGGGAAACAGAAAAGGCGCCGCCGCCGCGGCGAAGCAATTCGCGATCTTTCTTTTCATGTGAGTCGGTTTTGTTAGGCCTATCAGCAGGTAGGATTCCGGGAAGCTTTGACCGCTGAAATACTTGTATCGTACCTCATTTTCTTTAGGTTGATAAGTCTGCTGCATTGCCCTACTGTAGCTGTCGACTTGAAGCATGTTCTGGTGCTGCCTGGCAGATGATTGATTTGCTTGTGCTATACGCCTTTTTGTAGCTCCCTTTGTAGGTTTCGCTGCTCTGCCTTGCCTTTCCAGGACGGGCAAAGGAAAGCCAGACGTTCCCCCTGCTGACCCCGAGCTTGGCGTCAGCGTTGTAGATGAGTTCCAGTCAGCCGCACTGGATGCGACAGGTGACCTGCTGCTCTTACGTGCTGTGACATATACAGTACTTGATCTGACCTGGTTGTGGTGCGATTTCTGTTACCCCTTTGGTGACTTTTGCTACCATCTATCTGTCCGTGCAAAGGAAAGTCAAGTCGCAAGTTCCTCATCGCATGCCCGAGGTTGGCGTTACAGTTACGGGCCAGTTCAGCCGCCTTCGCTGCGACAGCTAACCGCCTGCCGCGGAGAGCTCGATTTCCACCTACTTAATGCCCGGCATGATCTCAACCCAGCAAGGGAGCAGTAGACTTAGGACGGGTTTATTACTCAAGTACGCAAGATCTTTGAACCTGCTTCCCCTCTTTTGACGTTACCATGGAAAACATGTCCACCCAATCTATTCTCCCCGTCGGCGGCTGGAAGTCGCTGAAGGTCAGGGTGATCGGAAAGCCAGCCGTCGTCGCAAGCGGCTCTCGCCTCGATCTATTCTACCAAGCGCCCGACATGAGAATCTACCGCAAGTACAGGGTCAACGGAACCTGGGACTCGAGTTCCCCGCAACCCGTAAGCGACGCCGCCGTCGCCGGCTTCTCCGTCGTCTCCTGGGGACCCGGGCGGTTTGACGTCTTCGCGCGGTCGCCGACAGACAACCGTATCCGGCATTACTGGAAAGCCGCGTCGGACGCGCCCGACGAGAAGTTCAGAGCCGAACCGCTGCCCGGAGGCGGAGTCGCAGACTCGCAGCCGTGCGCCGTAACCTGGGGCCCCAGCCGCCTTGATGTATTTGCCAGGTTCAACGACGGCAACGTCTACCACACGCACAAGGAGGGCAGTGCTGACTGGCAGCCGTGGAGCAACGTCGGAGGGACGATTCTCGGTCTGCCCTGCCCGGTGTCATGGGGCCCGGGGCGGATCGACCTCGCCGTCTGCGGAACAGACCACGCCATCTACCACAAGTCCAAGGACGGCGACTCCGGCGCCTGGCAGCCGTCGCAGACCGGCTGGGGCAGGATCACCGACGTAGGAGTAACGGCTCCTAGCAGCAGCCCCGTGGAAGTAAGCTGGGGACAGGGCCGACTGGACCTGTTCATCCACGGAGCCAACGCCCTACGAGCCGTCTATCACAAGGCGCATGTGCCCGGCCAGGGCTGGGAGCCTTCCGTGACGGCGCTGGAGGCGGCCGCTCTTGGGGGCCAGTTCGCCGTCGACACGCTCCACGTGGTGGCGCCGAGTGCGGATCGCCTGGATATCGTTGCGCTGGCTGACAGCGGTGATGTTCACCACAAGGCTTGGACCGGCAGCGCCTGGTCTCCGGCGGGAGGCCCGTTTGCGAGTCTCGGCCAGCCGGACGCAGGGCCGATTCGTGGGCCGCCGGTGCTGAGCCCACGGGGGTCGCAGGAGCTGATGGTTTTTGCGGCTGGGCCGGGAGGGGAGCTGTGGTGCTGGAGTCAGGGGAGCCTTTGATGCTGTGTACGGAAGGACATGGTTTGTACTCAACCTAGCAGTTAACCCTTGGATATACAAGTAAGGAACCGGACTGGACTGGGCTGGGCTGGACGCATGACGAAATATGTGAAAGTAGTGTCAGACACCCTGGAACTGAGAGTCTTGCCACTCGCCCAAAACAAAGCGTTGAACACTGGACAAAGCGTTGAACACTCGTTCCGTTGCTGGGCGCCGTGGATGGCAGGCGGCCTGAAAGCGCTGATACTGGCTGGCTGGGGATGGAGGTTGGGACGGCTCAGGGCAAAAAGCCAGAACCGGCCCCAAGCCCTCGGGCACTTTGGGTAATGCAACGCGCCGGCATGGAGCTACAATGTATTCTAGATCCGACTAACTGTGTCAAATGCCGTGCGGTTTCGCGTCGACTTGAAACAGTTGTGGTGTAGGCGGTTTGGCAGCTCGGTGACGAGACGATGCGTCTTTGTCGGCGATCGAAACACGACGGCGGTTGGTGCAGCCTCCTCCCTCATGTCGTGTGCGCTACTGCTGCTGCTCGCTGCCTCCCTCGCGAGAGACATGGAGCGACATCGAAGAGAGAGAAGCGAGTCGTGCCACATGGTACCCGAAACACGCAGCGAACCCGACGAGCAAGTGGCCCTGAATCGCGTCCGGTCCGAGTTACACGGGAGAGTCAGGGGCCAACGCCGGTGCGAATGAGAGGAGGCGCTGGACGGGCCGAGGGGGGCTCGCGAAGTGGCCAGACAGAAAGCTGTACGACGAAGTACGGCGCGCGACGGGCCTGGATACGAGGGGCTTGGGTCTCACGCAATGCATCGCGACTTGTGATGTACGAAGTACGTCGAGAGAGCTTTCGACAGGCACTTGCGCTGGACAAAGCAACATTTCATTCTACAGCCGGGACGGCCACCCGCGAAGGCTGGTCCCGGTGAAGGCTCCAACCCGCGGGCACGGGCTGATTGATGTCCATGACAGCTTTGCAGGCCCGCATCTCGACATCGACATCGAAGGCGGGCAGCCACGATCGAGCGGAGGCGGGGGAGGTGGACGAGGCCGCCCGGGGACGGACCCGATCTGCGGTGACGAAAAGGCGCATGAATGATGGGCGCTTGTGCACGGTTCCGCTGCCAACGCACCCGCGTGCTGCGGCATGATGCAAGGTGAGCCGCGAGCCATCATGCCAGGCCGCCCGGAGTGTCGCCCCGCGAACGACAACGATGTGTGTGTGCCAAGCAAAGTACCCCATGTACAGCTCGGTGGAGGGTACTTGTCAAGACTGCATCACCTGCCTTCCGGGCGGCTGCCGTGGTTGCAGACCGCAGAGGCTGGCTGGGGGTCCCAACTTGGGCCGAGGTGCGGACCTGGGCCGTGGAGAACGCAGACGGCGAGTAATGGGCGGAGGAGCCTGTCTGACTGATGGCCTTGATCAGCAACAAAGAGGCCACAGAGTGTGAGCTTGTTGTTGCAGAGGACGGCCCCAGCAAGAACCCCCGACGGAGAGGCCGCTGGAAAGGAAACGGTTCGGCTCCGTCCATCCACTTACACAGGCGGTCTTTCTGGGCTCATTTTGCAAACATGGCCCGCGTGGCACCTGTGATTGGACGGCGCGCCCGTGCGGTTGGCGCTATGCCTTCCGTAGTCGCTGGACAATCTCGAGTCCAGCTGGACAAGGGCCCGCGACTTGAACGGCGAGCGGGGCACTGGTGGCGGCTTGCTAATCGTCTTCTAAGGCCGTCCTAGACTTCAAAGGAGATTTTCCGTTGAGCAAAATCTCATCTCAAGTGTAGAACTTTCGGCAGCAACAACGGCGGTGGTACGACGGCTTGCGGGTTTGCCGACAACGTCTGCCTGTTTGTTGACAACGACGGAAACGGCTGCGTCATTTCGGTGGGAGTGAGTGAGTGGGTGAGTGGGTAGGCAGTTTGGCCGTCCGCCGGTACATCGTACGTTAATTTGCACAAACAACAACGGTGATCGATCACCGTCTTGGGTTTTCCGGAACGTCGCCAATCGGCTCGTCCATGCCGCGCGATCCAGGCAGGCCAGGGAAACCCAGCTGGCGAAAAACCCCAACCCCCAGGGCCAATTGGCCAATGGCGCGCGCAGACGTCCCATCGACAGGGGGCCGCGTTCCCTGGTCAATCGCGTCGGGTGTGACCTCACCTCACCTCACCTCTCGCCTGGTCCCGACGGCCGATGACCACTTGATTGCCTCATGTCCGCCCGCCAACCGGTCCCGTACCAAGAATCCTACACAAAGAACCAGGTATTGTGCCTTGGCGGCGGCCGGGAGCCGGGACGGTGAACGCGTGGTGTTGCGAAGCGATATGGAGCAATGACGTTCCCAACGCTGAGGCGGTGTGGCTGAGCCGCGTGCATGTGGCGCAACGGCCGCGCCGCTCTTCAGCTGGCCGCTGCAGCACTGCCGGCGCGCTAGTATTGCGGCCTTGCCAGCTCAGCAGCTTCGGTCCGTCGCGGAAGCCCGCCCGCCGCTTCATTCCTCGCCGTTGCGTGCGCCACAGGCACGGCTCACGGCTTGCTGCTGCCGGACAGACCGAGGGTGTCGAGCCTCTGGGAAGACGGTAAATTTCAGCATAATCAAGCACCTAGTAGTTCAGGTGAACAGGTATCTTGGCTTGCTTGGCCACTATGGCCGGCGGGGTCAGCCATGGCAGGCCTCTCTGATGGCCCAACTGGGCCAAAGGTCGTCGAACTTGAGATGGGATCACCGCGGGCAGGTATCGGCTGGGCATAGCCCGGCCTGCCCAGCAAGGACCGGCCGGCCGCTCGGGTCGGCTGGCGCGGCCGCTCAGGTGCAGATCCTCATGCAGCCCCTCCGGCACAGGAGACCAGCCTTGAGATTGTTCGCTCTGGTCGCTTCGTGGGGCATCTTGGGTCCATCCTGATCTCCGAGGCTTCTATTTAGCATCGAAAAAAGTGCGACAAAAGGTTCAAGGCCATCGCGAAAGCGTGTTTGAGCAAGATTGAAAGGGCGATCGTGGGACCTCCAAATGCTGGCGGGTGGTGGTGATGGTGGCTCTGGAAAGCCACACAGGTCGGGTATCGGGAGGGCGGCGCCAGGTGGGTGGAGTGGAACCCAGACATGGGTTCAGGGGGGGGACCCCAACTGGGAACAACCATCGCACCCTGCCCACCCCCAACCTCTCGCTCCCCACCCACCAACACCCCGGCCTAGTTTAGTGTGGCCCAATGCCGACGCACTTCGATCCGCATCTTGGTTATGACCTCAGACCTCAGACCTCATCTCGGCTGTGGTCCCTTGCCGGACTGGTGACCACCTCACCATGCTTTTTTGGCGGCACCGCTGCGGTTGTCTCGCTGCCCTGCTCCCCGGTGCCCGCTAGCCAAGCAAAGCTTCCAGGACGAAAGTCCAGTTCAGGACACGCTCACAGCAGAGCCCTCTGTACAACGCACCTCGATTGCCCGTGGTCTGTCATTGTGCACCGCGAGACGCACGTTGCCAGGGCGTGGCATGGCCCAACCCACGATGGTGCATCGCCGCCCTTTTCTCGCAACGAGAATCGTGGTTTCAATCTGGCTCCGTCCGTGCGCTCCATTTCCTTCATTTGCCTCATGGCGCGTCTCTGCGTGGTCCATGCAAGGCTCTCCCGCAGAGCGATTGCGCCGTCGGATAGATCCGGCGCACAAGGAGGCCCCGCCGCAAATCTGGCAACGGGGCCCTTGTTTCTTGTGCGGAGAATCTTTGATGAGCCACGGGCCCCGGGATGGCGTTGCGCAACTGGTTGTACGTAGTCTGTAGCTAAGCACGTTGCAGCACGGCGCGGGAAAGGCTGCTTGCACGGGTTTTGAGTCTGAATCTGTGGTATTTGCGTGATGGGATGGCGTGTCTGATGCTCCCTACTCCTCGCCCAAACTCGCGAGGCCTGGCGCGCGCCCTCGTTCGAATGGCGCTTCGGCGGGCCAAGGTGGCTGGCTAGCCGATCTCCTACGGTGATGAGGCGCCCTAGGGCCAAGAGCGTCGTTCAGGTGCCCACCATCTCGCCAGGCTGGGCAAGTTGGCAGAACCAAGATGCAGCCAGTTGCCCGAACGAGCGCAGCCCTGTACCTTGGCGGGGACGGTACCTGGCCAAGTGTACCTTGGCTAAGCGTGGCCTGGGCCTGCTTGCCTGCCTGCCTGCCTGGCTTTTGTGCATTGGGAGCTGGAGGGACGGACGGACGTACGTAGCACCAAGTGGGCGGGTGCCCTGCCAGCCTGCCTGCCCTGCCCTGCTTGGGTGCGTCCACCGGTCCCTCCTATGCCTGCCCAGCTGGCGGGCGGCCGGGCGACGATGCAGCAGCCGCAGCCCAGCCCGCACCTGCTCCCGCTGTTCAAAATAAAACTCCCGACCCTTCTCCTCCTCCTCCTCTCACCCCTACCCTCTGGTTCTCCCTTTTCTCCGCTTCCTCTGTTTACCTGCACGCAAACCAACTTCGTTCGACTGCACCCGCATCTCCTCGTGCCACTTCCATCGCCGCCATCTCGGTCAAGATCCTTCAGGTGAGCTTCTTCCTGTTGCTATGCATCATGGCACCTCCGCCACGCCGAGACTCTCAAACGCCGTTTCTTGGATTGTCTCAACGCGTCGTTTGAGACTTGCTCGCACGCCACGAGAACACTATTCTCGTCGCGATGCCTCTCCTCCACCCCAAGTCACGAACCACCGCGTGCTTGCTTGCCTGCTTGCGTTCCTCCGTCTCGTCTCGACGAGATCACTGCAACGTCACACCGCCCTCCTGCTTGCCCATTCACTGTCACCCACTGTGCTCATTCAGACGCGGCCCACGAGTTCGACGGCAAGGCGAACGAACCAAACCAGGTGGTGTCGGATGACTTCGTCTGAATCAACCCTTGCCGATCCCTCTCCCGCTCGAGCGACGCAGCTTGTGCCCTGCCCATTCCAACCCCAGGCACCTAAAAGGCTCGCCCCAGATCTCCTCCCTGCATTCCAACTTCTCCCATTTTCCTTCACAACCCACGCTCTTTTGTGCGCATTTCGTGCTAAGTCGCTCTCTAGTTACTCTCCAGTCTTTGCCGACCAACCGACGTCACAATGAAGTCCATCATTGTCGCTCTCACCACCCTGGCCACGGTGGCCTTGGCCCAGGACACGGCTGGCCTTGAGCAGTGCGCGGTAAGCTTTCCTGCGACAGACCGAGGACTAGTTCTTCCGGTGCTAATGTAGGATTTAGCAAACCTGCGCCAACAACATGCTGTCTGCCAAGAAGGCAGAGGAGCTGGAGTGCAAGGAGGGTGATTTGAAGTGCCTTTGCGCCAACGTCAACTTCACCTACGGCCTCCGCGACTGCACCAACTCTGTCTGCGGTGGCAAGTTCGCGGATCAGATCATCGAATACGGCAAGAAAATCTGCGCCGGTATGTCAACGCTACGCACCACAGCACTGTACTTCTAGCTAACACTGGTCCAGGTGCCGGAGTCGTCATCACCACTGGTGGCGGCAACAGTGGCAGCGCCACCAACACTGCGACCGACGGTGGTGCTACCAAGACTGGAGGCGGTGGCAGCAGCGGAGACGTACGTGATCTCGCTCATAATCCTGCTTGGCAGGGTGAAGGCTAACAGTAACATCAGGCCAAGGTCTCCACCATCTTCAGCACTGTCACGGGCACCGACGGCAAGGTCGAGACGACTCCCGTTGCCACGACCACTATTGGCGGCGGCGAGGCGTCCGGCACTACTGGCAATGGAGGCGTCGTTGTCACTACCGAAACCTCTGCCGGATCTCAGATCATCCGCACGCTCACCACCATGACCAGCGGCCAGTCTGGCACCGCCTCCGGCTCTGGCACCGAGACGGGCACGGCTAGCGCTTCTGAGACGACCGGCGAGAGCAGCACCGGTTCTGAGACTGGTGGCGCCTCTACCACCAGCGGCGAGGCTTCGGGCACTACTGGAGGCAACGGCGGCGCTTCGCAGACATCGGCCACCCGTTCGGGCACCTCGTCTAGCACTGGCTTTGCTGTAAGTACTCCTCCGGCGCGAAACTGATTGCGTGTGCTGACTCACGTATGCAGGCTCCCCAGAAGACGGCCGCTCCTGCTGGCATCCTGGCCGCCGCTGGCCTCGCTGCTCTCTTCCTGTAAGGAGTCGCGGGCTTCTACGATTTTTTTGATGGTTACGCTACACATGTTTGATACAAAATACCCGTCTATACCTCTTCATGCTCGGCCGCCATCTCGACGAGTTCATCGGAGTGCAACCGCGCCCCTGGAAGATCTTTGCGATGTGGATTGCAGAGCACGTGAGCTGGACATGGGGGCAAATCAGGCTGCGGAGGACTAATGAGGTTTATGGATTCTTTCACTCAGATCGTGGTGACGATTAATGCAGCAAGGGATCTTGTTTTCTCCCGGTACGCAACGTGGTTTGGTGCCCATGTGGCTCGGAGTGTCTGAGAAGTGGGTGTGGGCTTGGCAAGGTGCCGACGGGGGTTGACGTGGACGCCCGTCTTCGGATGAATGGTGGTTCATTGATACCCGGATCTGCCTGGCGTCTACTTTCTTGCTCTCATTAGGCACGAATTAATTGATAATTTTGGCACAACTGGTCTGAACTGTGAAGTTGAGGTTACTATCATGCTGTGAATGCAAGTGAGGAGTCGTACGAGCTGGAGCTTCTCATACCTGGATCCTAATACGATTTCAGGGCCTTTGTGCAGCCAGGTTCGGGCTGGATGACGATCACAAGGCAACTATACCATCGTGTTATGCGCGATGCTCTGATGGTGTTGGATATGTTTGAGATGCCGGGGCACGCCGTCGAACCAAACTCTGGAAGTCTGGAAGAGTCGGTCACGACCGCACACTTCCCTTTGCGGCTTCGAGAGCGAACCGCCGGAGTTCATGGCGCGATTCGGGCACGTCAACTCGAAGAGGACGACGAAAGAGATTGATGAGCGTGCCAAGTCAGGCGAAGCGAATCGCTTCGGTCCCCATACGCTGGAAACTGCACACTACGTATCTCGTAGGACCACCGCGTTCGTTGTTCCTGCTGCTGATCTCCGCATGGCACTTACCTCGTAGGGCCATGGCATTGTTCCTGCTGGCGATGTCCAGGCCCAATCTCGGCTGTGGCTCGGTGGCCCGGAATGGCGTCAACGAACGGGGTGGGGCCGCGGCGGGATCAACGCGGCGGCAGTGGGGGCAGTAGGTGCCGGTCCGGCCCGCTGCGATTGATTGCACCGGGGGTGTTGTTGAATTGTGAATCACATCCCAGCCATGCGAGCATAATGAATGGCGGGGTTGAGGGAAGAGATGTTCCCAGTTTCACGGTTTGGCTTGACGGCTGCTCACTCTCAAAGTCCCCCGTGTATTCTCGGGGGGGTTTTTTTTTCTTTTTGGTGCTACCGTGCTTCCCTCAAACTGAACGAATGACTAAAAACAGACTCAAGGAAATGACGAACAATTTGGTGCTGTCGAGAACAAGGAAATCCTCCCAAACAATCTGTACCAAGCTTATCTCCCCTCAAAAATGGCCGTAATACTCGACGGTAACCCAGTTGACGCGGGCGACGCGGCGACTGTTGGGGTCCTCATCGTCGACCAGACTCGCCCCCAGAGGACGCACTCCAACGAGGATCACGTAACGAACATCAACCGCCACGTTCCCCGGGCCGTCACGGACGGTGAGGTCCTCGCTGGGCTTCCAATAGACGCGGATGGAGTCTTTGACCTCACCGGTCACATGCGAGACACCGCCATCACCACTTCCGTTCAACGAAGTCCGGAACCTGCCTCTATAATAGCGCTTCTCGTCGCCGTTCACCTCAGCGTTCTTCACAGGAGGAAGTCCTGGCTTCATGGGTGCATTGAAGAGGGTGCCGTCTGCAGCATAGCCGGTGTACGCGTGTTTGGCAATTCTCGCCACAGTTGGGTCACCCATTGCCCGTGGACGAGCACCCTCCGGTGTCTCGGTGGCTGAAGCCCCAAGCTGAAAAACGCGATTCTTTGCATTCACTTCAATGCTCTGAAGGTCTGCAGCAGGAACCTTGACCAGTGTGGCGAAAAAGTCCACCTCGGCCTGACGGAAAAGGTCCATGCGAAAGAGAACCCCCGACAAGTGCAGGGCGGTCGACTGGCGCTCCGCAGCAATACCGGCCAAAACCTCCGTCACCGGGACAAGAAAGTAGTATTCTCCAGTGCCTGACCCGATGCACAGACCGCCTTCCGTTGATCCAAGGTAGAGTTCGCAAAATTTCCGGCCACCCTGCTCCTGCCGCGAGCCCTCCCAGGGAATCCTGTCCAGCTCCTCCTCATCCTTCCTTGCGTCCTTGACTGGCCAGGGCCCGCGCCCAGCATACGGCTTGCCGCTACTGAATCGAGCCCCACCAAGCCCTGGGCGAAGAGCACCCATCTTGAAGTTGGAAGACGATGAGACACGATGACGCCCAACAGAGGTGTGAAATTGGTCGAGACAATTCACTGATTGACGTTGGCGTACCCCCTCCCGTGCCATGAAGGTATGAAGGAGGGAAAAAAAAGGAATGGGAGACAGAGGAGGAAGGGACGCATTTTATACGGACTGCGAACTCGAGTCCCGTGAGTCTGTGTGACACTACGGATACCTCCCGCAGTGGATCCTCCACCGGGGGTGCGACCAACCGCCGCCGTGCGCGGCCACAGCAGCAGCCTTCTATTGCCTTCGAAGGCTTTCGAGATACTGCGCCAAAATTCATCCTTCATGGCCTGTCTCGCCCTATTGCCAAGTAAAATCCCAGGAATCTAGGTCCATGGGTTCGTTGCGTAGCATTGTCGAGAGTTGAGCGGGACGCCCGCCGGCCCTCAGACAGAGAGAAAGGGCGGGGCCTCCTCGATACGCCGCGTGCCTAGCGGCTGCTTTCCTGAGCCATGCGGACGCGACTTGGATGATGGCTTTTGGCACGAATTTTGCTCAACGATAATCATCCTAGACCTTTTGTGTATGCGTCGACGTCTACGAGGTGAAATGGACCTTGTCCACGTGCTGAAGTACGGCTACGATGTCCTCCGGATGCAAATACGTATGACGCACGTGCGTATGACTTTTACTTGCTGCGATTGCTAAAATCTGCGGATGCATGTAAGGTACAGAGATGCGTTGCTATTGAACAAGGCTTGCCAGATAACCCCTGGCGCAAGTAGCAAGTTGCCGCCGTACGCAACCACACATGTCGGACGATGACGCCAATCTCCCGCCAACAGACAAAAATACAAAGATAAAAACGCCATTAATTTACCCAACCCAATTTTGCCCTGATCCCATTCCGTCAACGCCTCAATGCATCATGCTCTTGCCAATCTCGCTCTGCCAGTCCTTGGCGCGCTCGAAGCCGTTGGAGTAGCTCTGGTAGTCCATGAGGGCCTTGTAGACGCCCTCCTTGGAGTTGAGGACAAAGGGGCCGTACTGGACGACCTCCTGGTCGAGGGGCGTGCCGGCGACGATGACGAGCCTCGTGTTGCCCTTGGCGGCGGGGTCGGCCTCGACGTGCACGGCGTCGCCGGCCTGCTGGAAGACGACGTTGTGGTACTGCGCGACCTTTGTGTGGGCGTCGCCCTCGCCAAAGTAGGCGTCGCCCTCGAGGACGTAGGAGAAGGCGTTCCAGCCCTGCGGCAGGGGCTGGGTGACTTTGGCGCCGGGGCGGAGCTCCACGTCGAGGATCCAGACGGGCGTGTAGGCGAGGTCCTTGACGGAGTCGATGCCGTGGGACTGGCCGGATATGACCTTGATGGTGGCCTTGCCGTCGTCGACCTCCACGCGGGGAATCTCCGCAGCGCGCAAGTCACGATACCGCGGCTCACACGCCTTGAGCTTCTCCGGCAGGTCCACCCAAAGCTGCAGCCCGACATTCGCGCTCCCGTCCGGGTTCTGCGCCGGCATCTCCGCGTGGACGATGCCCCGCCCCGCCGTCATGAACTGCAGGTCGCCGGAGTGGATGGTGCCGCGGTTGCCGGCAAAGTCCTCGTGGTCGACGGCGCCCTCGAGGAGGTAGGTGATGGTCTCCTGGCCGCGGTGGGGGTGGTCGGGGAAGCCCGCGCCGGGCTTGATGGAGAAGTGGTCGAGCATGAGGAAGGGGGAGAGGTTGCGCAGCGAGGGCGTGCCGATGGAGCGGCGGACGCGGGCGCCCGCGCCTTCGGACTGCTCGGCGGCGAGGAAGACCTTGCGGATGGCGCGCTGGACGACCGAGGATGTCGACGTCATTTTGTCTTGTGATGTGATGGGGTCTGTGGAGGTGAGGTGCTGTTGCTGCTGTTGCTGTTGTAGGACGTTCTCAGACGACGTCAGTTCAGCCGACGATACCGACGAGGTGGTGGTGGTGGTGGTGTAAAAGTGCTGCCTCAAGAAAGACGATATCTGCTCCGAGACGACGCTGCTTGGGTTGTTGTTGACGACGACAAGGACGACAGTCGAAACGAAGCCAACAAGAATTGCGAGTATGAGTTTGATGCTCAGGAAATTCTTCATGAGTCTGGGGTCCAGGAACGATCGGCGGCAATATATAGACAATTCCTTTGCCTTGATGCAACGTCTAGACTAGAGCTCGTCGTCCTAGCTAGTCGATCCTAGAAATCCGGAGAAGAAAACCCGAGAAGCAAGAAGGAGGAGATTGGAGAAGAATTGGGGTTGATAATGTGTCAGTCCAGAGCTGTAAAAAAGCTGTCATCAAGAAAACCGGCGTTCTCCCCCGCCATTCGTAACTAGCTAGCTAGCTGTCAACCTCTTCTGAACCTGCCATATGCCACCAGTAGTGGTAAATGTCAGCGATTGGAAATAATCCCCCCAATTGAAGGCCGCCCCTCGGCCTTAGTCAAAGTTACATCAGCATCTCTCCCTCTGCGAACGTCGAGAGTGGGGGGGGGGGGGGGGCGGGCAGCAGCCATGGGGTCCCGGTACGTACCGATGACCCAGCCACACCGGTTTGCCTGGTACACGCTTAGGTAAGTCATCTTTGTTGGGTGAGCGACGCTCAGTGTGGCTCAGTCGCAGAACGGAGAACAGCTCCAGCGTCGCGCCTCGCTCTGAAGCTCCACCGGGCACCGTTTTGGACGCTCATCAAGCTCACCTCGAAAAAAACGGAAAGCAGCAAGGGCCCCCCACCGCTGCCATCAGCTTGTCACCTTGTCAGCTCGACCTGCGGGGGCCTCCATGAATCCATGCCGTGTCCCGCAGGACCCGCAATCACACAACAATCACATGTCAGACAGTTCAGCAGGGTGCCAACACCAGTCAGTCCCACGATCCCTGTGACGCGGTCAAGGTGGCACGTAGGGGAGAAAAAATTCTATTAGCTCTTCCATTGGTCTTTTGGTTGCCTCCAAGATGTTTTCTGTTTTCCGAATCATTCAGGTCGTCATTCCGATCCAAGCCAGACGAGGGGAGTGATTGATTGAACACTCGCGCATCTGCGCCGCCGTCCCCTTCCGTAAAAATGGAAGCAATGGCATGACGCAGTGTATGAGAGCTTCATGAGCAAAGATGGTGTGTGCTTGGTCGATTCGCGAGCCGAGACGTGGCGACGCGAGTGAGAGATAGCAGAGTGGTTTCCAAGGAAAGAAGAACGCATTGGCTCGAATAAGGTCCGAAGCACAAGTAAAGAGATTTTGGAGACGAAAGCGATGCAGAAAATGCCCAACATAGTCCAAGGTATAATGAACAACCAGCCACCAGCACCACCGTTCGCGACGACGCCCGTCGGCTGCATCGACGACGGGCGGTCACGGCTGGCGCGCAACCAAACGCCAATATTTGAACCCCCGCCGACAAAGAGGACGCGAGTTGTGCTGAAGAGCAAAAAAAGGTATTCCCCGTCGCTGTGCAATGCGACTTGCTCTCCCCCCTCGATTCCGCCACCCGGCACTTCAAGTCTCCATTACTGCTGGACCTTCTCGTTGACGAGCTTGGCGGCCTCGGCCTTCTTGGCCGTGAGCAGGCTGCTGAGCCAGCTCAGCGTCTCGTTGCTGACGACGAGGGCGGTGGAGACGGCGGCCTTGCCCTGGGCGACGATGCCCTGCTGCTCGGCCTTCTTAATCTCGCTGCTGTAGACCTGGAAGACGTGGTCGCGGCCCTCGATGGACTTGTTGTAGGGCAGCAGGATCAGGCTGCGCGTGTCGTTGTAGAGCTCGTTGGTGGGCTTCTTGACGACGGGGAAGCGCTCGTCGACGCGGTCGAGCGCCTTGTCGCCGATGGAGTCGGCGCGCTGGACGTAGGGCGAGATGTAGCCGTAGGGCTTGGCGATCCAGGGCAGAACGGGGGCGGCGAACGTCTGGTAGGCCGAGTCGCCGAGCTTGATGGAGCGCTGGGCGTACTCGTTGGACTTGAAGGTGGTGATGCCGTCGCTGATGAGCGGGTAGTTGAGGAGGTGCTGCACCCACACACGTCGTCGTTAGCCATGCGTCTCTCTCGTCACCATCACGTAATATGGTGGCAGCGGCGCAGGTATATCCAATTCTGCCGCCGGACGTTGAGGGGAGGGGGGCGCATTTACCTGGATAAAGGCAGACTGGTGAGCAGGGCTCACGTCGCCGTTGACCTGAGGGACAGCCATTGCGGAAGAGTACGTGTGCGTAGTAGGACGAGAGAGCGGGCGGGCGGGCGTATGGTCGACAGGTTTCGACTAGCGTTTGGGGAGATGGGGGTATCACAGGGGAGGCTTTGTGTGGTCGGTGCGACGACGACGAGGAGGGTATGGCGTCAAGGCAGGTTTCGTTCGTTGACGGAAGAAAAGGGAGGGGGAGAGGAAAGGAGAGAGAAGGAGGAAAGGGACGAGATACGAATGTGCGAGGCCCAAGGCTAATAAACTGGAGGAGGAGGGGAGGGTGGCAGGCCAGGCAGGCGGTAGGGGAGGAGCTGCGGGAGCGCCACTGCAGACTTTATCAGGATAAGTGAGGTGTAGGTGTAGGTGTAGGTGGAGGAGGTCCGTAGAGGTTGGCACATGCATCCGTGGATGGGCCGCCGCACCCACGCACGGGAAAGGAAGCGCCAAGGGAAGGGGGGGGGATGGACCCGGGACAAGAACGTGAAAGAGAATGAAATCTCAGCGGACGAGGTAGCGCGCTGCTGGTGCTGGTGCTTGCTTCTACCTCTGCAATCGTGCAGTTCGGTACCGCCAGCAGCAGCGAGCGCTTGTTGCATTGGGAATGGGAACATGCAATCAGAGTCACCACCACCCTCATCAGTCAGGGAGACAGCATGAGCAGGCATGGGCAGGTCCCCTTGCTGGCGAGCAAGCAACACGCGCGCCAGCATGTGAAAGCGGCCCCTCCAACAAAGGCTCAAGGTCGCAGACGGGACGAGTGGGTTCACTCCATCACTCTCACACCAGCCCAGAGACAGACGCACAGACGGACAGGCGCAGACAGGTGATGGTGGAACCCGTCCGCCGCGCCCCCGTGCAAGACGGAATCCACTGCGGCGGCGGCGGCGTCACGGGCTGGGCTGGGATGCCTGCGCAGGCATGGAAGGTACTTGAAGGATCCACTGGAAAGCATGGAAGCAGCCGGGGCCCAGCATCCCAGGTGAGGCGACCCCTCTCTCTCCCGGTCTCTCATTCCCTCTGGCGCAGTTGCTCCCTGTCCGGGCGGACTGGCTGTCGGCTGCCAGGGCCTGCCAGAGCGCGGCCAGATCAAGCAGCCCGGTGCTGCGGCGCCAGAGCAGCGGAAGGTGTGCAGAAGCGCACGACGGAAGAGCGGCAGGGGGTGGTGGGTGCACGCCCAGGCGCCGCCGCCGCTATCATGGGAACCGTCCACTGACCTTCCAGGTTCCAACCGTAGACACTAGGCACTCGCCCCGGCAAAACGCCCATTCGATGCCGCCCGTCCATTCGCGATCCGGCGCAGCGCCAGGCCCAGGGCTCCCGGCCGCCCGCCATTGGCCGGCCTCCCGCCACCAGCCACAAACAGCCCACCTCATGGATCCAGTCCCAGTCCATCCAATCCACCCAATCCACCACCCCTCCCCAATGCGCTGCGCTGCACACTGCACGCTGCCTGCACCTGGAAGCTATTTATTGCGCAACCTACACTCTGTTTTGACTTGTTGGGGGTGGTGCTGGTGGTGGCGGACGCTGGCATGTGAAGATGCGCCGCCGCCACGCCGCCCCCCCCTCCTCCTCCAGATGCGATGTTGAGAGAAGAAGAAGAGCTCCCAACTCTTGGCTGAGGGTCAATCCCTGGCCAACCGCCACAGCACGCCCGCCGGCCGTTGACTAAAGCTAATACGCCCTCTGGCGCGCATTCATCCGGCCCGTTGTCGTCTCTCCCAGGCGGCCGGAGACCCGGGTCCGCGCCGCGGGAGGGAGGGAGGGAGCGTCCATCCCATCGTCACTCAACAGCTCTGCTCTTGCTGATTCTTACTTTGTACATACGTAGCATGTAACTCATGTATGTCACTGACTCGGGGGGCTGAGATTGGCAGCCAGCCATCGGGCAATCTACGGGGCAGCTTTGATGATTTACACTCGAGATTCCTCGTGTCAGCCTGCGCTGCAGTGTTTCGCCGGCAAAGGCCCTCCGCGCCATCCGATCCGCGCAATATACCATGGAATGGTGTCAATTGAACGAAAGGAAGGGGGGGCACGGCACCAATGACCAAGTAAGAAGTAGCCGGGAAGCAACTGGCGGCTCATCAATTCATCGTCATGCACGGATGCGACGACACTCCGCGGCGGATGGCAGGAGCACGCAACAGAGCGGCAGCGCTGTCGCCTTATCGCGGCCATGGGACTGGCGACCGCGCCGCCCCCCTCGTCTGCAGGATGTACTGTATCAGGGCGAACGAGCCGTGCATCCATCTCGGGACAGACGGGGCGGCTTGAGCTATCTCTCCTTGTCACTCTCGCTTGTCAGAGACGCGGACCCTGGAGATCGCCCGCGGGGGGGCACGACGCCACCGTCGTTGGCACGTCTCATCTTGCCGATGATGGGCATTGCTCGCAAGGCCATACCATATCGTGAACTGCGCGGTACTTTGTTGTCTCGTCGATTGCGATTGCCCATTCCCCCACCTCCTCTCTCAACGCTTTACGTATCAGCCACGCCATGGCAAAGACGGCTCCGGGAACAAGCAGATCGTGGGGGTTTTCCGCGGCCGTCTTCGCTCGAGAAGCTGCTGCTGCTGCTGCTGTTGCTCCTGCTGCTGCTGGCTACTGCGCCTCCCACGTACCAGCGAAGCCATGGCGCCCGCCGGTGCAGGCAAAGTGGTGTTCTGTTCGGGGGCGTTTTCTGCTACGCACGCCCCAGCCGTTGTGGAATTGTGCGAGCCATGCCGCGGCAATCCCCTTCGAGAAGCGGACTCGGCACCGGAAGACGCAGCTCTGCTGCCCGCCCGCATCGGAAAGCAGTTCAACCATCATCAGCTGCAGAGTGAGGCCAACGCATCCACCTAGATGAAGGCTGACTGGAAGCGGCTCGTGGCAGCAGGTAGCCCATCACGGCGCGGGCGTGTCCAGGTCCGGGAAGCGGGAACAAGCGAGCGGGTTTTGGTCCTGGTATCAGGACCCCTGTGCATACATCTCACAACACAATGTCCGATGCGCGCACGAGCGACGGGGCGGGCCAGGCAGATGGTCCAGTCAGCTCGTGCGGCTAATCGTGGCTCAACGACGTTCGTACCAGGTCCAAGCGTGAAGGGGCCCCGATGCGTAGCGCAGGCAGTTTCCTGATCTCGGCCCACGCGCGAGGCTCGTCCGGATCCGAACCATTCCTGTTGGCCCTTCCGTCTGCCCATGTCCGGCCTCGGGAACAGGGAGGTCGCCTCGGGAACAAAAAAAAAAAAAAAAAAAAAAAAAAAAAAAAAAAAAAAAAAAAAAAAAGAAGTCAAAGGGGGGCCACGAGGCGAGGCAGCAGCCACGGCCGATGCCGAGGGCTGAGGAGGACGAGGAACGGGGTGGCAAAGACCAGTAGTGAGTGGTAGACCGAGCCGAGCAATCGAACCAACGCGCGGCGAGGCACGCACGTTCCAGCGTTGGATGCGTACGGCGCACGTTAGTCGGCCTTGTTGCGGCGCGCCGTCTGGCTCGGCACACCCGCGATGCGCATGGCGGTAGGTTGTTGGGGAGGGAGGCGACCGACGGACGGATTGAGGAAAGCAGTGCAAATGCGCCACTAAAAAAACACATGTACCACCCCCCTGTCGGGGTTCGCGGGCGGCAAACCGGACAGGGATGATGCACGCCCCACTTGGCACCTGGCACTCCCCCTGGGGCCCTGGCTTCCGCTGCTGCAGTGCAGTGAGTGCGCACCAGGTGCGCACCAGCCACTTTCACATGTCAGGAACCTCGACGACTCAGAAGATACTGGCGCACCTTTTCTCGTACCTCGAATCAAATGCCAAGTCAAATGACGCAACAGCATCTGATGCTGCGGCTTTGCCTCAAGCCCAGCTTGTACAGGAAGTACAGTACAGTGCAATCAGTACATGTAGGTGAGACGAGGAGGTAGTAGGTCGAACGAAAAACTCCGACCGAGTGAGGCTCGGATCCGTTGGTTAGCAATGCGGCGGCGGCGGCCTGATGAAACCAAGTACACGCAACGTGATGCCGTGGCAAACTCTTTTTTTTTTTTTTTGGTTTTGGTGTTGAGCACATGTCGACGGCATTCCATCACGAGTCTAAGACTCGCGTACAGTTTTCGCCACGCCTCGCTCCGTCGGGACGAGCAACTCTTGCGAGGCGGCGCGCCCGTCAAGGGAGGAGGCTTTTGTTGCTGCTGCTGGTGCCGTTCCGGATGCCATTGACTGAGACAAAAGGGGCCATACGAAGTAGGTACCTGTGATGCTCGGGGGAACGGAATATCGCGGAAATGAATAACCCTCTGGGAGCGGCACGGCTCGTGATCGCCCTTGCCTGGCTGGCGGCTGCGTTTCGCGGAAGAGCAGTCCCCATATTCCGCAATTCACATCCTCCTGCGTGCCCATCTGTCCATCCATGTATCGCATCACACCGCATGGCATCGTGCCGTGCGTGCCTCCTCTCGCTACACTACACTAGACCCAGCACGCACGCAAGCATGCAAGCGCATACGCATCACCCCGCCGCCGCCGCCGCCGCCGCCGCTGCTGCTGTTGCATCAATGGCGTTGCTCGTCCCGCCTCGGCGGCTCGTATCCGGCTCGGCGGTCGGAGCTGCCTGCCACTCCTCCTCCTCCTCTTCCAAGCCTGCCTGCCTATCTAGCTACCCGCCGCAGATGTCAACGACCATCAACCCGGTGGCCCGGCTGATTAGCAGCTTGCGCCAAGCTGAACCGCCCCGAAAGAACAACAGGCAGAAGCGAGCGAGAGAGACCTCGTGGAGATCTAGGGGCCGCGCGTGGGCTTGCGGCTGCACAGCACACGTGGGACCATGTGCGCATCATGGGGAACATTGAAGCGAGCGTGTGTGCGTACGTGAGTGCGTGCGTGCGTGTCGAGTGACCGCGTGATGAATGGCCCCAAACACATCGCGGTGGTCAACTCGCCCCTTGGGACCTTCGTGAATCGTGGCCGCCCTCGTGATGTCCAAGTGAGCAGACTGATCGCGCCATTGCGCGGGAGGCTCAAGGAGCTCCCCTG